CCCATAGAATGTGGGCTGGGCAGTTCTCTGCTCAGCTGGTATCTCCTGCTGTCTATTTTCCTACTGTATTTTCTGAGCGCTGGTTCTCTCACTTGGCTCAAGCCTCATTGCCATATCACCTTTGCCCTAATTACTGTTGGTTTTTTCCATGGCTGCAGACTATACTTTGCTCTAGCCAGGTGTCCTGTAGTAAACATTCACTGTACCCGCACATGCACTGGACACTAGACACAAAGATTTTTTAAATAACCAGTAGCTAACATTTTGGAGAACTTTCTAGGTGCCAAGACGATTCTAAATGTTTCACATGTATTACTTACAAAGCCCCATGAGGTAAGTGGATACTATTATTAGCCCCATTTTACAGATGAGGAAATGAGGCACAAAGAGATTACATAAGTTTCTCAAGGTCACAAAACCAGTAAGTGATGGAGCCAGGATCAGATCACAGGCATCCTGAGTCCAAAGCCCATACTCTTAAGCACTGTCTTATGCGGCCATGAGAAAGACCTGGTCTCTGAGCTTAAGGAATCGATAATCTAATGAGAGACCTATGCATCCATTTGATTATAATATACTATGTAAAATACAAGCAAGGGCTCTAGGAGCTCAGAAGAGGGAGCAGTTGAGTCCATCTGCAGGTGGTGGGCTGGGGAGGATGGACAGAAATGATAATAAAAGTTTATGTTCACTGAAAGTTCACCAAGCACCAACACTCTGTTGAGCACATTAAAAGCATTTTCTCAGGTAATCATTCAACAACCCATTTTTATAGATGAGAAAATCGGAGCTTAAGGAAGTCAAGTAACATGTAACTTAATCAGGGTCCACCTACAACCCATCATTTTGAAGAATGTCCTACGCCAGAGGGGAGGGGCTTGCCAGGGCTTGGCGTGAGCAGATAGAGGAGCTTACATAAATTCAAAAATCTGTCTTAAAATAAGCAAATTTAAATTCTTTGTTTCCTCGATTCATGATGCACCATCTAACCATCATTTGGTAACTTTTTAGAATTAAAAAAAAAAACTGATGTGTTTTGTTTTGTTTTGCTGACCTTCAATAACATAGGCATATCCATGCCATCCATGCCATGGTGTTCAGTCTATGGCAGCGATCCTTAAACTTTACCAGGCATTGCAATTATCTTTAGAACTTATGAAATGCAGATCACCAACTCCAGCCCTACGGATTCTGATTCCATGGTTCCAGGGAGAGGCCTGCCAACTCTGAATTTTAACCAGCCTTTATTTGATTCTGATGCAAGGTCATGCTTTGAGAATCAGTGGTCTCTAGATCCTTCAGAATCACTGTTTTCCTTCAACAGAGAGGCTAAATAACATATCATGAAACCAAATCATTTCTTTAAAATCAGCTGAAACTTCTTGATAGTTAGGTACCTGTCTTGTGAAGATGAAAGAATGGAACAGACCTCTTCTGCCTTAAAAGGAAGGAAATATTCTGACCCATGCTACAACATAGGTGGATGTTGAGGACATATGCTAAAGGAAATACACCAGTCACAAAAAGACAAATACTGTATGATTCCACTTACACAAGGTGACCTAGAATCGTCAGATTCATAAAGACAGAATGGTGATTGCCAAGGGCTGGGGGAAAGGGGATGGAAAGTCAGCATTTAATGGGTACAGAGTTTCAGTTTGAGAAGATGAAAAGAGTTACAGGAATGGATGGCGGTGATGTTTGCACAGCACTGTGAATGGGCGTACTGCCACTAGACTGTACACTTAAAATGGTTGAAGTGGTAAAATGCTAATATTAACAACCATGTGTGCAAAAAATTGAGCAGACCAGCCTCTCCCAACTTTGATAGCACTTTGCTCTCTTCTGAGACACTTAAGGGATTTCTCACCTTTAATTGTGTTGCCAAATGTGTAACAAGCAGTCCTCTTACACCTTCTCAATGACAAACAAAACACATTTCTACCCACCTGTACTTCTTAAACCTTATGAAGCTTTCACTGTTGCCTTCGAACAAGAAAATATGGACATGTGGCCATTCCTCCAGAGATAGGTAATGACTTCACTTACAGTAAACTTACACCTGGGAGCCCTGTTCCCAGTAACTTTTTATTTCATTGATGCATTGGAATGAAGTCTTTCTTAAGGACATTTAAAATAACTATTAGGAACCCAAATTTAAGTTAAAGTTGAAGTGCATGTGGTACTGCGAAGCCAACCACTCACCCAGGAGGCCCTTGTGGGAGAGGTCCGTACCCACATGGCTGAACGTGCACGCGCACCGTCGAGCCGGCTGTGGGGACGGCGACTTTCTTTTGGCTGATAATGAGAGGCATCCAGAGTTCAGAAATATTCAACATAGGAAAAAACTCTTTACCAATCATGGTCCTTGGTAGCCAACCAAAGAGGCTGATTCTGGCTAACATAAACCAAAAAGGAATTTTTTCAGAAAATCAGGTTCACAGAATTAATGAGAAGTCTGGAGAGCTAGGCTCAAAAACTGGTTTAGGAAGCTACCACCAGTGGACTCTATAAACTCAGCCACCTCTGCCATGAATGGATTTTCATTTTCCATGTGTCTTTGCATCATTCCCTCTGGTGGAAGGATCTGACTGTCTGGTTCTAGATCACCTGTCTGTACACAGCCTGCTGACAGGTGGGGCAACCCTGTCTGCCACTCCAGCTTCTGTGGCCCTCGAGGGAACCTCTCCCAAACAGGAAGCGGGTTCAGCTAAATACAACTTGTGTCCACTCTGCACACAGCACTTTTTTTCATCTGCTTCTGAAACTTCAGTTCCCTGATTTTGATCACAAAGGAGACCAGATAAGAGAGTGTTTGGGTCAAAGAGAGGCCCATCACCCCTAGTGGGAAGGCAAGTCCACATGCAGGTCCTTCTGGTGGGTGCCTCTGAGGCTTTCTGACTCGCAGGGAGCAGGGCCATCATCCTGACCTCTGCTGACGGTCTGCTACCTGGGTTCTGGGACGGTCTGGTGCCCAAGCCAGTCTCAAGTGTTACCTTGAGAGGCGGTCTGTTCCGGCCTCCAACATACAGGGGTCAAAGTGAAATCTTGATTCTAAATGTTTACATATGTCTGCGTTACCTGTTCAGTGGGTCTTTGATTTTCCTGTTCTAAACTGGCTGCTGACAGTGAAGAAAATTATCTCTGGCCCACATTCCCAGAGCTACCTTTGTCCTCCTTGTCCGCAGGGAGCCAGGGAGGTGTGAGAGAGAACACAGAAGAGAAAGGTGTACACAAACATGCGTGGCGACCACAGCCGCAGCGTTCAGGGCGGAGGCTGAGGAAAGGGCCTGGGGAGGGGCCCTCAGGGGGCTTCAACCTCTCTGAATGTTTTGTTTTCTTCATTAAAAATGTGTCTGAATCTAATTTGCTTGTTCAACTACTCCCCTTACACTTGTTCTTCAGATACATGGAAACTTTTTTTTTTTGCCTAATAGATCATTTTCCTCTAGATGCCTTCTCATCTCTCCTAGATCCCTCACTTCCTCCAGCCGCAGAGTCAACCAGTATCCCAAAATTGGTATTCACACTTCGTTCTTGTGGGTATCCACAGGCTGGTGCTATTGCTTTGTTTTTTTAACATCTTATGTGCATGTTATACTGTACACATATCTTTAGAAACTGATTTTTTACTCACCAATTTTTTGGAGACTTGACTGTGTCGACAAGTGAAAATCTACTTCATCCTCACTCCTACAGGGCACTTTGTTACATAAATAAACTAGACTTAAATTTTTAAAAGGATCTGAAGCAAACAAGGCCAAGTGTCAACATTTATTAAAGGTACGAGGTAGGCATATCAGCATTCATATTATTCTCTAGACTTTTATACACGTTTGGAAGTTTTCAAAATTTAAAGAGGCAAGAGCACTAAAGTAGGAGTCAGGAAAGGTGCCATCCTGGCTAACTGGGCTGCAGTGAGACTCTGATTCCACAGCTAATCAGACTGGGATTAAAACTTAACTTTGTAGGACGGGCCTCCTCTTGTTTGCTTTTCGTGGGGCGCTGCCTCCCTGGGGAAATGCCTCGGCCGCAGGTTGAGAGGAGTGGTTATTTACCTGTGTGATTGAGAGCGTACTGGTACCCAGCCAGGGTGAACTAAACAGAAGTCGTTGTGGGTCTAGCCATTTTTAAAAAGAAATTGGCAAGAGAGCATTTCATAGAATGGCGGGGAGACATAATTAAAAAAATATATATATTTACAACTTACTTAAGATATATATAATCCAAATAATAAACATTGGTCACAATTTCAGCCAGGCCAAACTTTGGCCTCCTTAACGCTTAAAAACCTAGGTTAAGAGAGGGCGATTCCTCTTTTGTTAGGCTTCCTAGACTCAGCCCCTCACATCCCCCCCCACCCACACACACATTCACACTCTCAGACACCCATCTCTCACACACACAGTGTCACGGACAGCCTCACACCCACACTCACACACAGCCTCGCACACACACAGACACCACCACACACTCGGACACCCACCTCACACATGCACACACATGCACACTCACACACAGCATCGCGCACACACACACACGCACGCACACCATGGGACTCTAAGCGGCCTCCAGGTTTTCTTCCTCCTCTACCTCTGGTACTTTCAGAAAAGGGAGGAGCTGACAGATATAAGAGCTTTTGACCCATGGCCTGTACCTCTGCAGAGCCACTGATTGATTTTGCCACTGATCCAAAAGACTGTAGCAAGTGAAAGATTCTTGAAAAGTAAATGAAATTGCAGATACGGAAGTAGACAATGCCCTGACAAAGTGACCACGAACCCCTTTTTACTCCCCCATTTCTTCTAACTCCTGAGATCCCCCGCATTAATGCTGCATCCAGGAGAGGCCATTTGAAATGATTTTCAGGTCATGAGGCCTCCACTGCCTCCAACATGTAGAAGGGGCTGTCCCCTGGGGAACTGCCGGAAAACCAGGTGACAGCCGAGCCCTCCTGTAAGCATGTCCGCCACTCTGACAGAGCTCCTCTCTCCACCTAGGCTATGACTTCTGCCAGGTCCTGCAGTGGTTCGCTGAGCGGGTCGACAGGATCATCCTGCTCTTCGATGCTCACAAACTGGACATCTCAGACGAGTTCTCTGAGGCCATCAAGGCCTTCCGGGGCCAGGATGACAAGATCCGCGTAGTGCTGAACAAGGCCGACCAAGTGGACACACAGCAGCTGATGCGTGTTTACGGGGCCCTCATGTGGTCCCTAGGCAAGGTCATCAACACTCCCGAGGTGCTGCGTGTCTACATTGGCTCCTTCTGGGCGCAGCCCCTGCAGAACACTGACAACCGCCGGCTATTCGAGGCCGAGGCCCAGGACCTCTTCAGAGACATCCAGAGTCTTCCTCAGAAGGCAGCAGTGCGCAAACTCAATGACCTCATCAAGCGAGCGAGGCTGGCCAAGGTGAGCCAGGAGATGCCCCGGGCAGCAGCCTTGGGCGGGGGACCCTTCCCACTCTCTGCAGGAAAGTGGGGGTGCGGGAGGCTCCATTTCAGGAGCCTTCGGGAGTCAAATGTGGAATAGGGCGAGAGGAGAGCCCCTGGTTAGATTCTGGCTCCTAGCTCTGTGCTCCCGAGCAAATGTCTCACCCTTTCCATACCTATCGTCTAATCTGTAAAGTAGAGCTCATAAGAGCCCATCACGGGGTGCTAGTGATGGCTCACCGGGTGCACAGGAGGGGCCCATCCACTCGCCTCTGGGAAGCCGCTAGTATGTTAGGACAACAGGAACATAACCAAATGAGCTGGAGAGAGGTAGCTCGTGGGACCAGTGGGGTGCTGAAGTGCTACCACTAGTTATCCTGTGCCTAAGGTGTAGAACCCAGTGTCACCACCCAGACCCAGAGGAGCCCTGGAGGAAGGTTGGCTTAGCCTAACTGGGTGAGTGTGCTTGCTTTGGGGTCGCACGCAGCACACCCCTGTTCCAGGTTGTGGCCTGTCAGCATGTGCACTGTGCCTCCTGGCCCCCCAGCCGTAGCTGAGCCTTTCAGCAGCCCCAGGAGTGTTGTGCCCACTGGGGGTCAGTGGTAACCTCTGACTGCCCTCCAGTAATGATTGTTGTGTCTCTGAAGAGAGAAGAGCATATGACCCCTCTAAGAAAAAGCGTAGAAAAAATGGTTCTTTAGAAACTATGTGTACATTTCATAAAGTTATATTCCTCCAGTGCTGGAGGTGCCTGCAGAGTTTATTTAGTCCCAGTGATCATCAGAGGCACCAATGTGGTAAATTCCAGGCCCTGTTCAGAGCTTCTGACTCAGGTGTGTGTGTGTATATGTCCAATACCTCCTCATTGCCCCTCAGCAGCCTCTGTCACTTCAGCTAAAACCAGTGCACAGGCCTGCCTCTGCACAACCACTGGTATCCTGGACAGGAAGCTAGGGCAGCTTACTTCCTTTTGTCCTCTGGCGGTGAAGAGCCTGTGTCCCCTCCCACATCCTCCTTGGCCTTGGGCTCAGCAGGCCAGCCTTCTAGAGTCCACCACCTCTCTGCCTCATTAGGCCAACAGCTGCTCAGCATCCCTGGGCCGGGGTTGGGAGCTGGGTCTGGTGGAGGGGGCGCCAAACCCCCCATTACAGACACTGAGCCGTGTGCTGATCGGAATGTGGACACTGCTCTGAGGAGGAGGCTGGGTGGGGGAGGCAGGGAGCGCCCCACTGAGGGGGACACCAACTTCATTGCCCTTAGCAGCCTCTGTCCCCTTACAGTGTGCCCACACAGCAGCATCTCATGTGTCCACAGAAACGCCTTTCTGGCTGCCTCAGTCCCCTGCTCAGTCCCGTCTGCTCTCTTCCTCTCTACCCACCTTACGTCCCAGGCGTGTTCACGCTTTCCTCCCAAATCGCTTAGCTAGTTTGCAGTCGCCCATGCTTCTGCGAGTCACTGCTCTTTATCCTTTCTTCTTGGTACAAGGTGCTTCCTTTCTCCAGCTACAGCCACTTTTGTTACAGTCTTGCAAGGCAGTTGTGCTAACCAGTTTGTAAATTCACTTATTTGCAGCTTTCCTGATATGATTTCTCTCTGTGCTTGTCCTAGACCTAATGCTTGGTGGCAAGAAGTCTGGTTTTGCCCATGCAAGGACCCGCTGGCATGTATTTCTCTTCTCCAGGTGATATAGCTCAACAGAACCTTCAGGATATACAATACCCAACATATTTTATAACCAAGGCTGGTAAATCACGTCATAGCCTTTGTAGATTTCAAGATTTTATGGAGTTATTTTTAAATGCCCATGGACACCTTTAATTTACCAGTCTTTTCTGAGCACCTAGTGTCTTGAGACGCAGCTCTATTCGGTCATATAAATAAATAAAGAGCAGAGAGCCACTGGAAGTGCCAAGCGCCTTGGGCCTTCCCTGCCATCCTAGAGCGTTAGGCCCTCTGAACGGACCAGCAAATCTTGGGTTTAGTGAGGCACAGAATGTGCTCTGTACTGACAGCAGGCATAATGAAAGCTCTTGTCTAGCTGCAGGGGCCGGGCATAGGGGGTGGTCAACTTGCTGAGCTTACTTCTAGGAAAAAAGCTTGTCTTTTTTTTCTCCCTAAGAATAGTATCTGGCTTGTTCCTTTTCATAAAGGAAAATGTTTGAAGTACGGATGTTTCCAGCCTGAGCTTCTCAGAACCAGTGTGCTCCTGGGGCAGTACCATGCCACGAAGGGGGACAGGAAACAGTCTCAGGCCGATAAGAAGCAGAGGTCAGCACAATGGCCTTAGCCACTAACCGAGGCCATCCACTTTATACCATCTGCAGTTTTATGGCCATTTGTGAGCTTGCTTAAATGGACAAGGAGTCACCTGAATTTTTCTCTTTGCAATATTTATATTTCATTAAAATGCTCTTTGATTTTGGCATATTAATCTTTATTTCTCTTGATCCAGTTTTCCTTTTACAAACCATCCCTTTCTGAGAGTCTGCAGTGTTCCAGAAGCTCTCTGACTTGTATTACATGTGCTATTTTGTCTGATCTTGTCAGTAAGTACACAAAGTTGGGCATTATCCTCACTTCTCACAGAAGGGAACTGAGGCTCAGAAAGGTGAAGCAACTTGCCCAAGGCTCCACAGCCTGTAAGGTACAAAATATACATTCCAACCCCAATCAGTCTGACTCCTTAGTCCAGAAAGCATTCACCTAAAATCCAGAGAGGACAGCATCTATTATTGCTCCTGACTGTGTCCTTGCTTTCGGCATTCATCTCTCATTCTGTTTATTCTATAAAACTCCCCACCCACAGAAACCCCACAAAGTGTAGAGGTTTATAAAGCTGACATTATGAAAACATGAAAGGATAAGTTTTCAGATGTCACCTAGAAAGTGTCAGATCTTAGTTGGAATGTGGAGTGTGTCTATTTATAGAACATGGTAATTAGGCAGAATTCATGGCCCATCCAGGAATAAAGCAAGTGTGTCATTAATGTCCTGCCAGGTTCTGCAGGAATCAAGGTCAAGGCATTTTAATAATATGAAAATGTCATATTATTATATGTCACATGTATGTCATGATAAAGATGACATTTTAATAATATGAAAAACAGCACTTTTACCAAAAATTGCTTGAAATTTAATGATTTCCCTGCTTTTTCTGTTTCTGTATTTTTATTTTCCACAATTCTGTCAAGGAACAGGAAACCTTTAGAGTGGATTTTCTGGTTAACCTCAGAGATCACATCTTATGAGATCAGCAGACATCCTTCTTTAAAGACTGCTCACAGTCTAACATGCCAGTAAAGGTCCATTTCATGATTCTTTAGAGTAAGCTATTTTGAGAAAGCCCAGCAAAAGGTTTAGAAACTACATTTTTGTTTTATTCAGCTGTCATTAAAATAGCCAAATTTTTAAAATCAGGCTCATATGAACCCCAAATAATCGTATTTTATGGGATAAATGAACAGAAGTAAAAATGAGGCAAGTTTATGGGACCCCACCCTTAGCAAATGTTGCCCAAAATAGGAAAGGTTCCCACCCATTTGAAGATCTTCACTCAACACAAAATGAGTCATCATTTGAGGAAGGAGCAACTAAAAATGAGAAAGAAAAAGAGAGGTCAGTGATTTTCAGAGCTCACTATTGTTCTGCAGAGTTTAGTTTTGTCTTCAAAACATGTTCCCCTCTTAGTCACATGTAATGGGCAGAGCCCAGCTTTCTGGTCTGTCTGCACGATCTGTTCCTTCTGTGGGGTTAGACATTCTGAAGCTACCAAATGGACCCAGGCTGAGGTGTGGGAGACCCAAAGACCGCAGTCTCTCCCCACATCCTGTGTGGTGCTCATGGCGCTGTGTGCCATAATGTATCCATTTTTGGGGTATGAGGAGGGGAGGGTAAATGACCTTTCCAAAGCTTCCCAGTGAGTTAGAAACAATCAAAAGCCAAACCTCAGGGTTTTCCCGCACTGTTGTTCTGTAGGACACAGTTCATTTTGATGGGAGACTGCAGATTTTCAACAGTTTCAGTAACATTTTTTTATTCATACCCACAGAAAACAATTACTTCTAAAGGACAGGAATGAGACTATTGAATGCTAGCACCAGCTCTGCGCTCCTAACTAGCTATGTGAGCTTGAAAAAGTCATATGATTTTCCTGGAGCCAGGAGTTCAGTTAGATATAGGGGGTCCATTCAAGTTTAATGCTCCATGATTCTAAAGATTATAATATACCTCGACACTTGGTAAGCTTCTTAAAAGGCAGGGACTATGCATAGACTCTGACCTGGGTTGTTGTCTTAGGTGCCCAGGGAAGGGCAGGAGGGAGCAGCCATGCAGAAGCAGCACAGTGGGAGACTTCCACCAAGCAGGCCAGTGGGACTTTCTGGAAGTGGAGGTTAAGGCTGAGAGCAACCTGCAGATGAGCAGGTCCCCTGACGGTTGTGACTTCAGTAGTGCCAGGCAGGTGCGAAGAGGAGGGAGTTGAGGCCCTACAGGAGGACCACCCCAGGTGTGTCCAGGCACTGCAGCCTGGTGTCCGGGGGTGGCCCATCAGCGAGCAGCTTTGGTCATCAGCCAGTGAGCCCCACAAGGGCTGAGGTAAGGGAGCCGGCACTGGGGGTGAGTGGAGAGCTGGGGCAGGTACACATCTCCTGCCATTCAGCCCAGGAAAGCAGGCCCCTGAGCACCAGGCAGCGTTCAGGAACAGGGTGCCAGTCCTAAGGGAGCTGGAGACTGGCTGGGGAGTCAGCCTTCCCTGATCGGGGGTTGGTAGCTCTGAGGCACCATGCTAGTAGGTGGTGGGAGGTATTGGGGAGTCCTGCAGAGCCCTGGCACCTGCCCCAGGCCTTGGCTCTAGGAAGAGGTCCTGGTAAAAAGCCCTTGTGGATGGGACACCGAGCTGTGGGGCTTCCAGCTTCATTGGGACCAGCTCCAGAGCGAGGCAGCCTAGCACAAAAGGGCAAGAGATATCCACAGGTCCAGTCAAGAGGTCCCAGGAGGACCCAGGCCAAGGGGACGGTACATGGTCAGTTAGTGAGCAGCCAGCCCTCCCCCCTCCAAGCCCTTCAGTGCTACACAGGGCCCTCCCCCAGCCCTGCCCAAACCAAGCCAGGCAGCCACTAACCAAGGCAAGGAAATTACTAGTTTCACCACATATTCATATCCTCAGGCCTAGAGTCAGAGTACAGGATTCCTGAACTGTGGGTTTTAGTTATCTCAAAGAATCCTATAACTGTTTTAAATTGTTTTAATTTGAAAAATAAGTAAGTAAACAATAAGTGTCAAACTAGTGGCTGAAAGGGTTAGGAACATCCCTCCCAATCTGTACTTGTGGCAACAGCCATGCAGCACAACATGTGCTTATATGAACGAGACCTTTTTATGTGAAGTTAGCATTGTCTGCTCCAAGCACATCAGCGTCTGTGCTATGCACGTATGGTCAAACCTTAGCAAAATGTTTTTGTCTGTGCCCAGTGTGTGTTCTTACACAGAAGCCCTCATCTGAGCTAGAGAATGGATCTGCTTACCCCCTTTATTCAATTTGCATTCTTCCACAAGATTACAGTAGAAGTCTGTTTTCTTTAATAGCATTTTCCATAGCTGCATAGTCATTTTCTTTTTGTAATCACTGCTCTGTTTCTCATCCTTTCTTATTTGGGTTATTTTCTTGACTTCTAATTACTCTGTAGAATTCTAGATACACAAAGAGAACTTTTGTAATGGACATGTCTTTGTATCCTAAAGTTGGAAGTCAGTGAAAGAGTGCACATGTTAAGGAAGGGGAGACACATAGTCATGTGGACCCCTCCCGGTAGGGCGCTCCGCCCCTCGGGTAACAGTCTCCTCAATTGACTAGGGTTTCTGGGGCTTCCCCCTCATGTGCAGGGGACCCTTCTCCCAGAGGGCGCTTGTGCCATCCAGCCTGGTCTCAAGCAGCTGCTCTTATGCAGAAACAACTTCAGTGTTCCCTGTAGAAATCTCAGGGTCTGGACTGTCCATGGGGAATTGTGAGAATTCCCATGTCACTGTTCACTGGACACAGGTGTCTACAGGTAAGCCGTTCACATCAGCCTGGGCTTTTTTTCCTGGTGCTGGGCGCCAACCCAGGTGAACCTTTCCCTTCAGGTCTTCTGGTTAATCACCACAACTAATGTCTTTCCCACCCAGGGCTCACTCCCTGCACGGATGTGGAATGGCCACTCAGAGGCACAACTGAACTATGACCCTACAATTCCCCAAGTCAGTCACCTTGCTCAGGAATACATTCTAGGACAGGGTTCCAAGGGAAATGCTCTGTGCAACCCCACCTCAGCCCCACCCCATCCCAGGCAAGCAGCACTAGGCCACCGGGAAAGCAGGGAGCCCAGGGCATTCTTCAGGCTGCTCTGAAATCCCGGAACCATCATTAGCACAAGAGTAGGTTAGCAGAGGTTCGTTCTAGTCATCCACCTGCTCCTGCTGGGCAATCAGAACGTGGCCTACCTTCCTGACCTTCTAAGCTGCAGCCTCATACATGACACTGTCCCACATCTGGCTCACACCTCCACCCATGCTCTTGCCTCTCCTGGACCGCCACATCCTTCTGCTTACCTCCTACCTGTTCTTCAAGGCCCAACTCAGATGTCACCTCTTCCTTAGATACACCCTCCATGGCCTTTATCTGCCACATTCCACCTCAAAGGTCTTTTTCTGGCTCCTCCTCCAGGCCCTTCACGGTCGGGTTTTCTCTGCTCACTTTCCCTGGGTGGTCTCGTCCATTCCTGTGGCTCTGACCACCCCCTCTACTCCAGCTCTCAAGCCGGTCATCCCAGCCAGCTCTCTCCAGAGCTCTGGGCCTCCGCTCCAGCCACCCTCAAATAGCTCCGCCTAGGGGTCCCTCATATACCTCCCATTCTGCACATCCAGAGTCAGGCTTGTAATTTCCCCCTCATGCCCCAGAGCCTCTCCCTGCTGTCCCAGGGGCCATGGCTTCGCGAGGTACCTGTTATGTGTTGTGATGCAGATAAGATACCATTGTGTTTGTCCTTCTGGCACAGTCCCAAATGGCATGTCCTCACTGACATACACCTCTTCAGGTACATGCCTACATCATCAGCTACCTGAAGAAAGAGATGCCGAGTGTATTTGGGAAGGAAAACAAAAAGAGAGAGCTTATCAGCAGATTGCCAGAAATCTACATTCAACTGCAACGAGAATACCAGATTTCTGCAGGCGACTTCCCGGAGGTCAAGGCAATGCAGGTACTGGAAGCCCATCGCAGCATCAAGGGCAGGGCACCAGGAGGCAGTGCCACCTTGTCTGGCTGGCTGCTGGTACACATGAGGGTTTCCTGGTTTAGGATGGAGGAGCACGCAGTGCACAGCTGAATCTCAGCCTGGAAAGGCCGATGAGTAGCTACTTTAAACAGGTGTCACTTTAATGGCAGAACAACCTTGAACACAGCCTAAGAGGGCTGCTTATCTGATTTTTTCATATGAACTTAATTTATATCTTGAAATGTGTCCTCTTTTCTTTAAATGTTTCAGATGGCGGGCAATCTCTGCTTTATTGACAGGAGTCTATTGTCGTGCTTCACCATTAGGCAGATGAATTCATTGCATTTTTCTTCCATAAATGACATAGGCATTCCTGCACTCAGAGGATGAGTTGGGTTTTTTCTGGCCCTAAGATGGCTCATGTGCAGCCCACGGGGCCTCTCGGGTACTCTTCCTGGGCAGAGCGAGCAGGTTCGGCTCTCGCACCCCTGGGTGGGGCCCGGCACTGCACCTAAACTGAGGGGCAGTTGGTTCCTTGCATTCTTCAGAAACTTTTTTTTTTAAATTTTTTATTAAAGTATTATTGATATACAGTCTTTTGAAGGTTTCACGTGAAAAAACAATGTGTGGTTACTACATTTACCCATATTATCAAGTCCCTACCCATACCCCAATCCTTCAGAAACTTTTGAAGGGAAATTGGTTTCTTGACTGAAATGAAAGGTATGAGTAAATGCCCAGTGTGCACTGTGACCTAATGGGGCTTCTGTGGCTCATAACCTCATGGGGCTACCACAGCACCCACCCACCAGGAGATGCTGCTTCCAAGCCATGAGGCACCACTGAGCCTATCAGGGGGCTGCCACAGGCCTCCCAACAGGGCCTCCACGCCCGTCTCCAGGTGACCTCCCATCACATCTGTGCATGCGACCCCCAGGGCCGCTCATGCCCATGTTAGCCTAGGCCTGGCTGGGTCACAGGACGCCCAGGCCTCTCAGAGCTGGGGCACAAGGGAATCCCTGGGGAAGAACACAAGGAAGCCATGTGCCCCCTCACCTTGGTCTCAGGAGCAGTCATGCCCCATTTAGCTGGACAATACAGAAAGGGTCTGAGCCTCTGTTAAGACCCCTGTGGGTCAGGCCCCAGTCCAAGTGCCTTAACACCTTTGATGGACACCCAAGTGCCTAGGACTGGGTGTGAGAAGTGCCACCTGACAGGTGCCCCGTTCACCTGTGTTCATATATTCTTCATTCAACCAAGAAATACTGATTGAGCCTCCTGTGCCCAGACCCTGTTCTAGGCCCCTGGAATACATCAATAAACAAAAATGAACAAATGGCAAAAACTAAAATCCTTGCCCCTGCGACGTGCACATTCTGGATTGTAGTATTGCCACAGTGGCTGCAGCTGGCAATGTACCTTTTTGGCAGTAAAGCCCGTTGTTGGGACACGTGCTCCTTGTTACAACATCAGTGTAATTAATTACTTTGTTGTGTGTCTGTTATTTAGTGGCTCTCTGCCTCATGGGGCTGAACCTTCATGAGGCCAGTGACCCATGTCCTGTGCACTGCCGTGTCCCCAGCGCCTGGGATGCAGCAGCTGCTCAGTGAATATGTGTTCACTGAGTTCACTGAAAAGTTAGTGTACATTTAGATGTAGCAGGCCCTAGGGTAGTGAGTTTCTCAGACCCTGACCTAGCCCTGACCCATGCTCATAAACCAGTGGTTTCTGGAGCAAATACCGAAAGCTGAGAGAGGATTCCTCCCTGGGAGGCTAGTGGCCCTGATCACACCACCCCAGTGCCTGCAGGGAATCCCCAGGGAAGAAGGCAGGCCAGAAACCCATAGCAGCTTCTCACAGTCACCCACTACTTCAAGCTTGTTTGCCATCACTTAGGAAGCTCGGGTTGGGGCCGTTGTCATCTCTGAGTCTGTTGAGCATCTGACGTCCTTTCCAACACAGGCGTTCAACTATGTCACATCAACTATGTCTGGGACAGCAGCAGAGCCATAAGCTTGAAGCTGTCCTTATTATGATCTCTCCACATCTCGGGGTCACTCAGAGAGCTCGCTAATGCCAGCTCGAAGTCTCTGTTTTCCCTGTGCTCCCCTGGACCAAGTTGGTTGGGGTGACTTTTAGCTGTAGCTATGAGCCAAGTGTATTTAAAATGCTTTTGCCGAGTGCTGGGAGAAGCCCATGACCTGCTCGTGAAGCTGCCTGTGTCTGCCCTGCACCCTTTCGGGAGGGAATTGCCGCACCGATGTGTCCATACTGGAGAGTGAGGACAACACTAGCAAGGCCACTGACTAACTTGTCCTCCGAGAATTTTGCACCCCCAGCTGACTGGCAGCATTTAAACAGCAGGGGACAGCAGAGCCATCCCCATCCACTCAGACCCTCCAGGGGATGGGGAAACTGCTTCTGAACGTCGGGAATGAGTAGGCAAGGGATAGCCTGGCAAAGACTGGGCTGGGACCTGGCCTTTGTGTCTTGGGAGGGAGCAGTTCCAGGATCCCATGGCTTTGATGGACACATTGTTGATGGGTAATCTTTAAATTCCACGGTGTATATCCAGCCCAATAAAAAGACCAGATGGCAGTGGTTTAACTTGTACCCGATAGTCCCTGGCCAGGGAGAGGTGGGATGAGAGTGTAGGCCATACTTCCTATGTACCCTCCAGGCAGGAATGACTGCTGCTGTTACTTCCTGTCTACCCCTGCAAATATGCAGCCATTCTTGCTAGCTTTCCAAAGGTTTGCAGTTTGAATCCACATCCCCTGCAGGCGGTGGAAAGTTTGGGCGGTCACCACCCTCAGCCCTCTGCTTGGCCAGACACAGAGCCTCTGTGTGTGCTTGGAGCCCAGGCTCATTCACGAGGAAACAGGGTAGGTGTTCCTGCACCCAGGAGAATCCAGACTTGTTTACTGCAGCAGTGCTTGGATTTTTGTGTAGGCTGCCTGCTCTCCTCCTGGGCTGTCTTTCTCAGCTCCCTTGGCTGATTGAAATTTTGGCAGCAGGAGCCCAAAATGTTGGCAGCATTCTTTGGTGCTGATGTTGGGGAGCGATGCAGGTGACCATGGTCGGTCAGTGAGGATAGAGGCCACATAAACTGGAATGCGTTTTAGAAACCAGGCCTGCACTGCCCTGTTGCTCTGAGCACAGGCTGCTGCATCAGCCCAGCCCAGCTTGGGTGGATGGCAGCAGGGTTTGCTACTGAGAAGAATGTTGGTGGCACCTCTCTAGAGCTAAGTAAGTCCATTCAGCTTTCAGCTCTGTCCCCTCCACCATCTAAAGCTCAGGGCTCCACTTCTAAGTAATAGCATAGAACGTCTGCCCTGGTGGTACAGCCAGAGACTGCAGTTTTGATTCTCCATTACAAAACAACCTAAATACCCAACTACATGGGACAGGGTAAATGAAGAATAGCTCAACTATACAATTCATTATTATGTAGCTATTAAGAATAAGGTTGTATAAACATTAATATCATGGAAACATATGATACATTATTTCTTTAAAAATGCAGGTTATTAAACAGTATGATCTTATTTCAGTTAAAGTATGTGTGTGTGTGTGTGTGTGTGTGTGTGTGTGAGTTTTTAGAAATGGCTAGAAGTGTATGCCCAAAAATGTTAGCAGAGGTTATTGCTAGGTAATGGAATTATAAATGATGTAAACTTTATTTCTGTATCAGCTTTGTCCCAAGTTATTACCAAAAAAGTGTGGTACTTAGGATAGCCCAAAGTTTTATTTTTTTAAACTGCCCATCACATTACTTCTGCCCAAAACAGTCAGATTTGAGGGGTTTGTGGAACTTTTTTTCCTCAAGAGTCTTCCTGCCTCATCTCCAGAAACTTGCACCCCTGGAGGGCCCCTCTCTGACCCCTTTCCAAACAGGACTTCACATCAAGTCCATATAAAAACAGCCATGCCTGGAATTTTCTGCATTTATTTGGCAAAACTGCTGTTAAAGACTATTTTCAGAGATCTTTGACGGCCCACATAAAAGCCCTGGGTAATTCTCACAATTCAGAGCCAGAGGAAGTTTGTGTCTTGCAATGAACGGGTGATCTCTGCCCTAAGACAGTGAGGGGTGTGACCCATGCACCTCAGCCAGGGCAGCTAGGAGGCAGGAGCTTTTCTCACCTACGATTCTGATGTGACCAATCAGTCCTTTCCTCTCCTTTTTTAATTACTTGGCTTTTCCCTTCTAATGACTTTCTTCTTTCATATTATCATTTTTCATTATAAGCTAAGTCAAGCCATTTTTGAAAGCAGATGAGAACTAAAAAATGTCCTTCCTCTAGTACAGCATAAGCTCCCTGAGGTCAGAGACCGTGGCTTTTCATATTTATATCCTCAGGCCCCAGAAGAGGGCCTGGCGTGCAACAAATGGCCAGTAAATGTTACATGGATGGATGGATGGATGGATGGATGGATGGATGGATGGATGGATGGATGGATGGATGGATGGATAACCAGGGAGAACACAGGTAGGAAGGGTTATTTCTACAGTTCCATCCCAGTGCCTCTCTGGCGTCTGTGGTTGGCTCCTGTCTCCGCTAGGTGATTGCCATGTCTTCTAGGGCCCCCTCCGGAGCCTATGCTCCTGCTGACAGGCCAATTCTCCTAGAAGGTGGTGCTGAGACCTGCCTGATCTGGCAGGAGATTCTCAGCCCCATTGGCTGCGCTTATATTCCCCTCCTTACTCCTCTCCTTCTTACCAGTTTCAACTTTTACTTATTTGTACCTAAACTAGGTAACTTTAACTGATCCAAAAACGACATCCTTAAATAATTGTTTTACCTAAGTAAGTCCTTCTGTCCCAGCGTCACGTTAGAACACAAAAAGCACTAGTCAAGAGGCAGAAGGCATGGGTTCTAGTCCTGATCCACCAGGATGCCCATGTGCTTCTCATAAAACAGGATTAGTGGTACCTGCCCTTTCTTACTCCTGCATTGTTGTGAAGGTCAATTGAAGTAGGTCATGAGGTCCAACTTAAAAGATAAAATACCAAGTCTCTAGAACACCACCTCCCAAAAAAAGGCAGGGTGAAGGAAGCTTGTCTCAAAACCCTAGGGGGCTGCTCTCCCTCGGAGGCCTGCCAGCAGAGGTCAGCAGCTGTAGGAGGACACAGTAGCCCAGGCATCTTGCTCTCACTCCAAAGGCCACTCCCGCAGCTGGCAACTTCGGATGTGAGGACCCAACAAAGGGAGCCCAGGGTATGGGGCATCTGCTTTAAGGGAGGCTTGTCTCCCTCTGGCTTCCTGAAGAGAGCATGTAACCAGGTCTATGGCTTCTCCTTTGGCAGGAACAGCTTGAGAACTACGACTTCACCAAATTCCACTCACTGAAACCCAAGTTGATCGAGGCCGTGGATAACATGCTGAGCAACAAGATCTCGTCTCTGATGAACCTCATCAGCCAGGAGGAGATAAGCATGCCCACACAGCTCGTGCAGGGCGGTGCCTTCGACGGCACCACCGAGGGCCCCTTCAACCAGGGCTACGGGGAGGGCGCCAAGGAGGGGGCCGATGAGGAGGAGTGGGTTGTGGCCAAAGACAAGCCCGTCTACGATGAGCTTTTCTACACCCTGTCGCCCATCAATGGCAAGATATCGGGCGTCAACGCCAAGAAGGAGATGGTGACCTCCAAGCTGCCCAACAGCGTCCTGGGCAAAATCTGGAAGCTGGCCGACTGTGACTGCGACGGCATGCTGGACGAGGAGGAGTTCGCGCTGGCCAAGCACCTCATCAAGATCAAGCTCGATGGCTTTGAGCTGCCCAACAGCCTGCCCTCCCACCTTGTGCCCCCCTCCCACAGGAAGTCCCTGCCCAAGGCCGACTGAGGGGCAGGCGGTGTAAGGTGAGGATTGGAGGGCCTGGGCTGCAGCCTGCGCTGCCACTGACTCACCGAGCAATGCTGGGCAAGGCACTGCCCTCTCTGTGCCTCAGTTTCTCCATCTGCGGAATGGGGAGGGCAGACATTAGACACTAGATGGGGTTCTTTTCCCTCTAAAATTCCCTGAGTTTCTGTTCATATACTGAGGGGAGGGTGGACAAGGGGATTGAAGATTTGAGAAGAAAGAGAAATTGCCCAAAGAGTACTCAGAAGCTGCAGAGACAGACATGGGGGTGGGCTTCGTGCAGTCCCAGGAGCCGCAGGAGGGAGCTGGGGGCTCTTCTGGGCTTCGCCGGACTCCTCTTCCTCATGCACCTGCCTAGAGCCTCTGTCTGTCCCTCAGACGGCACCGGAAGGAAGCAAAGCTCGTCTTACTTATTTTGTTTCCTACTCTATTTAGAAGGGAAACAAAATAGAGCAGAGAGGGTGTCTGTTCTCTCCAAACCATCTGCCAAAGAGAAGACTGCTGCCCCGAGGTCTGAAAGGAGGATACATGTGTCTGTGTGTGCCCCTGACCTTTCTGCAGGGGTCCCCCACAACGGCAGCCAGGTCAGCAAAGTGCAGATGTCCCAGCTCCCCACTGACTAGCTTCCCAGGGCCATCCCCCCAACCCCAGGGCCTTCGCAAAAAAGTTGTATTTGGTTAGGAATTTAGAACTCACAATATTTATTAACCCCTGGCAAGATTTCTAGTATTCATTCCAAGTCTTGTTGAGGTTTGAAGATTAGCTGTTCTTACTGGTTTGTTCAATAATTTGTAGCAAAGTCTATTTATCCTTCTTAAATCACTGTGAGGAAAAGAGGCAGTCCTCCTCTATCATCAGTTAGTGTGGTTACGTGTCCCCAAGGCTCCTTGGTCAATGGCAGGATTGAAATTCACCACAAAAATGTGTCTTGGTGCACACAGCATCCTGGACCTGTGGACACAGCAGGAAGAGGGGCCAGCCTGCCCCAGGCTGTCAGGTAGAAGAATCAGTCTACTAGTGTTACACACTATTTTTATAAAAAATAGGTATTTTTATTGTGTTCAATTTTGCTTTCTTACAGGATAAAAGCCTTTATACAGAAATAGGATGGAATCTTCCATTAAAAAAAACCTTTCCTTCAAGGGCTGTGTGTTTTGTATTATGAATGCCCATCATGAGGCAGCATTTGGGCACACTCCCCAACCCTGGCTCCTGCACCCCCCATAAAGCTCTCTGGACCACTCGCTCAGATGCCTGTGCCAGGTGGAAATGGTTACTGCTCACTGCACCCTCCCTGCCATGTGGGCTCCAGCTTGGGAAGGCAGCCTGGGGGCTCATTTCCTCCATAGTTATGCAATAAAGGAGAAAGACACAAAATAGTGGTGGCTGTGAGGTCTGGGGCCCTGCAGACAGTGGAAATGAATGAAATCGGAACAGTCCCACCTGAGCCTTCCAAAAACCAGATTTTTTTTCTGAAATCACCTGTAACATCAGTGTCCGAACTGCAGACTGAGGGGAAAATGTTTATTTTAGAGAAGTAGCCAGGTGCCAGCCCTTGTGCTCTCTAGCTTACTTTCTAAATAATGTCGTTTTAAGAGAACTAAATGCATAATATGGCTTTTAATCTGAATGAGCACTTTTATATTAGACACATAAAAAAGGGACGTCTATAATTACAGTTCTGTGATATGAGCAGATAGTTCTGTGAGCACATGAGGGCTGCCAACGGTGCAAGCTCAGGCCAGTCCTGCCAGGGTGAAAACAGAGAGAGAAGAAGACAGAGTTCATTTGTCCAAAGGTTTAGAGATGCCAAGGTTAGCTGGTTTTCCATTCAGATTTATCCTGCTGCTTTAACTCTGCTCAGTTGTCATATATGAAGACAAATATATATACATATATATGTCACATGAGTATGTATTTTTGACACTTGTCAATGTGCATGTATGCAGATAGGGCCAGGTGTTGTCTATTTAGAGACAGACAGGAAAACTGTTTTCGAGGTTTGTGGTTTCTATGGGAAGGAACCTTCTCATGGCATTGTGATCCCATCCCCCAGACCCTCAGGTGGGAGAACATCCGCAGCCGAATCCTTTCCCTGCTGAGAAAAAAAGGAAATCACATGTTCTTAATATCTTCTTTTACAACATGAAATTATTCATCATGAAAAGTGGACTGGCAAGAAAAACGCTGGAAAACATCAATGATGGGGACTCGTGAGAACTCACACAAAGTTCCCTGAGTCTGGGTCCAAACGCCCATCCTCCGACCCGCAGTGCAGCAGGGCCGCAGAACACAGAGCCCCCAGGACCTCTTCACCTTGACTGACTACATCACCCTCCCTGAGTCCCACAGACTTCAAATTAGGCACTCCGTAAAGTGTTTATGGATTGGGCAGGGGGTGGAAGTAGGTAAACTCTAGCACTATGAAACTATTTTCATGCTCTCCATGATTCCACAGAAGGAAATCTAAGAATCTTGAATCCTGAAATCTCTATTTTCTACACGGCACATAATAGCACCTAATACAGCCTCTAGAGTCTTGAGTTTAGGGGAGGAAAATGAAATGTTCAGCCTTCTCTTCCCAAAGTCAGCTTCCAGGCAGTAAGCCTGCTGAGGAGGCCCTCCTGAGCCAGTCTGTAAAGAAACTGCCCTGAGACCTGCTGACCCTCACCAGCTCCGTGACCACGTGCACACGTGCCAGCTGCCTTGGCCTTGGACTCTAGCCCACTGTCTCAACTCTCTCCACATACCCAGATGACCCAGGGTAGGGTCACTCCTCGAGGCAGGTGGCCCTTCACTGAGTGGGCCGTCACTTCCCCAGGGCTGGGTGGGTTCTCTTTGTCACCATTCAGCAACAGTGTCCTTGAGCCGGGGGTTGTGCTTCCTCCTACCGGGTAATGCGCCTATGTATCATGGGACTGGCGTCCGGTTGGGTCGGAGAGGAGTGAGGAGAAGCAGAATGCCTCCTGCTCTCCCACCGAGCCCCCTTCATGGCCATCCCGCAGAAGAGGCCTCAGTAGAGCCCTGGCCCCACCACCCCTGACAGCCGTCCTTTCCTGTGATGATCCAGGTCTCCTTGGGAGCCGCCTGTCCACCACCCTGGGAATGTCTCATACTGGAGTCTACCCGCCAGGGTAGGGGTTAACCACCGGAGTCATGGCTTGGCGACTGCCGCTGGGCCCGTTCCACTTGGCACCATCACACTCCTGTGTTATACCCAGAGCAAAACCCCAGACAGATTGCCTTGACTATAAGGAAAACATCTAACAGATACTGTTTATTTCCTCCAAGGAATGTAGCAGAAGAATTAATATTCTTAGGACAGATAACCACTGAGTTTATTCAAGGAAACATGGGCCTAATTTAAGAGTGTATCAGGTTATATGTTAGTCAGCAGTTAATACACAGTGCTTCTATTTTTTGTAATCTTGTTTTGAAGTGTCAAAAAAGACACGATCTACTGATCAATAAACTTCTGAAAAAAACCACTACCTTTCCTTCATTGGCTCTGGTTTTCCAGTGACTGAGTACCAGCTGTCTGAGGGTAAAGTCGAGATCCCTTGAATCCATTCTAAGAGTTAGGGGGAGGGCACAGCCTGGCTGCACACAGGCCCTTCCACCTCTGAATTTTCCTGTGTTCTCTCTGACAGGAGACTCCCCAAATGGGGCCTCTTTAGAAGGAAAGCAGCTCTGTCTGCTGAGGGCAGAGGCTAGGCCTTGGAGCAGAGCCCCCAGGGAGGCTCAAGCTCCAACTGAGAGTGACTAGAAGCCAAGCTTGGAGGGGACTGGAGACAGACCCTCCCATGGCTGGGACAGGGCATCCCTGAGCACACTCACAGGAGACAGCGGCCTGCCATGACATCCTCCATCCAGCACAGAAGCAAGCCCGTGCTCCCTAAGACATAGTAGTGCTAGAGTGGATCCCTGTCACGCCCTCCCCAGGGGTGAACTTCCCATGGAAGACATCTAGGTTTTTCCTGCTGGCCTCCATTTACCTTTCAGGTGATCCAGCCCTGGAATTTTTTTTGCTGAGCTCTCCCAACTTCCCCATCTTCAGTTGGCCTTGGACTCTAGCCCACTGTCTCAACTCCTCTCTCCACATACCCAGATGACCCAGGGTAGGGTCACTCCTCGAGGCAGGTGGCCCTTCACTGAGTGGGCCGTCACTTCCCCAGGGCTGGGTGGGTTCTCTTTGTCACCATTCAGCAACAGTGTCCTTGAGCCGGGGGTTGTGCTTCCTCCTACCGGGTAATGCGCCTATGTATCATGGGACTGGCGTCCGGTTGGGTCGGAGAGGAGTGAGGAGAAGCAGAATGCCTCCTGCTCTCCCACCGAGCCCCCTTCATGGCCATCCCGCAGAAGAGGCCTCAGTAGAGCCCTGGCCCCACCACCCCTGACAGCCGTCCTTTCCTGTGATGATCCAGGTCTCCTTGGGAGCCGCCTGTCCACCACCCTGGGAATGTCTCATACTGGAGTCTACCCGCCAGGGTAGGGGTTAACCACCGGAGTCATGGCTTGGCGACTGCCGCTGGGCCCGTTCCACTTGGCACCATCACACTCCTGTGTTATACCCAGAGCAAAACCCCAGACAGATTGCCTTGACTATAAGGAAAACATCTAACAGATACTGTTTATTTCCTCCAAGGAATGTAGCAGAAGAATTAATATTCTTAGGACAGATAACCACTGAGTTTATTCAAGGAAACATGGGCCTAATTTAAGAGTGTATCAGGTTATATGTTAGTCAGCAGTTAATACACAGTGCTTCTATTTTTTGTAATCTTGTTTTGAAGTGTCAAAAAAGACACGATCTACTGATCAATAAACTTCTGAAAAAAACCACTACCTTTCCTTCATTGGCTCTGGTTTTCCAGTGACTGAGTACCAGCTGTCTGAGGGTAAAGTCGAGATCCCTTGAATCCATTCTAAGAGTTAGGGGGAGGGCACAGCCTGGCTGCACACAGGCCCTTCCACCTCTGAATTTTCCTGTGTTCTCTCTGACAGGAGACTCCCCAAATGGGGCCTCTTTAGAAGGAAAGCAGCTCTGTCTGCTGAGGGCAGAGGCTAGGCCTTGGAGCAGAGCCCCCAGGGAGGCTCAAGCTCCAACTGAGAGTGACTAGAAGCCAAGCTTGGAGGGGACTGGAGACAGACCCTCCCATGGCTGGGACAGGGCATCCCTGAGCACACTCACAGGAGACAGCGGCCTGCCATGACATCCTCCATCCAGCACAGAAGCAAGCCCGTGCTCCCTAAGACATAGTAGTGCTAGAGTGGATCCCTGTCACGCCCTCCCCAGGGGTGAACTTCCCATGGAAGACATCTAGGTTTTTCCTGCTGGCCTCCATTTACCTTTCAGGTGATCCAGCCCTGGAATTTTTTTGCTGAGCTCTCCCAACTTCCCCATCTTCAGTCTGAACCATGAAGATAGGGTGAGACAGACCCCATCCCCTCTTTCCAGGATGGATTCTGATTCACTTGAGCCAATTAGAGTATTTCATCCCTCTGGTCACAGAAATTGGTTCAGAAATGGATATGTGACTCAATTCAAGCCTATGAGAGCCACACCCCTCAGACTTCCAGCTTTTGAGAGAGATGTTCTCTCCTGTCAGAACCAGGCAGTGTAAAGAAGCAAACCTAGTGGTGCAACAATATAAATGGCATTGAGAGGTGTGTCCAGAGATGCTGAGGGCAGGGAAGTGAACGTAGGCTAGCAGGAATCACCCTGTGGAGCATGAAGATAAAGGAGGCACTGAGAAAGACCAAGGGAATCCAGGCCTGTAGTAACATCATTTGAACTGCTGGATCAAACCTTACCTGAAGTCCTCCTCCTGCCAAACTTCTCAGTTGTGTGGGTCAATACATTTCCATTATGTTGTTTAAACCTAGTTGACTGGAGATTTCAGCTACTTCCAATGTAAATAATCCAAAACTGTGTACTGACCAACAGAGATACTCTTCAGCAGGGGCTGCGATCAGTCATTGCAAAAAAGGAGCTAGTGCTTTCAGCGTGTACAGTGGCTTTAGCTGCACTCGAGCTAAGGAGGAAGACAAGCAGTTCCCCAGACCCACTCAACAATCTCAGCCCTGGGCTAGGTTGGGTGTATTTCTCTCAAGGCCTGGAAAGCCGAGTCCAGGATCTGATGATTCTCCTCCATCTATGGCAGTGACCCCAGAAGAGGATGAAGGGCTCTGATCTGGGGTGCTCCTTCCAATGCCCACCCCAATAGATGCTCACAAAGAGGCCCTGTAGGGGTGCAGAAGGGCAGTCCCAGACTAGAAAATGGGTGCAGAAGCTTCTAACCAAAGGCTAGGCCCTGGTGCCTTTTACCCTGACTGCAGGTCCCCCACAGTGCCCCCACCAGGAGCTGCCTTGAAGCCATCCCATGGTCTCTGCATCTTGAGAGCCAGGACCCCCACCTGACATGGAGGCATTTGCGATGCAGGGATAAGGAAGGAGGAGATCATGGAGCGATAGTTTGGAGCATTCTTGAGCCACCCCCTCTCAGTCTGAGCCAAGTCCTGCAGCAGGTGGGAGGACAATGCCAGCTATGTGTATCACTCCTACCCCACTGGCTTAAGAGGAGGGCCATGGCGTGGCCCCAGCTCCAGCCTCAGCCCCAGCTGATGGTTCTCCCTCCCCACACAGCTCTTGCTAGCTTCCATTTCCATCCAGCCAGTGGTTCTCCTCCCCAGGCCTGGACATCGCCAAGGTGAGCAGTTTCCTGTTTTCCTTCTACCTGCTCTATTCATCCCAAGGAGAAGCAGCCAGTTGCTGCAATCCGGAGGAGAGCCCTAGGAGCTGAGGTCTGAGAAGAATCTGGAGAATGGGATGGGGCAAAAGGGTCCTGGGTCATTCAAGTGCAGGGCACCAGCTAGGAGCACCAGACCCTTACCTAGCTAGATCTCAAGCCAGAACATATCACCAAATGTGGGGACAGTCTGACAGGGAGGGGCCCACTGACCCTCAGAGGCACACCACTCCAAGGGAGTCATGCATATCCACACTCCTCCCCCAAACTCCATGCCCTCAGCATCTCCAGTTTAGGGAAATGTCCAGTGGCCCTTTGTCCCCAGAGGGCTACAAGCCTGATGGCTGGTCAGCCCCACAGTTCCCAGCAGTCCTTGGGGTGACAGGGCACCTGAAGCAGAAGATCAGCCACAGAGCCTGGGGCTCTCCCAATCCTGTCCTGCCATGGACTCTGCCTACGAGATGGGCCATGTTCGCAAGCTGCAGGCGCGGCACACACGGATGCAAGAAAAGACTTTCACCAACTGGATTAACAACATCTTCCAGCACAGCAGGGTGAGTGCAGCTGGGCTTGCCCACAGCCCACCTCTCCCATCCCTCAGCTCTCAGGCCAGTGGACCCTGGCCGGGCAGCTGTGAGTTCATCTGGCTAAGACCACTTCTCTTTTCAACCCCAAAGTATAACTGAAACCAGTACTCCTTCCTTGAGGCAGCTACTCTGGGCTGCATAAGGCTGGGCTGATTCTGTCCGTTCCCCCATCCATTCCTAGGTGGGCATCAAGATCCAGAGCCTGTACACAGAGCTGGCCGACGGCACCCACCTACTGCGGCTGCTAGAGCTCATCTCTGGGGAGGCTCTGCCACCCCCCAGCAGGGGCCGCATGCGTGTGCACTTCCTAGAGAACAGCAGCCGAGCTCTAGCTTTCCTCAGGACCAAGGTGGGCACTGGCGGAGGGCTTCTGGACATGGGAGAAGGTGGGGTGGGAGTAGGGAGAGGCTCGACTAGGAGATCATCCTTCCTGGGCTGGCAACAGGGCAGAGCAGAGAATCTGCAGCCTGAATCTGGGAAGAGCAGCTGGGACAGCAGAAAGCAAAGCCTTTCCCTGAGCAGTTCTCCCAGGTTCGAGAGCACCCAACTGACTAGAGCAGGGACAGCCATCGTCCGGCTGCTGGACTGAACTATGCCATTGACTCCCATGAGAGAATCACAGGAGAGATTCCATGTACTCCTAACCTCTTTTCTTCGTAAATGAGGAAATCATTTACCAAGCAAGACCCAGGGTCACTGGCCGGCAGAGTCCAGATGTGGGGCTAGGGGAGGCAGACTGAGGACAGGACCCAGGGAAAGAGCCCCAGACACTGAGCCAGCAGTGCAGGGAAAGGGTGCAGGGTCTGCTGTGTGGGAGCTGGACCAGACAGCAGGGTGGGGCCTCCACAGCAGCCGAGAACCAGAGTCACCTGAAAGGGAGGGATGGCCCAAAGAAACAGTCACTTAAAGAAGGCGAGAGCCCCAGGGACACAGAGGGACCCTCACAGCCAGTGTCGGGGGCCGCACGTGGGTCACTGACACTGAGAACCAGCCTGAGGGCTCCTGGCCTCAGGGGAGGCAGTGAGGTGGCTTTTCCTGGGGCCACAGTCACCGTTCTAGAACTGGCCTTGAGCAGCTCTCCCAGGTTCGAGAACTGAGCCTGAGTGTGTGTGCCTGCCATTTATGTACCCGAATGGAGGCCCCAGTCAGCCCTCTGGGAGACTGTATGCTAGAGAGAGGCCAGAGAGCTAAGAAACCTAAGCATGGCATTAAAATACTAATGCTATATTACTTCATGCTGAGAATTTAAGAATGGAAAAAGTGTCCTTTAAACTAGACCTTGAATGTTAAATAGGAGTCATATAGACACAGATGGATGTAAGACATTCCAGATGATGTTCAGTATATAGCAGCATGTTGATTCATTTATTAATTCATTCAACATCTATAACTTGAGTGTCTACTCTGTGACAGTCACCTTTCTAGCCTTGAGGGATTCAGCAGTGAACAAGATCAGCAAAAGCAATTCAGTTCTCATGGGGTTTGCATTCTAGTTGGGAGAGAACTTGCAATTCCATTTGGCTGGAGCAGAGAATACATTAACGAGAGCAATAGTGGGTATGTGGAATTATACTGGAGTTGGACAATGGAGGGCCTTCTATTCTAGCCTGCATTTGAATTTTATGGTGATGCATTGGCACTATTCTTAAAGCCTGCTAATGGGCCATGGGGGTCAATGAAGACTTTCCTAACCAGAGTAACAGGGTAAGGAAGAATTTACAGTGATATAACCTCTGAGAGTGATCATAGACAATGGAGCTATAAATGTGGGCTGGCTGAAGGGGAAGAGAAAGTGGTCCATCCATGGTAGAAATAACTCTGGCTTTGGAATCAGATTGCTCCTAGTTGTGAGATTCTGAAGGGGTTATTTAAACTCTCTGACTATTAGTTTCTTGTTTTGTAAAATAAAGTCCAATTTATAAAAAAAAAAAAAAAGAAAGAAAGAAACCTAAGCATGGGACAGAAGCATTGTGGCCACGAGCACATGAAAGAGCAGCAAGCTGCCAGCCCCAGAAGGCCAGGCCCCATTGGTCTGAGGGATGGTGGCCTGTGAGCCAGCCACATCCCTTCCAGGAACTCAGGAAGTGTGAGCCCCGGGGCCCCTGCCAGAGGCTCTGCAGCTCCCCTCAAGCTTTGATACCCAGCATGTCACTGACATAGCCTATGAAGGTGAGGGCCTGTCTCCACTATACATACAAGGCAGCTGTGGTCAAACGTTGCCCCAACACGTGGTTACTAAGTAACCAAATGTGGGATGCACTCATTTCTGGAGATCTTATAATGTGCTGGGTGCTTCGTGCCAGGCTCTAGGGACCACAGTCAGCAAAGTCCAGACCTGATGATAAGGGGCCCACTATTTCAGGGGAGACAGTTTATTTGAACCCAGATCAACAGTGTGCTGGTAAATGTTTAACAGCCAGCTCTCAGGGAAGGCAAGGAGAGGGGATGGAATAAAAGCCCTGGTTTGTAGCATTTGCTGATTCCCATGGTGTTGATACCCAACCGTGGTGAATTTCAAGCTACCAGCATGACATCACTAAACACATCACTGTCTGGGATCTGTTATGAGCAGCCTCCAACACCCCAATGACCAGATGCTCCAACTTCAAGCTGAGGTGAATACAGGGCTCAGGTGTGCCAGGAGGTGAGGGCAGAGGTGGGGCAGGTCCTTCAGAGACCAGGCGGACACAGCAAAGTGTACCATGGGGAGTACCTGGGGATGCAGCCCCTCCTGCCATGCTGGTGGTTGGCTGAAGCCAGCTTCCAGCCAGGTCTTAGGGAGAGTCTCCCTTTCTTTCTCCTTTCAGTGCATATTTATCCGTTACCCACTATGTGCCAGACACTCTGCTAGGGACTTGGGAGACACCATAGAACAAAACCAAGATCCCCACCCAAGCAGGACCCATGGATCAAGCATGTGTGTTTGGGCCAGAGGAATAGTCCTCAGGTTTCGATTTTAAATAATGTGGCAGGATAGACCCCACGAGAAAGTGTCCTTTGAATAAAGACTTTAAGGAAGAGAGGGAAGTAACCTTGTGGCTATCTGGGGAAAAAATACTTTCAGACAGCAGGCCTAGCAGGTACATGGGCCCCAAGGCCTGTGCTTAGAATATTGAGGAACTGCAAGAATCCCACGGGCCTTGGAGCCTGTGGTCCAGCAGAGCAGGACGGAGCCAGAGGGTGGAGGAGCCCAGGTCATGGCGGCTTTGATGTCCACTCTCTTTCTTTCTCCCCTCGATTCACTCCCAAGGTTTCAAGTTCTCAACTTCAGTGCACATAAGAGCCACCCAAGGTGTTTGTCCAAATGGAAATTCTTGTGCCCTTGCGTAAAGCTTGAGAGTCTGAATTTTTAACAGAGGGTGGAACACTGATGAAGTGGGTCGTGATTCAGGCGTGAGCCTGGGACCCGAGCCCCCCACCCCACCCGGGGGATACTGAGAGGCCCTGAGAGGTGGAGGCGGGCAGTTGTTGTCTATTGAGCTCATCCATTGACTGTTATGACCCCTCATTTCCAGCCCCTGTAGCTGAACCCTGACCTTACACTTACCTGTAGCCCACATACAGGGAGTCCCACTCTAGCGGTGCAGCCCAGTTCACCTGGTCATGGCTTTGCCCAGGTGGGCTTGAGGCCAAGTCCCCAAACACTTAAGTCTTCACTTGCCTGGCCTTGTGCCCTGCCTACTTCTCCCTTCGGGACATCTTGGGGTGGGACAGATTCCAGGACCCTCCCATTCCCCAGCTGGCCCCCTGAACTTTTAGAACTCTGAGTCTTCTCTGGCATAAGGGCTTCATGGCTGAGCCCTGCCAACTGTGCCCACAGGTGCCGATACCCCTCATCGGGCCAGAGAACATCGTGGACGGAGACCAGACGCTCATCCTGGGCCTCATCTGGGTCATCATTCTGCGTTTCCAGATTTCCGACATCTCCCTGGACAGGGTATGTCTCAGCTCCCAGCCCCCAGTTACCAGCCCAGCCCAGTCTCACCTCAGACCCCTGGGGACAGAGCAGTTCCACCCAACTGTTAGGATCCCCAGAGCAGATCCTCAGCATCCTTGCAATTAATATTCTCTCTTCAACCACGGGCAAAGAATTCAGACTGTCAGAGAGACTACAGTAGGCTGAAGTGAGAACTAGGGTCATGGGCTTCCAACCTGTCTTGCCAATGGGTTTCAGCCCCGGGCAAGTTCGCTATGGATTCAATGTGACCAAAGAAATTGACAGCAAAACGGTTCTTTGGGGTGAAAGGGTTTATTACCCGGCTTGTTCTCTGGCAGTAGGTTGAGCACTACCATGTCTGCCTCTACCCAGAGCACTGGGCCGAGCTCTTCATAAGACTCAACAGCCGTGTATTGCCCACAGGTGTGCAGTGAGTTAGTCAGCCAGGGCCAGGTGAGAATCCTGGCCACAGGAACTCTCATTTTATCCACACAACCTGACCTGGGACAAGTCATTCATGAGTAAGAGGGTTGAGGTGACTGCCCAGCATCTGCCTTTTGCCCCCAGTTTGCTGCTCTGGACTTGGGACTGAAGTCCTGTGATTCACTACAGCTTAATGTACTATTGGGGGGAATGAAACATTTAAAGGGAGTGCAGCCCTGGAGGTTCACAAGTCCTAGTATCCCAAAGACCTCAGAACTGGCCCCCATTTCCCTCTATTCTCCCTCTCATGTTCCCACAATGGGATCAGAAAGAGAAAAAACACAAAGTCCTTATATTTAGCAATTTTTATGGTTTCATGGTTTCAAAATACCATCTAAACTCCATCCCAGTGTTAGGAAAGCCAACTCAGAGAATGAAACTCTAATGGAAAGAATCATCAATTTGGCTCAAATCCAGAAAGACCCTTCAACTCATGATGCAACTGTGCCCCCCAGGAGGGCAGGAGCCTCCCCTGGCTTTGTCCGCAGAGCCTAGCACCCATGTGGAGAATGGATGGATGGATGAATTTCTAACTGACATCAAGCTCTTCCAGGGAGTCCCGCTCTCTCTTCCCAGCCCCTAAGCCAGTTCCCAGCACCCCTACGCCTTTTCCCTTGGGAAGAGCACATCTGCATTATCCTCCTGACCAGCTACTATGTGCCCCACTGGCTCTGTCTGTCTGCAGCCCACTAGGGCCTGCTCCCCACAAAACTCAGGCATGTCTGGGACCAGGCTGGCCCCGCTCCCTCGCATGCTCATCCCCGGAATCTCTCTGGTTCATGTCTGCCAGCCTAGCCCTGCCGCTCAGGATGTCTGGGCCTGCCTGGTTGTGACAAAGCCTGCTCCAGGCCTTGAGCCCCCACCCCCTCACTACAGCCCATGTGTCCTTGCTACCCAAGCTCTGGGCCCAAAGGGCAGTAAAATGCAACCTGCTCTGCTTTGACATTTTGAGATTTAAACAATTGGGGGAGGGGGAGAGCAAATGTGAGGAGGGGTGGGAGAGGAAAAAAGGAGAGGGAAACTTTGGGTTGTGGGGGGCCAGGGAGGGAGCAGATGGAAGGAGACTACTTCTGAGGGAAGGACAGGGACTAGCAATGGAAGGTGAGGGAAAGAAGGAGGCCAGAGGAAGGTGGGGGAAAGGAAGCACTGAGTGGAAGAGAGCGGGCAGGGCAGGTGGGCGTGCGGGTGGAAGCCAGGGTGGCTGAGCCAAGGAAATTATCAGTAAGAGGAATATGCCGGGGTGGAGGGGACTGAAACCAGATATGGATGGCCATTCTCCAGCCTGAAGTAGCATTGCCGGCTCTGCCCGCAGGCAGCCGTGTGGGGAGGTGGTGGACAGGTGGGCTCACTGTGTCACAGGTGGGCTCTCGTCACACGTTTCTGGGTCAGGTGAGCCGCTCCCATCAGCTGGGGACCCTGGGCAGCTTCCTAATCTCACTGCATCTGTCTGCCGTTCTCAGCATGTAAATCCTAAGAATGCCTATCTCTTAAGACTGTGAGGGATGAAGAGCCACATTCACGGGCCCAGTACCTGCCTGGCAGAGGGGACTGGGACCCAGTCTAATGAAGCCCCGGGTCGGGGTTGGTTAGCACAATGCCCAGCCCATCGTAAAGGCTGGAGAAATGGGGGCTGGTGCTGTTAATGTTCCTACTTGCAATTTAAAGCCAGCTGCTCAGAGGAGACAGACAGCTTTCAGGCACCCCACATCTTTGGAAGGATAATCTCCACAAAGGAAATCAGATGCTCTGAAGAGAGGGCAATCTGCACCCACTCCAGGCTGGGGAGCAGGGTCAGGCCTATGCCCAGCCAGCCTCCCACAAAGCTCGCAGGCTCAGCTGCCTCCCCACTGCCCCTGCGTGGGGACATGCTGCCTTGTTCCTCCAGGAGGAGTTTGGGGCTGGCGCAGCCCTGCTGTCTGCCAAGGAAGCTCTGCTGGTCTGGTGCCAGCGGAAGACAGCCTGCTACGCGAACGTCAGCATCACTGACTTCTCCCGCAGCTGGAGTGATGGGCTCGGCTTCAATGCCCTCATCCATGCCCACAGGTGTGCCGAGGGAAAGGGGGCCCAGCACCTGACTGGGCCTGACCTGGCCTGAAGCAGGCCTCAGCCTTCTGCCTGGGGGCCTCCACCCACTGAACCAATGCTCCCAGGCTTGGGTCCCCAACATTCTCTCACGTCTCTCTGACCCCTGCAGCCTGGGCACAGAAGTAGGGCGGGCTGATGTCTGAGGCCCTGGTCTATGATCATCCCTCCCCCTTTCCTAGGAAATTCTGTGAAACTGGCCAGGTTTGCCTTTGACCTCTGCCTTTCTCCCATTTCTGTGCCCCTGATTCTCTTTTCCATCCTCACCCTGGCAAGTGCCCACCCTTTTGGAGCTTCTCCCCTACCCACGAACCTGGCACCTGAGCAAAATCAACCCTCCCCTATCAGAGCCCTAGTCCTTCAGATAACCAGCAGGTGGAAACTATTGTGCCCTAAGGGGTGAGTGGCCAGTAGGGGCTTATTTGCCTTTTTAACAAGTCCACTTAAACCTGAGTAAATCACTCCAGTGAAGAGCCCTGCCTGCTCTCTGTCCAGGCCAGACCTGCTTGACTACAGCTCCCTGAGTCCTGACCGCCCACTGCACAATCTTGACCTTGCTTTCTGCATGGCTGAGCAGGAGCTAGGCATTGCTCAGCTGCTGGACCCCGAGGATGTGGCAGCTCCACAGTCTGATGAGCGCTCCATCATGACCTATATCTCCCTCTACTATCACCACTTCTCCCGCCTGCACCAGGGGCGGACAATCCAGAGGAGACTTGTTAAGGTTGGTGACAAAGGGAAGGCGTCATCAGGGAAAGGTAGGGGTGAGAGTGGAATCCAGAGTCAGACACACCTGGGTTTGAAGCCTGCCTCTGCCACTTGCTAGCTGTGTGGCCTTGGCCACGTCACCAAACTTTACTGTGTCCCATCTGCAAAGTGAATAGGACAGTGCCTGGGCAATGGAAGGCTGCTGTGAGTGTTAAGGGAGCATAAGCAAAGTACCCAGCACGGTGCCCAGAACACAGAAAAAGCCAGGCGAGTGACATCCCCTCCTCCCCACTCCCTGATCTTGGGCTGTTAAGCTCCTAATGGGATTAAAAGGCTCAGAGAGCTGGACTCTGCCAGGACAAGCACAGAAGCAGCTCTGTTTTGGGGGTCTCTTACTCTCTGGGCACGATGGCAGAGGCTGAGGCCAGGGAGGATTGTTCTCAAGGTTGGTGTCTCAGTCAGACATTGGTAGATGATCCAGGCCAAGGGCTCAAGCTGCTTTAGGGGTATGGGGGCATCAGGGAAGGGGAAGAAGTCTCAGAAAAAGAATAGCACCCCAGAGGTAAGGATGAATGGGGTAAAATAAGATTGAGGAAGGCAGGATGGGAGCCCCATACTCCCACGTCTGAGCGTGCAAGGCTGGGGACCCACTTCTCTGGCGATTGGGAGGACCCCCACTTTAGTGCATCTCAGCTGAGGGGAGGAGGTGCTGCCCAGCTGGGCAACCCTGGCTGGCACTCAGCATCCAGAAAGCAAGTGCCTCCATGCAAGGGCCTGATCACCTCCCTTGTCCTCCACCAGATCCTGCTCCAGCTCCAGGAGACAGAGGGGCTGCAGACCCAGTATGAACAGCTGATGGCCGACCTGCTCTCCTGGATTGCAGAGAAGCAGGTGCAGCTGGAGGCAAGGGAGTTCCCAGACTCCCTGCCAGCCATGTGCCAGCTACTGGTGGCCTTTGCCTCCTTCCGCACCCAGGAGAAACCACCGCGGCTGCAGCAGCGATGGGCCACGGAGGCCCTGCTCTTCCGGCTGCAGACAGCACTCCGAGCCCAGAACCGCAGGCCGTTCCTCCCTCATGAGGGCCTGGGCCCTGCGGAGCTGTCTCAGCGCTGGGCAGGCCTGGAGCAGGCAGAGGCCTTGAGGAGCCGGGCCCTGCAGCAGAGGCTCCTGCAGCTAGAGCGGTTGGAAAGCCTGGCCTGGTGCTTCCAACGCAAGGTGGCCCTCCGGGAGAGCTTTCTGACAGATGCAGAGCGAGTGCTGGACCAGGCCGCAGCTCCACAGGCCAGCCCAGCCTCAATGGAGGCAGCCACTCAGAGGCTGGGCATGCTAGAGGCCAGTATCCTGCCCCAGGAGGGGCGCTTCCAGGCCCTGGCAGAGATGGCAGCTGTCCTTCAGCAGGAGCAGTACCATGGTCAGGCCAAAGTGGCCTGCAGGTGAACTCCTGGCATATGGCTATCCTCAGAACAGGCTAAGGCCTCCTACCATACCCCATCTTTCCAAAGGCCCATTTCTGGCCACAGAGGAGAGGGGCAAATTAAGGATTCAGGGCTCCCTTTAAAAAGATCTAGCTACCACAGATGCCTGAAATTCCACCATCCATAATTTAACCCTTTTGGTAAAGCACTGTCCTTTCTAGATAGCCCCTTATTGATTCATTCATTAAACAAGCATTTATTGAGTAATTACTGTGTCCCAGGCACTGTTTTAGGTGCTGAAGATTTAGCTGTGAAGAGGACAAACAAAATCCTTCCTCTCATGGTGTTTACACATGACTAAGGAAAACAGATAAATAAGAAAAATGTGAGATAGCAATTAAAAAACAATAATAAAGTATATTGAGCTGGTATGTAGATATACAGGGATATATAGGATAAGGGGTAGGGTATACAAGGTGACAGGGTTGAAGGAGAAGGTTAGATGGGGTGGTCAGGAGGTTCACTTTTGAGCAAAGACCAGAAAGAAATGAGGGGGCCAGCCATACAGATATGGGGATGGACTGTAACAGGCCGAGGGAACAGTTAGCCAGAGGGTCCAAGTCCCAGCCACACAGCAGCGGTCCCAAGAGGGAACGCATGACTGGCATGTTGAAAAATAGCACACAGGCCAGTGTTGGCTAAAGTAAACAAGTAGTTGTCGAGGTCAGGAAGGTACAGGTCAATGGGTGGAGGCAGAGATCAAGTTGGGTCCTGTAGGGCACAGGAAAAGCTTGGTGTTTACTCAGAAAGATAAGAAATCACGGGTGGGCTTGAGCAGAGGAGTGATACAATCTAACTTTAGTTTTATAGTGATCCAGACAGATGCCATGTCAGAAACAGACTGCAGGGGCAAAGGCAGGAGCAGATGGACCAGTTATGAAGCTATTGCAATGATCTAGGCCAGAGAAGCAGTGGCAGGGATGCTGAATGGTGGGATTCTGGATATAGTTTAGATCCAAGAGGATTTGCAGCCAGATCAGATGTGGGGTATAAGAAAGATATCAAGGTTTTAGCACAGGCACCTAGAAGGATGTAATTACTATCACCTAATGTGAGGACTGGAAAGTAGGCTTAGGGGGATATGAAGGCCTGAACCCTCCAGGCCCTCCTCGTGGCTTCTCTGCCTGGATTTGAAAGCCAGGGACACACTGCCCCAACCACCCCAGGCTAGGATGTTTCAAGCCCCCAGCTTCAGAGCTTGGGCTCCTCCAAGACAGCCAAGCCCCCACCAACTGTGGCCCCGAGGGGCCCTACCCACCCAGACCAGTGGAGACCACCCTTATTCTCATGTCCTCCAGGCAGCTGGAGATCACTCAGCGCTGGGAGCAGGTCCTTCAACGTCTCCAAGGGCAGAGGAAGCAGCAGGCAGGCATGCAGGCTGTACTGAGCCTACTGCAGAAAGCAGAGACTGCTGCCAGCCAGCTCAAGGAGCTGCAGGTAGGCCCTGGTTCGCAGACCCCTGGGAACATGGCAGGGTTCACCAGCACACTGGGACTGTGGTGACCACTCGTCCACTCCTGGCCAGGTGCTGGCCAGTTCCACGGCATGTGGGCAGCAGCCGGCAGAGGTAGTGGAGCTGCTACAGAGGCAGGACCTGCTGGAGGCCCAGGTCTCAGCCCTCGAGGCCCATGTGAGCCATCTTGCCCACCAGACCACAGAGCTGCACTCCTCCCTGGGCACTAGTGTGGAGGTGCTGCAGGCCAAGGCTCAGGTGCTGGCCCAGCTCCACCAGAACCTGGTATCTCTTGTCAGGGCCCGGTAAGAGCTCACCTCTACTCTTCTACCTTTTCCAGAACTTTTCTATAACCTGAATTACCTCCCGTCCAGATTTAAATACCACTGGCCTGGCAACTTCCTATACACTGACCCTTACCCCCAAGGCCTCTGTCTTTCCTGTTGAGTCATCCAGGGTAAAGAAAACTCCTAACTAAGGGGAATGGATGTGCCTGGTGGGGAGCCCTTTCCCCAAACCCTTCCATGGCCTCTGCCATCCCTCAGGCGGGCCTTGCTGGAGCAGACCCTGCAGCAGGCAGAGTTTCTGCACAACTGTGAGGAGGAGGAAGCCTGGTTGAGGGAGTGCACGCAGCTGGTAGAGGATACAGCCCTGGGCAGGGATCTCAACCAGATCGCAGTGGCCCTGCAAAAACAGAAGGTGCCAGCTACCCTATGCCCTGGTGGTCCCCACTTCCCTGCCGCCCTTCCCTTCCCCTCACCAAGCTGCCTGCTCTGCACTCCACCAGGCCCTGGAAGCAGAGCTCCGCAGACACCAGGTCAAGTGCGCGGATCTCCTGCAGAGGGGACGCGACCTGCGCGCCCGCGGACCCCCGACGCAGTGGGATCCCCGGGAGCGGGCAGAGGCGGTGCAGGGCTTGTGGCAGTGGCTTCGGGGCCTGGCGGCCGGGTGGGGTGCGCGGCTGCAGGCGGCCCTGCTCGTTCAGCAGGTAGAGCGGCAGCCGGCGGTGGGTGGCCAGGTGGGGTGTGCAGGGTCAGTCGCACTCAGCTGCCTCCTTCCCGCAGTACTTCACTGATGCAGCAGACGCGGCCGCGTGGCTACTACAGCAGCAGTCAGCGCTGGAGAGCACGTCCTGTGGGCAGGATCAGGCAGCTGCCGAGGCCCTGCTGCAGCGCCACCCGCGGCTGGAGCGCACCGTGCGCACCTTTGGGGCCGAGCTGCGGCAACTGGATGAGCAGGCGCGGGCGGCCGCAGCCCGGGCATCGCTTGCAGTAAGCGCGGGGACGCGGCAGGGACCCAGACCTACAGCTCCGACTGTGCACATGCTCTCCGCGTGCGCCCATCTCCCACCGCCAGGCAAAGGGCGGAAATGCGAGGGCTTTGGTGGCCCTGTCCTGGAACTGTGGTCTTCCCTGCACACCCCTCCTCAGCAGCATCTCACCTGCTACACCAGCCCAGAGTTTATAAAATCCAGCCTGCCCCTGGGCATGGAGGTCACCTAAGTATGACTTTGCTCACTTTGCCCACCAGTTCCCAGGCATTTTCAGGCTCCTTCAGGAATGTCCCTGTTACTTTCACCGCCCCAGGTACTACTACCTCTGGCCCCACCCTGCCAAGCCTTCTGATGCTTGGGGGAGCACCCTCTGGACACACTGCCCCCTGTCCTGTCCACACAGGTGGTGTCTGCCCTGGGCTCTCCGATGGAAGACCCAAGGAACCTGGGGGCCTGCTGTGAGGTTTCTGGCCATTCGGGCCCCCTGGGCACCCAGAAGATGGCCTTCCCTGCTGAGCTTGGCCCTGACTTTGACCCAAACACCATACTCCAGACACAGGACCGTTTGACCCAGGACTATGAGGGTCTGCAGGTCCTGCTAGAGGTAATGTTCCATGTTTTGGAAATGTTAACAGAGCACACACTCTGTGCTAGACCCTGGGCTGTGAGCCCAGGGACAGAGTAGTGACTGGACATGCTCACTGCCCTGAGGATTTATGTCATGGCAGAGAAGATGTGAAATATGTCACTAGATAGATGCTAGTGTGATTGGAGCAGGTGAGAGGAGAGCCCGCATCAGGCTGGGGAGGCTGGGGAATCAGGAAAGGCATCTCTGAGGGAAGGCCATTTAGGCTGAGACCTGAACAAAGAGAAGCTGAGAGGAGGTGAAACCAGGGGAGGGAGGGAAGATACTGAGGAGACCATGTTCATGGCAAGACCTACACAAAGGCAGGGAGGAGGCCTGATGCAGGAGTGCCCGGAGCCTGGAAGTAGGTCAGAGTGGCAGGTGGCTGGAAGAGAGCCTGGAGGGGAGGCAGGGGAGCCAGCAGAGCCAGGTCCCTCGGGAAAAGAGTGGCTGGTCCCTAAGAGCCAACTGCCAGAGGAGGACAAGGTCGAAAGAGCACCTTCTTCCCGGGCCCTGAACCTGACACTGAGCTCTGCCAGCGTCCTCCCCTGGACCTCAGGCAGAGGGCCCAGGGCCCAGTAGTGGGGCCAGCACCCTCTCGGGCCTTGGCCCTGGGCTCTGCTGGTGTGTGTGTTGGGGGTGAGGGGTGGATCACGGGGACCTGGTCTGAGCACCCTGTCGGGGACACTGGCCCTCTCACCCCAGCCTCTGGGCCGACGTCTCCACAGCACCGCAGAGCCAGGCTGGAGGAGGCAGTGGCCCTGTCTGGCTTGTACAGCTCGTGTAGGGATCTCCAGTCCTGGCTGGAAAACCAGACCAGCCTGTTCCAAACGCTGCAGCCCCAGGCTGACAACTTGGAAGCTACCCAGCTCAAATATGAGGTACGGCCCCCTTCAGCCAAGGCAAGGCTCTTACTACCGGCCCTGCTGCCCCTCCTTACTACTGTCCTTCTCCCCCTCACCTTGCAGCTGCCTCACCATCATTAACTGCTGTGCCTGTTTTCTGTGTTAACCATGGTCCTGAAAGGAGGGGGCAACAGAGCTGGCCTTGAATTTTTTTATTAAGATATAATTGACATGCAACATTTTATTAGTTTTGGGTATACACGATAATGATTCAATGCTTGTATGTATTGAAATGATCACCACAATAAGTCTACTAGCATCAATCATATAAATTTTTTCTCTTGTGATCAAAAGTTTTAATTATTTATTCTTTTAATAACTTTCAAATATGCAGTACAGTATTATTAACTATAGTCACCATGATGCACATTATATGCCCTTGACATTTATTTTATAACCGGAAGTCTGTATCTTTTGGCTCTCTTCATCCATTTTGCCCACCCCCTACCCTCCACCTCTGCAAACCACCCATTTGTTCCCTATAACTACGAGCTTGGGTTTTTCTTTTTTATCCCACACATAAGTGAGATTATACAGCGTTTGTCTTTCTTAGTCTTATTTCACTTCCCATAATGCCTTCAAGGTCCATCCATATCTTACCAAATGGCAAGATTTCATTCTTTTTTATGGCTGAATAATATTCTGAGGTGTGTGTGTGTGCACACACCATATTTTCTTTGTCCATTCATCCATCGGTGGACTCTTATATTGTTCCATGTCTTGGCTATTATAAATAATGTTGCAATGAACGTGGGAGTGTATTTATCTTTTCCAGTTAGTGCACTCATTTTCTTTGGGTTAATACCCAATAGTGGAATAGCTGGATCATATGGTATTTCTATTTTTTATTTTCTGATGAACCTCCATACTGTTCCCTGCAGTGGCTGCACCAGTTTACATTCCCACCTACAGAACACAAGGGTTTCTCCACATGCTCACAACACTTGTTATTTCTTGTCTTTTTGACATTAGCCACTCTAACAAGTGTGAAATGATATCTCATTGTGTTTTTGATTTGCATTTCCCTGATGATGAGTGATGTGGAGCATCTTTTCATGTACCTGTTGGCGGTCTGTATGTCTTCTTTGGAAAAATCTCTATTCAGTTCCTCCACCCATTTTTTTAATCAGATGTTTGCTTTTGAGTTGTATGAGTTATTTATATGTCCTGGACATTAATTACTATCAGATATAATATATATATATATTTTTCCCCCATTCTATAGGTTGCCTTTTCATTTTGTGGATGGTTTCTTTTGCTGTGCAGAAGCTTTTTAGGTTGATGTAGCACAACTTGTTTGTTTTTGCTTTTCCTGCCTTTGTTTTTGGTGTCCAATCCAAAAAATTTCCACCAAGACCAATGTCAAGAAGCGTACCATTTATTTTCCTCTGGTTTTATGATTTCAGGTCTTACATTCAAGTCTTTAATCCATTTTGTGTTAATGCTCGTGTATGGCGTCAGATTGTGGCCCAGTTTCATTCTTTTGCATGTGACTGTCCAGTTTTCCAAGCACCATTTCTTGAAGAGATTGTCTTTCTCCCATTGCATATTCTTGTCATTGTCATGTATTAATCGACCATATATGTGTGGGTTTATTTCTGGCTCTCTATTCTGTTTCATTGATATATGTGCCTGTTTTATGCCAGTACCATACTGTTTTGATTACTACAGCTTTGTGATACAGTTTGAAATCAGGGAGAATGGTACCTCCAGCTTCATTCTTCTTTTTCAAGATTGCTTTGGCCATTCAGGGTCTTTTATGGTTTCATACAGATTTTAGGGTTGTTTTATTTCTGTGTAAAATGCCATTGGAATTTTGATAGGGATTGCACTGAATCTGTAGGTTGCTTTGGGTAATAATGGACAATTTAACAAGATTAATTCTTCCAATCCATGAACACAGAATATTTTTCCATTTATTTGTGTCTTTAATTTCTTTCAGCAATATCTTACAGTTTTCAGTGTCCAGGTCTTTCACCTCCTTAGTTACCCTTATTCTTGGGTATTTGATTCTTTTTAATGCAGTTGTAAATGGAAATGCTTTCTTATTTTCTCTTTCTGATAGCTTGTTGTTAGTGTATAGAAATGCAACTGATTTCTGTATAATGATTTTGTGTCCTGCCACTTTACTGAATTCATTTCTTAGTCATAACAGTATTTTGGTGGAGTCTTTAGGGTTTTCTATGTATGTGTCATCTGCAAACAGTGACAGTTTTACTTCTTCCTTTCCAATTTGGATGTCTGGCCTTGAATTTTTAAAGGGCCCTCCCAGCCCTTTAAGGGCACAGATCCCTGTCCTCCAGAGGGGTGCATCTTGAACATCTCTGTAGCAGAGTGTGTCATTTGTAGTCTTGAGGGGAGTGTGGGAAGAGAAAAAAGCCTCCTCAAAAGCCTGGGTTCTCCTTTCCCCCAGAACTTTCTTACTGCTCTGACTGGGGGAAGTGGCCTCTGGGCTGAGGTCAGCAGCTCTGCTGAGCAGCTGAAGCAGAGATGTCCTGGAGACTCCCCTCAAATCCAGCAGCAGCTAGAGGAACTGAGCTGCAGGTGAGAATGAGCAGGAAGTGCAAGGTATTGGGAGCAGGTTGGATTCAGTGTGCTGGCCTGAGTGCCTGCCTGCCCACCTGCTGAGGAAAGATGTGTCAGGCACAGATTGGAGAGGGTGTGGAGCTGGCAGGCCTGGCAGCTCCTATCACGTGAGCCGTTGGCCTCAGCCCCAGGATGACCAGGGAGGTGTCCCTGTGATGGAGACATCCCTACTCCCTCTGCCCAGGTGGGAGAAGCTGGAGGCCCTGAAGAAAGAGAAGGAAATGCAGCTGGCACACACCACAGATGTGTGCAGTTTTCTGCAGGAGTGTGGAGACACGCAGGTCCAGCTGCAAGGCATGATACTCCAGCTAGAAGCCCTGGAGCTGGGGCGCTTGGAGGGCAGCCATCGTACCCTGCAACTGGCCCCGCAAAAGATGCTCGTGCTGGAGAGGAGTATCCACCACCTGCAAAGCCTGGCCATAAAGTATGGCCTGGGTTTGGCACAGTGCTGGTGCCCTGGGAGGCAGGGAAGGCCTGAGCAGGGTTATGAGGAAGGGGACAGAAGTTGGGGTAGGGGAAGATGGATAGGATGTGCTGTCTGAAGAGTGGGAGACAGTGTGAAAAAATGCTCATGGCAGAAGGGAGTGCCTCACGTGCTTGTAGCCCCTAGGTGGAGGGCGAGGTTGGGGCTCAGAGTTGCCACCGCTTTCCCTGGGGAACTCAGGCCTGGGCACTGGGCCCAGGGCAGGCACTGACTGGGCAGTGGCTTTGTCTCCCAGAGTCAAGGAGTCGGGCCCTGCGGAGAGCCAGTCCCTGCAAAGACAAGTGGGGACACTGCAGGGGCTGCTGGACCAAGTGCAGCAGCAAGTGGCCCAACAGGCCCAAGTGCAGGCCCAAGCACAGGCCCGGCAGAGCTTCCTGCAGGAGAGCCAGCGACTGCTGCTATGGGTGGAGGGTGTCCGGGCTCAGCTGCACAATGACAAGGATGTGGTGGACCTGGCCTCAGCCCAGAGGCTGCTGATGGAGCACCAGCACCTGCTAGAGGAGATTCACCTGCAGCAGGAGAGGTCAGGACAGGAGGGCAGACAAGGCATGCTCTGGGCTGGCCAAGGCCTTGGGGGATGGGTCACCAGAAAGGGAGAGGCAGGCAGCAATGCATCACTCTGGGGAGTGGCCCAGGCTGGTGGCTGGCATGGTGCCCAAGGCAGGTTTTCAAGGAGGGTGATGTAACTGAAAACTGGTGCATCCTGCACACTTCAGGGAGGGACCCAGGGCAGAGTCTGAACTTCCTGGAAGGTTCTGTCAAGTGCAGGCTTGGCCATACCCCATGCAGGTGACCCTGATGGAATGCTTTCAGTCAAGGCAGTCTAGCTGCCTGGCCATTCCAGGTACCGCAGACCCCACTGGCCCCTAGAGTCAAATGGCTCAGGATCCCTGCATGGGACTAAGACACCCACCTCCTCAGTACAGCGATGTCTCTTCTCCTGCAGGGAGGATGATACAGGTCTGTCAGGTAGGCAGGATTACCCCACATGAGGGGGCCTGACGACTGGCCAAGCAGGCACTAATCCACCCCCCACCCACCCCCATCCTGTGCTCACAAGACCCTTCTATCTGTTCAGGGCTGCATCAGCTCAGGATATGCAGCCTTTTCTAATTGTTACCCATTTCCCAGCTGTGTGCCCTGTGGGCTGACCTGGCTGAAGGGCACCTTTCCTAGTCACTCAAGGTCCCATATGGGCCTGCAGTGGCTCTGCAAACTGGCACAGATAACGGTTTGAGTGAATCCTCTGCACTGGGCCACCCCAGCCCATCTAATTCCCTGAGCATCAGCCAGCAGGATGGCCAACTGGTGTGACATGGCAGGGAGCAGGGGAACGACTGCGTCCTGAGTACTGGTGCTGGGCCTGTTACATCCAGTGTCTCACCAGTAGGCCAGGGCACAGCTGTCCCACAGGATGACTGAACCAGTGGGGCTGAGCAGCCTCAGTCCCCATACAGATCACCCTTACGGCCAAGTCAGGGAGAGGAGCGGGTGGGCTTTGACCCTCTGCCTCTTGTCCTGGACAGGCTGCAGCAGCTGGAGGCTCAGGGCCAGCCCATTGCGGCCGTGGACTCCCCGGACTCCCAGGAGGTGGCCTGTGCTCTGAAGCTCCTGGGCCAGGAAGGCTGGGGGCTGCAGGCTGCCTGGGAGCAGAGACAGCAGTGGCTGCAGGAGGGGCTGGAGCTGCAGAGGTTCAGCCAAGAAGTGGATAGTTTCACTGCCACCTGTGCCAACCACGAGGCCTTCCTAGGGCTGGACAGCCTTGGGGTATGAAGCCAGGGGTGCACAGTTGGGGTGCCGCTTCCCCTCACTGCAGGGAGCTTAGAAGGGTGCACGGGGTGAGATGGTGCTGACCCACATCCTCCCAGGCCTGACCCCAGGACCCTGCACCCCCAGGAGGACGTGGGGGAAGCCCGGGGCCTGCTGCAGCAGCACCAGGAGTTTGGGAGGCTCCTGGGCACCCTCAGTGCTCGGGCAGAGGCGCTGCAGGCACAGGGCGAGAAGCTGTCTCAGAAACAACACCCTGCTGTACACAAGTGAGCCTGGGCCTGTCTGGGCGGCCCTCCTGCCCTTCCTTTCCCAGCCTGCACAGGCTGTTGCCCTGAGGCCAGGAGAGTGGGGTGGGGGTGCACCCTGGGCTGCAGTGGGTCTGGCCTTTGGGGTGGGCCTCTGGCAGGGGGGAGCCCTCCCACACCCGACCCCATTCCAGCCTGCCCTCCAGGATCAGAGAGCAGCTGCAGAGCGCCCAGGCGCAGTGGGCCGGGGTCCGGGAGAGGAGTGCGCAGAGGACAAGGCGGCTGCGGGCTTCCCTGCGGCTCCAGGTGAGGGGCCAGCCTGGAGCAGGAGGCCCCCAGGAGCAGTGCCTGAGTCCCCTGCTGCTCTGCCAGCTGTGTGCTGTGTGGGGCCCTGTCCGCTTTACAGCGCACTTGCCCACACCTGCTGTCACCCTCACAGCACCTCTTGTGAGACAGGCATCATGACTTGATTTTTCCAACTGAGGCCACACCACACAAGGCAGGGCTGGGCCCAAGTCCTGAAGAAGCCCCTCCTCTTCCCTCTTCCCACTACTTCCTTTCCCCCTTGCTTCTGGCCACACTCTAGGCTCTCACATGGGCCATGGGCACCAGTTGCAGACCTTAGCTCTGACAGATATATTTGTTCAGCCCCTCAGAGGGGCTCAGAGCTGGGCCAGTCCACAAGCTCCAGGAACTTCAGCCTGTTTGGAGAGAGATGGTCATGCAGGATGTGATGTGGGCTGCAGCAGCAGGAACTGACCAGGCGCTCCTCCTCTCTGGGCACAGGGCATCGTGGCACCCAGGCCCTGACTCCCAGGCTTCCTCCTGCTATGATCATGGCTTCCTTGTCCCCACCTGGGAGCAGCAGCCCCGGGCCCCTCCTCTCTTGCACACTAGGTTTGACTCTGGGTCATGTTCTCCCCCAGGGAATCCCTGAGACCCCTCTCCCTGGTGGTGCTTGTGCCAGCCCTCAGCCCCGGTCTGTGAGACCCGCTCTGTCCTGGTTCTTGTGCAGGAATGGAAGCAGGACATGGCGGAGCTGATGCAGTGGATGGAGGAGAAGGGGCTGATGGCAGCAGATCAGCGCTGCTGGGAGCCTGGCAGCACCCTGCAGAAACTCAAGCGGCACAAAGCAGTTGAGCGCGAGCTACGAGCTGCCCATGGTCGCATGGAGGGCCTGCAGCAGGTGCAGGCACTGGACAGAGGGTGCAAGGCCTACTCGTCTTTAAGTTCCCAGCCCAACAGCATGGCATATATTCATGGGACACACTCACTGAAGGAAGAAGCAACCTCAGTTACCACGGAATTAGGGTCCCCAGATTCCTCCTTTACTCAGCTGGGCATCCCCTTGTTCTGGCACCCAAACCAGCCCAGGAAGCTTGCATTGTCCCTTCCTCCCCACTACCCCCCTCCCCAGAGCAGCGCCAGAGCCTGCCAAGCCCCCTAACTTCCCCACTGGCAGTCTGATGCCTGCTCGCCCTGTTCCACTTGTGGGCATGAGAGGAAAGCCCTACTGCCTCTGCCCATGTGAAATGCTTGCAACCAGTGGAATGCAGCTTGTAGCCAGCCACCTCCCAGCTCTGCCACCTGGGTCCAGCCTGTGTGGCCACTCATGGTACCAGCAACACAACAGAACTCCCTGGCCTTTGTGTCCACCCCAGGCTGGGAGGGAGCTGTTGGACAGCAGGCTGCATGCCCAGGAGGACGTGCAGGTCAGGCTACAGGGCCTGAGGAACAGGTGGGAAGAGTTGAACCACAGGATGGCAGAGCGCGGAGACCAGCTCCAGGAGGCTAGGCGGCAGGACCAGCTCTGGGGGCTGCTGCAGGTGAGTCAGAGAGCAGGGCAGGGCACTGGAGGGAAACTGAAGTTGGGCTGGGATGGGAACAGGCAGATGGGAAGGGGAGGAGTCTGGGGGTTCTGCTGACACTGGAGCAGTGCTAGGAGGTCCTGCAGCCCTTGGAGGCCTCTGGCCTGTGGCAAGTTGAGCCTGGCTTTACCTATCAGGGGCCAATACAGAGTGTGTGATCAGCACAACTTGAGTCCCCCAGGGAGGGAGCAGCATGGGGCGTTGGGGGTGTGCATGGGACTGTGGGGGAAGGTTTGGGCACCGCGGGTTGGAGGTGCACAATGGCAGGGACAGAGGTCCCCAGCAGATCCCGGTGAACCTGGTGTGCTATAAGCACTGCAGTCATAGGACCCAAGAAGGGTCAACTCTCAAGCCTATACATACAGAGCCTAAGGCAGCACCCTGGGCCCACCCCCAGGGTGCCAAGGAGAAGATGGAGCAGCTGGAGGGGGCCCTGCAGAGTGCAGAACCGGGACAGGGCCTGTGCTCCAGCCAGAGGCTGCAGAAACAGCACCACCAGCTGGAAGGCAAGAGCCAGGCCCTGGCCAGCAGGATGGCTGTCCTGGCTGCCCAGGCCCACCTGCTGGCCGATTCCCAGGCCATCACGGAGGAGACCCAGAAGTGTCTCCAGAGGTACCCACTTGTTCCATCCTAACCCCACTGTGTGTCACCCTTTCATGTGAACATGAGTGTGGCTCCACCCAGGGAGCCCGGCCGAGTAGCACCTATGCGGCCTGAGGTTGTCCACATCTCCTCCCTAATGAGTAGAGTCATCCCAAGGGTGGGGGCTCAGAGACCCCAAGCAGGCATCTCAGTACCTGTCCTACGCCTGAGGTCAGGCAGGGCAGCTGGGTCCGGGCCTTCCCCAGCTGCCCTGCCCCCGTCGGGTAAGGCTTTCCCCAGCCCCCTGCCTTGTTCCCCAGGGTTCCTAGGCCGGACAGAGGAAAAGACTGCTGGCCTGCTTCTCACCTGTCCCCAGCCTCTCCTATCTCCTCTGCTTCCACCCAGGTTCAAGTCCCTGCAGGGACATCTGGCTGCGCGGCGCTTGCAGCTGCAGGCCTCAGTCACGCTGTACCGCTTCTACCAAGTGAGCAACACAGAGCTCACGTGGGTGGCTGACCACATGCCCAGTGCTGGCTCCACCAGCCACTCCAAGTGCTCAGACGGGGCCCAGAGCCTTCTCCGCAAGCACGAGGCAAGGGCCCCCTTTTCCTCCCCGAATCCCTGAGGTCCCATTCCCAGACCTTAGAAGCCCTCTGTCACTACTCAAGGTGTCCTGATTTCCAAATCTGTGCCCCCAGCTATCTGTCTAGTTTTCCCACAGTGAGGCCCACAGCCACATCCATGGCTCCATTCCAGGCCCCCTGTGGCTAAGGGCACAGTGGAGGTGGCAGCCCCTCTTGCTGTTCTGTGGCAGGAGCTCCAGGCAAAGGTAAAAGCCCACCAGGGACAGGTGCAACAGGTGCTAGGGTCTGGATGGAGCCTAGCAGCCTCAGGGCACCCTCAGGCCCTGCGCATCACGGAGCAGTGCCAGAAGCTGCAAGGCCACTGGGTAGAGCTGCAGCAGACTTGTGACGCACAGGCCCGGTGCCTGCAGCAGGCTGTTGCTCTCCAGCAGGTAGGATGCAGAGAGCACAGGGTCAGGGGGAGTGGCAACAGTTGGGCAGGCTCTGACTGAGGCCCGTGGGACCTGGAGCTCTCGGGGTGGGTCAGTGGTGAGAACTCTGGCCCAAGAGCTGGTCCCCATGTTGGGACAGAAGCCTCTTTATGCTGGCTGATGGACAGTCTAGCGTGATGTCCCCAAGAGGTGATGGAGGGTCCCTTCTGAGATTATCAAGGTAAGTTGGCACCATTCTTGGCAGTATTTTCTGGATGCATCAGAGCTGGAGGACTGGGTGGAAGAGAAACAGCTGATGGTGAGGAGTCAGGACTGCGGGAGAGATGAGGCCACCACCATCAGGCTCATCGAGAAGCACCAGGTACGGTGTCCTGAGCATCCCCACACCGTCTGGACTGAGGTAATGGTAGGGTGACGGTGAGCCATGAGGAAAGGGTCTATCCCACTCCCAGAGCATGCATCCTGCTTCTCAGAGGCACAGAACCCTGCTCTTTCTGCCTGAAGATGCGGCCAGCCCTTCCCACCCCTGCCCGGCCCCTGCAGGGCCACGCTCAGCCCCAGCAGTCCCCTTCTTAGAGGCAGTCCCTTTGCAGAGGCCCTCCCCCTGCAGTAGTCTCTTTACTAGTCTACACCCCGTGGCCTCGGCGGGGGGGTCCCCTTTTTGCTTCTCTCCACTCCTTATCTCAGGACCGCCTGCTCTAGCCTTCTCCCCGTCTTCCACGGGTTCTTCCTCCCATATTTGAATATCATCCTTTGGGTTTACCCAGTGCCCTCCTGAAACCTGCCTCCCCCAACAAGCTGCCCCTGATCAAAGGCGGGAGGCCTGGAGTGCCATCTCCTTCCTGGGATGGGAGTCTCAGGACCCGCCCTGCAGCCGTTGGGGTTCCTGTTGGCACCGAAGTGTCCTCTTGTCTGGGCCCTTTTCTGGTAGCCCCAATCGTCGGGGTTTCAGGGTCCTATCCCTGAGGACTCTCCCGTCTTCCACGGGTTCTTCCTCCCATATTTGAATATCATCCTTTGGGTTTACCCAGTGCCCTCCTGAAACCTGCCTCCCCCAACAAGCTGCCCCTGATCAAAGGCGGGAGGCCTGGAGTGCCATCTCCTTCCTGGGATGGGAGTCTCAGGACCCGCCCTGCAGCCGTTGGGGTTCCTGTTGGCACCGAAGTGTCCTCTTGTCTGGGCCCTTTTCTGGTAGCCCCAATCGTCGGGGTTTCAGGGTCCTATCCCTGAGGACTCTCTGTGCATCTCTTCTTCTGTGCTCTTGGGCCCAGGGCAGTGCCTCCTGTACCCTCCCTTCCTCGGCCCAGATCACCCGGCACCCACCCATCCCCCTAAATAGCAAGCCCTCTGCAGGCACAGACTGTGTCTTCACTGTTATGGAGCAGTAAGAACCCCACCAGTGTGGAGTAGGTGCATAATGGACAGCACGGATGGCTGGGGGTGGAGGGACATGTGGATCTATGAGTGGGTAGACGGGTGGGGGTGGCTGTTTAGATGAATGAGTCACCCAGTCTGAGCCTGGCATGGGTCCCTGTGTGCTGGCAGGCCCTACAGCAGGAGCTGGTTCTTCACTGGAGCTTGATGGAGAAACTTGACCAGAGGGCCCAAATCCTCACTGGCCCCAAGGCCGGTGAGCAGCTGTGTGTGGTTCAGGAGAGGCTCCGGAAGCAGCTGCAGGCACTGCAGGAGTTGGCAGCCACACGGTGAGGGACACTGTGCCCACTCGGGGTACAGGGGCACAGCTGACTGTTCTGTACCATGACCCTGAGTCGAAACCCATGGGCTCAGGCCTCAGAGGCGTGTCAGATGAGTCCTTGATGTTCGCTGCTCACCTCTTCCCATAAATAGTGAGAGCCCACTGGGCAGAAGCTGGCACCTCTAGCTCCCAGCTCTCTGTCCCTTCCCCTCGTCTGCATCCTTAGCTGCCCCCCGCCATCTTCCTTATGCCTACTTCTTGCCTCCAGAGCTGCCGGCAGGGCAGAGACCGTGAATGACCTCCAGGTCACTGCTCTTGCTGGGCCGGCTGGCCCCAGCCAGGTGGGCCACTAGCTTCTGCAGAACTGTGGGCTCTCCCCACAGGGACCGGGAGCTGGCAGGGACTCTGACACTGCATGAGTTCACGAGGGAGGCTGAGGAGCTGCAGGGCTGGCTGGAGAGCCAGAAGCAGGTGGCCAGAGGAGGAGAGAGCCTTGGCGAGGACCACGAGCACATCCTGGTGAGCAGAGGGCTGGGCAAGGCAGGAGTCCCGAGGCACATGCTGGGGACGGCTGGGGCGGGGTGCGGCTGGCTGTGCTGGGCTGCGGATGTCGTGAGCCCTGGCTGAGCAGAAGCCTTCTGAGCAAAGTGGGCAGGCTCTGTGGCTGTCTAACCTTTCATTGCCCAGACGGCACCCAAGCCACCTCACTTCCCAGGCTGCTTGCTGCCTCACCAGCTGGGGCTCACCCTGTCACCCACTCCCCTCTTCTCCTCAGCACCTCTGCACCAAGTATGCAAGGTTTCAGCACCAGGTGGAGATGGGCGGTCCGTGGGTGGCAGCCTGCCAACAGCTGGTGGAGAGCCTGCTGGAGTGTGGGCACAGCGCCGCCCCCCAGGCCCATCAGAGGCAGCAGGATCTGCAGTGAGTGCCCAGTGGGCCAGGCCGGGGCTGCGGATTTAGGGAGCATGCTGGGCCGCTTCTGGAGTGCTAAGAGAGGGCCGTAGCTCTGAAGGCCACACTGGCTCTGCCTGCCCACAAGGAGTCTGGGGAGAGGGCTGGTTCCCAGGCAGCTGTGCCAGCCACAGGGAGGCAAGCCTGGGTGGGCATGTCAGAGAGTCCATCTGGACCCCTGGGGTACTTTTTCAGGCCATTAGCTCCCAGACTTTGAGAAGGAGCTAGAACAAGACTGCCTCGCTGCCCACCTGGCTGGTGTGGATCCACCCACAGCCTGTAAGCTTTGAGCCAGGGTCATAACCTGTTCATAACCCCTGGCATGGAGCCCAGACTGGTGGAAGCCTTAGGAGCTCAGTGACAGTTAGCTGAGCAAATGAGAAATGGAGAGAGGATGCAGCTTCTGCCCTTGAACATTTGTAATCTGGTTGGCGTATTGAGACTAGAACACACACGACAGGAGTATCACAAGACATTGAAATCAACTAAGCACTGAGTACAGTAGCAACAAAGGACTGAACTCATGGTAAAGCTGGAAAGACAGACTCCAAGGAGGGAGGTTCGCAGGCAGGGCCAGAGGCAGGACAGGGTGGTAAGAAGGGGAGCTCTGGGCCAGTCTTGGGTGCAGCCCACAGAAGAAGAGGGCTGACCAGACCTAGAGAAGGGGCAGAATGAGCTGCTGGATCAATGGCTAATATGCTGCTGGTCTTCTGCATGCCTGGGGCAGGGCTGCCTGGACAGAGCTGCAGGAGCTGACCCAGGCCCAAGGCTCCCTGCTCCGAGATGCTGAGATCACCCTCAAGGTTCACAGAGATCTGTTGGAAGCCCTCACCCAGGTCCAGGTGTGAGCCCAGAGGGACGGAGGGGATTCTTTCTAGAAGTGGATCAACCCCAGGCTCAATGCCCCTCCTTCCATTCCGGATCCCCTTGGCCATCTCCTCTCCTCAGGAGAAAGCCACAAGCCTTCCCAGTGACATAGCTCCAGACCTGCATGGGCTGGAGGCCCAGCTGAGGAGACACGAGGGGCTGGAACGTGAACTTGTGGGCCCTGAGTGGCAGGTGAGCCCATGTCTGGGTGCCTCTCCCAGTCAGGCCCCTGCAGTCTTCTCAGGCCTGCCCATCTATTCATCTAGATTCCCCATCCTCCCTCAGGTCCACCATTTGGGCCCCTTCTGCTTGGCAGGGTGTGGAGATGAAAGGGCTTAGGAGATGTGCAGGCCCTTCAGCCTCTAGGGGAATGTGACCCTTCCCTCCTCTACCTTACCCTGAGCCCAGCTGCAGGAACTGCTGGAGGCCGGAGACACAGTGCAGAAGTTGTGTCCAGGGCCTCAGGCCGTTGCCGTGCAGCAGAGACAGCAGGCTCTGGTGCAGGCTTGGGAGGCCCTGAAGCTGCAGATGGAGCAGCGCAGGGCCCGACTGAAGCAGGCACTCCTCCTGGCCCACTTCCACACAGCGGTGAGGGCCCCTTCCCCTTGGGCTGTGTGTGTGGGCTGCACTTTGCACGTGCATGTGCTCATGAGGCCCTACAGCTCTGGAGGGAAAGCAAGTGTGGACACAAGGTAGAAGAGCACGGGCATGTCTGAATGTCCATCTGGCTAGTCAGAGGGCTGAGCACAAGGGGCATAGCTGTGACTCTTAGATTTGGGTCAATGCCAGCCCAAGTGAATAACAGGGCAATTGGGAAATAGGGGTGCCAGCCAGGGCTGGGGGAATAAAAATGGCCCAAGAAAGCCCATATCATGAGATGTAAATGTCCTAGATAGTGGCCTCTGGATCAGCCAGCATCTCCTGAACATGGGTGGAGAGAGGAGGGTGATATTGAAGCTATGTAAGATGGAATGGCTGTGTTCATTGACTATCTAGCTGGAGAGATGAGCCTAGTACCCCATACAGTCCCAGGAGTCCCCAGGTCCTGGTACCTGGTAGACCAGGAGGCCCAAACTATAACACTGCAAAAAGGCTTGGGTATAGTGCCCTGGCTCTACCACTTTCCAGCAGAGTGGCCTTGACCAATCCACTTAACCCTAGATGGCTACCCTATTTGTTTCTAGAGTACACAAAACTCCTTCTCACAGATCATGCCATTTACCCTTCCTCATCTATGCAATGAAATGTTTGGACTAGGATCCAAGGCCCTTCCAACTCTAATATCATGTTTGTACACAAATCAACAGAAGACAGTTTGTAGATATTAAATCAGAAACCCAGAGGACAAGGCAAGCAGTGAGGTAGCGAGGTGCCCGGGAAGGCTGCACGAGGCAAAGCAGGCATTGGCCCTTGAAGAACGGGAGCTTGGAAGAGATGGAAGGAAGGGAGAAGGGAGTTCTGAGTAGGAATGGCAACAGAAGCAAAGGCTAGAGAGGAGTCATGGGCAGGGGCACAGGAAGGCCGGTCAGGCGGCGGGCAGTGCACCCGGGGTGACTGGGGTGGATGACAGTGTGGAACCCTGTCCAGGAGTCCCTGGGAGCCCCACCTGAGGCTCTGACCTGGGACATCTCAGGCCACTCCAGCTGTGTGAGTGGATCCAGGCAGTGGTAGTTGTGCCTCAGGGCCTGGTTCTCGGCCACCCAGCCCAGCCCTCACCCAGCTCTTTCCCTCCATCTCTCTGGGATCCAGGTGCAGGACTACACCTCCTGGGCAGCCGGTGTGAGGCAGGAGCTGCAGGTAGAGGAGAGCGCCCTGGAGCCCAGCAGTGGCCTGCTAAAGCTCAGTGCCCACCAGCAGCTCCGGGCAGAGCTAGAGGCCCAGGAGGGGCTGCAGCAGAGGGCCACCCAGCTGGGCCAGCAGGCGCTTATGGCTGTAGGGACTCCCATCATGGAGGTGGGCCCCTTTCTCTGGTGCCCCCAGCCTTCCCTGCCTCATGCCTGGCACCACTGTGCCACAGCTAGTCTCTCCTCAGAGGCTCCCCTTAGGATGTGCTTGTCGTGTCCATGCGGCTCTCCCCAGGGAGGCCCCCTGCTGCCCGCCCCCAGGTCCAGGAAGGGCTGCGAGCCCTGAAGGAGCAGCGTGAGCAGGTGTTCCAGGCCTGGGGACAGCAGTACGAGAGGCTGCAGGCCAGGTCCCGCGAGCAGCTCTTCCTCAGAAAGCTTGACCGCCTAGACCAGACCCTCTCGGCCCAGGAGGTGGGTCCCCCACACGTCCCCCCTCTTCTCCCTGCCTCCCCTCTCCCTGACTCACTTCCTTGCTTCCTGGGGCTCTGACTTTTCCACAGTCTGCTGGAGGACCAGCAGAACTTCTGGTGTGGAGCCCAGAGGCTGTGCACTGCCTCAGCACAGACAGCTGCAGGTGGGGGAGGGGGCAGCTGTCCAGATGGTCCCTGATGGCCTCTGACTTTTCCACGGGCTGATGCAGGTCTCCCTGAAAACCAGTGCCCTGGGGAGCTCAGTGGAAGAGGTGGAGCAGTTGATACGCAAGCATGAGACCTTCCAGAAGGTGCTGACGGCCCAAGATGAGAAGGTGATAGGCTGGGGCTTCCTGGGGCATGGCCAGAGGTGGGAGTTGGGACAGGGGAGTCCGGGAGTTCTGAATGGGGGACACAGGTACTTGGTGTATACCCACGGGTAATGCTGATGTACAGGTGTACAAGGGCAGCCTGGGGGGCTGGGGGGCTGGTTGGGCCTGACTGGGCAGAGTTGGACATGCGGCTCAAGGAGAGGGCCTGGGATGGGGTGGATCACACTGCAGGGACGTGGGGCTGCTTGGCTCCACATGACACGGTCACTGTGGAGCTGGGAGGCTTTGTCCTGGCTTGCTGGGAGGATTGGCCAGCCCCAGGCCATGCAGGGCTGGGGAAGGGCTTCCGGTGGGCCAGCCCCTGCTCCAGCCTCCCTGGCCTAGGAGAACAGCAGGCTGTGCCTCCCACCCCCACCCCCACCCCCAGGAGGCAGCTCTGTGTGAGCAGGTGAAGACGCTCAGGAGCCCCAGGGTGCAGGGCCTGCTCAGCGCAGTCCTGGAGCGTCGGGCTCGAGTAAAGGAACTGGCAGAGAGCCGGGGACGTGCGCTGCACACCTCTCTGCTGATGACTGGCTTCACCAGGGCTGTGACCCAGGTCAGAGGGCCACCACCAGCACAACGCCTTCCACAGGGGCCACATTTTATGGTTTCCAGGTCACATTCACCTTTACTGGTTCATTCAGACCTCACCACAACTCCATGATGAGGACACTGGAGTTTGGGGAGTTAAATGGCTTTCCCAGAGGCCATGCTGGAGCCCAGAACATTTGGTCTGAAGACTCCACAGTTTCCTGAGCTCTTGAGGGGCCAGGGCAAAGGAAGGCAGGGGGAAGAAACAGAGTAGGCAAGCCTCACCTCTAAAATGAGTTTCCACCCAAAGGCCCTTCCCAGCCCCTTCCTGTGATTGGGGGACCAGCTGGGCCTGGGCAGAACCACTGGATCTCACCTACCAGGCACTGCCCAGCTCTGCCTCTGGGCATCTATGGGGCATCTCCATGGACCCAGGCAGTATCAGCCTCACAGGATGCATGTCCCCACCCCCACCAGGCCGAGGACTGGATCCAGGAACAGATCCAGCAGTTGAAAGAGCCAATCCCTCCTGGGAACCTGAAAGATAAGTCGAGATGCCTGCAGAAGCAGCAGGCCCTTGAGGCTGAAATCCAGGCCCAGGAGGAGGTCGTAACCTCTGTCACCAAGGTAACAGTCAGGCCTCAGGTGTCCGCCCTGCCCCAAGTGTGGACTCCAAGATGGCCATGGGGGAAGGTCTTAAGTGAGCCTGCGATGGCAGAAAAGCAGGCAGAAGGGCGACAGGCAAGATTTTCTGGTGTCCCTTCTCTCCCCAGGAGGGTGAAGCTCTCCTGGCACAGAGCCACCCTCAGACAGGAGAGGTCCCCCAGAGGCTGCAGGCCCTGTGGGAGCGCTGGGAGAGGCTGAGGCAGGCTGTGGCTCTCCGGCGCCAGGACGTGGAGGACCAGCAGAACTTCCTGGCGTTCCTGCAGAGGGTAGACCTTGCAGAGGCCTGGATCCGGGAGATGGTGAGCCCCAGCTGGGCAGGGACAGAGCTGGGGGTGGGAGAGCTCCAGGCCTGCAGCTCCCTGACAGGAACCCCAGCAGGCAATTCCCAAAGCTGCATCCCGCCCAGACACTACCCCAGCAGCTGGGTGCTCAGGGGCTCCAGGCACTGGAGCCTGGTGCTCAGCGTGCTGCTTTCTCGACCCTCCACAGGATATGGTGGTGAACACTTGTGACCTGGGCCAGAACCTTGAGAGCTGCCAGCGGCTCCACAGGCGGCTCCGCCAGTTCCCAGGAGTCTGGGCCGGGGTAAGGGGGCCCTGCCTGGGAGAGGTCAGCAAGCCACCTGGGCCCCATACTTACTACCTGCATGTGCTCAGGCAGGGTCCCTCATCTGGCCAAGCCTTTGTTTCTTCATCCTTAAAATGGGGATAACACCTACCCTATAGGTAACAGAGCATACATATTTGGTGGTAGTTACATGAATCTATACATGTGATAAAACTGCAAAGACCTATACCTCTCCACCCCTCCACACACGCACACAGGTGAGTGCATGTGGAAGCTGATGAACTCTAATAAAGTCTGCAGTCTAGTTCATAGTTATAGCAAAGCCCAGTTCCTGGCTTTCATATTACACTATAGATATGTAAGATGCTACCATCGGGGAGGCTGGGAGAATGGTACATGGGACTTCTCTACTTCTGCAGTTTCCTGTGCATCAGTATTTATTTCAAATTTTAAAAATAAGGGTGCATGCCATGTAAGAACTTGTTTGTTATGCTTCAGAAGATTGGAGACTGTTGAGAATTAGGCTTGGGGTTGATTAATGATTGTGCATTGAGTCCCCTATACAGAATTTTATTGTTAACAACCATTTGATCAATAAATATGAGAGATGCTCTCTCATAAAAAAAAAAAAGGGTGCATGTATTCCTGGGTGTAGTGGATAATCAGTAACCTGCAGCTGCTCATAACTCTCATTCAGCATCTCAAGTTCTCAGCCCCCAAATCTATTTCTCTTATGTGGCACAGAGGAAAGAAATTGGACAAAGGTATTTACAATCAGTAGTTAGAGACCGAATATGTTAACCTCATCCCCCTGATGTAAGTATATATGAATTTTTAAAAGGCTACAGTGCTCTAATCTAAGATGTCCTTTGCTAATGGTGGAGTTTCACAGCCACTCTGCCAGATGCTGTAGTAGAAAGAGCACTAAATAGAATTTAGGAGCTGGGCTTGAATCCTGGCTCTGCCACACATAAGCGGCTGAGCCTCTGAGCTCTGCTCTAGCAGCTACAAAAGGAGAGAAATCCCCTTCCCTGCCGTCATGTGAGCACTTCCCAGGGAAATGTGCACAAGCTCTACACAGGCCAGCTGCTTCTACACAGGGCAGGAAACCTGCTGTCAGAGCCCCTCCCCATCTACCTGTAAGCCCCACACAGCGTCAGCAGTGCAGCCTCAGACCAGTGAGTTTTTGGGGTGGAGATACCCAAACCCCAGAAGGCCCAAATTGCCATTTCATTCCACCCCTCACTTTGCAGTTCTTATCCCGAGAAGCTGCATTCTAACTTATAAAGCTGCCATTGATAGGTGTGTGCCTGCCCTCCTCCCTGCGCTCCCCACCAGGAGCACATTGCCTAGCCTTACGGACAGCTCTGGGGCTGCCAGCCCACGGGTATCTTGCTCGCCGCCCCTGGCACACATAGGATGGGTGGCCACGGTAGAGGAAGCAGTTGCCTCCGCTTCCCAGACTTGCTACTTCTCCTGCCTGCTCGACCTGAGCAGACCCTCCAAGTGCTGACTGCAGTGCAAAGAAGGGGCTCAGAGCGGGCATCACTAATGCCCTGCATCATCACAGGACACACTGGATGACACCCACATCAGGAGCATCAATGACTTGTCCCTTCAGCTCAAGAGCAAGGACCCTGAGCAAGTCAAGACCATCTGCCAAAGGCGACACCAGCTCAACCGCAGGCCAGTCCCTGAGCGGGAGGCAATGGGGCCAGGAGGGGGCTGCAGGCCTCCTCAGACAGCCCCTCACCCTCTCTGCCAGGTGGAGCAATTTCCATGGTAACCTGCTCCAGTACCAGCAGCAGCTGGAAGGGGCCCTGCAGACACACACATTGTCGCGAGAGCTGGATGACATCACTGAGCAGATTAGGGAGAAGGTAAGCAGTGACAGGGAAAGTGGTGGGGTGTGGGGCATGGTTAGGGTGAGCCCTCACACCCCCGAGTCTCCCCTGGGTCTCGCTCCTCGCCCCCACCTCCCCTTCAGCTGGGGTGCTTGGAGGTAGGACCCTGTGTGAGCAGGTGAAGACGCTCAGGAGCCCCAGGGTGCAGGGCCTGCTCAGCGCAGTCCTGGAGCGTCGGGCTCGAGTAAAGGAACTGGCAGAGAGCCGGGGACGTGCGCTGCACACGTCTCTGCTGATGACTGGCTTCACCAGGGCTGTGACCCAGGTCAGAGGGCCACCACCAGCACAACGCCTTCCACAGGGGCCACATTTTATGGTTTCCAGGTCACATTCACCTTTACTGGTTCATTCAGACCTCACCACAACTCCATGATGAGGACACTGGAGTTTGGGGAGTTAAATGGCTTTCCCAGAGGCCATGCTGGAGCCCAGAACATTTGGTCTGAAGACTCCACAGTTTCCTGAGCTCTTGAGGGGCCAGGGCAAAGGAAGGCAGGGGGAAGAAACAGAGTAGGCAAGCCTCACCTCTAAAATGAGTTTCCACCCAAAGGCCCTTCCCAGCCCCTTCCTGTGATTGGGGGACCAGCTGGGCCTGGGCAGAACCACTGGATCTCACCTACCAGGCACTGCCCAGCTCTGCCTCTGGGCATCTATGGGGCATCTCCATGGACCCAGGCAGTATCAGCCTCACAGGATGCATGTCCCCACCCCCACCAGGCCGAGGACTGGATCCAGGAACAGATCCAGCAGTTGAAAGAGCCAATCCCTCCTGGGAACCTGAAAGATAAGTCGAGATGCCTGCAGAAGCAGCAGGCCCTTGAGGCTGAAATCCAGGCCCAGGAGGAGGTCGTAACCTCTGTCACCAAGGTAACAGTCAGGCCTCAGGTGTCCGCCCTGCCCCAAGTGTGGACTCCAAGATGGCCATGGGGGAAGGTCTTAAGTGAGCCTGCGATGGCAGAAAAGCAGGCAGAAGGGCGACAGGCAAGATTTTCTGGTGTCCCTTCTCTCCCCAGGAGGGTGAAGCTCTCCTGGCACAGAGCCACCCTCAGACAGGAGAGGTCCCCCAGAGGCTGCAGGCCCTGTGGGAGCGCTGGGAGAGGCTGAGGCAGGCTGTGGCTCTCCGGCGCCAGGACGTGGAGGACCAGCAGAACTTCCTGGCGTTCCTGCAGAGGGTAGACCTTGCAGAGGCCTGGATCCGGGAGATGGTGAGCCCCAGCTGGGCAGGGACAGAGCTGGGGGTGGGAGAGCTCCAGGCCTGCAGCTCCCTGACAGGAACCCCAGCAGGCAATTCCCAAAGCTGCATCCCGCCCAGACACTACCCCAGCAGCTGGGTGCTCAGGGGCTCCAGGCACTGGAGCCTGGTGCTCAGCGTGCTGCTTTCTCGACCCTCCACAGGATATGGTGGTGAACGCTTGTGACCTGGGCCAGGACCTTGAGAGCTGCCAGCGGCTCCACAGGCGGCTCCGCCAGTTCCCAGGAGTCTGGGCCGGGGTAAGGGGGCCCTGCCTGGGAGAGGTCAGCAAGCCACCTGGGCCCCATACTTACTACCTGCATGTGCTCAGGCAGGGTCCCTCATCTGGCCAAGCCTTTGTTTCTTCATCCTTAAAATGGGGATAACACCTACCCTATAGGTAACAGAGCATACATATTTGGTGGTAGTTACATGAATCTATACATGTGATAAAACTGCAAAGACCTATACCTCTCCACCCCTCCACACACGCACACAGGTGAGTGCATGTGGAAGCTGATGAACTCTAATAAAGTCTGCAGTCTAGTTCATAGTTATAGCAAAGCCCAGTTCCTGGCTTTCATATTACACTATAGATATGTAAGATGCTACCATCGGGGAGGCTGGGAGAATGGTACATGGGACTTCTCTACTTCTGCAGTTTCCTGTGCATCAGTATTTATTTCAAATTTTAAAAATAAGGGTGCATGCCATGTAAGAACTTGTTTGTTATGCTTCAGAAGATTGGAGACTGTTGAGAATTAGGCTTGGGGTTGATTAATGATTGTGCATTGAGTCCCCTATACAGAATTTTATTGTTAACAACCATTTGATCAATAAATATGAGAGATGCCCTCTCATAAAAAAAAAAAAGGGTGCATGTATTCCTGGGTGTAGTGGATAATCAGTAACCTGCAGCTGCTCATAACTCTCATTCAGCATCTCAAGTTCTCAGCCCCCAAATCTATTTCTCTTATGTGGCACAGAGGAAAGAAATTGGACAAAGGTATTTACAATCAGTAGTTAGAGACCGAATATGTTAACCTCATCCCCCTGATGTAAGTATATATGAATTTTTAAAAGGCTACAGTGCTCTAATCTAAGATGTCCTTTGCTAATGGTGGAGTTTCACAGCCACTCTGCCAGATGCTGTAGTAGAAAGAGCACTAAATAGAATTTAGGAGCTGGGCTTGAATCCTGGCTCTGCCACACATAAGCGGCTGAGCCTCTGAGCTCTGCTCTAGCAGCTACAAAAGGAGAGAAATCCCCTTCCCTGCCGTCATGTGAGCACTTCCCAGGGAAATGTGCACAAGCTCTACACAGGCCAGCTGCTTCTACACAGGGCAGGAAACCTGCTGTCAGAGCCCCTCCCCATCTACCTGTAAGCCCCACACAGCGTCAGCAGTGCAGCCTCAGACCAGTGAGTTTTTGGGGTGGAGATACCCAAACCCCAGAAGGCCCAAATTGCCATTTCATTCCACCCCTCACTTTGCAGTTCTTATCCCGAGAAGCTGCATTCTAACTTATAAAGCTGCCATTGATAGGTGTGTGCCTGCCCTCCTCCCTGCGCTCCCCACCAGGAGCACATTGCCTAGCCTTACGGACAGCTCTGGGGCTGCCAGCCCACGGGTATCTTGCTCGCCGCCCCTGGCACACATAGGATGGGTGGCCACGGTAGAGGAAGCAGTTGCCTCCGCTTCCCAGACTTGCTACTTCTCCTGCCTGCTCGACCTGAGCAGACCCTCCAAGTGCTGACTGCAGTGCAAAGAAGGGGCTCAGAGCGGGCATCACTAATGCCCTGCATCATCACAGGACACACTGGATGACACCCACATCAGGAGCATCAATGACTTGTCCCTTCAGCTCAAGAGCAAGGACCCTGAGCAAGTCAAGACCATCTGCCAAAGGCGACACCAGCTCAACCGCAGGCCAGTCCCTGAGCGGGAGGCAATGGGGCCAGGAGGGGGCTGCAGGCCTCCTCAGACAGCCCCTCACCCTCTCTGCCAGGTGGAGCAATTTCCATGGTAACCTGCTCCAGTACCAGCAGCAGCTGGAAGGGGCCCTGCAGGCACACACATTGTCGCGAGAGCTGGATGACATCACTGAGCAGATTAGGGAGAAGGTAAGCAGTGACAGGGAAAGTGGTGGGGTGTGGGGCATGGTTAGGGTGAGCCCTCACACCCCCGAGTCTCCCCTGGGTCTCGCTCCTCGCCCCCACCTCCCCTTCAGCTGGGGTGCTTGGAGGTAGGACCCACCAGGGGCCCATCAGGGAGACAGACCGCCAGGGGCTCTCAGAGACTTTGCCGGCCCAGTGGCAGGCCCACTCGGCTCCCTTCTCCCCCACAGGCATCCCATACACCGTTTCCTCTTTTATCCTTGAGCAATCTCAGAACTTAAGGAGGTTCCCACAGGGTTGTGTGAGCAACCTAGGACACACCAGCCAAAGCTAATAGAGGCAGAAGGGAAGAAGTGTTTTGCAGCCCGAGAAGCCCCATGTGAAACAGATGGTGGCGTGCTGTTCAGTGCACGCAAAGGGCTCTGTCCAGCTATTTTTATTCATCTGGTTCCTACCTCAACCAGCCAGGCTGGCTGTCTGTGCCCAGTTCCCCAAATCAATGAGAGTCAAATGAGACAGTCTACATGGGAGCACTGCACGAGTGGAGGTTGCCACCTCAGAGGGAACTTGGACCCCTTGTCTCTCCCGGGAGTCTTCCTCCTCCACAGAAGGAAGGGAAGGGACCTCTGGTCAGGGTCAGCACCCTGCTCCAGCCCACGGAGGGCCCTGGAGAGGGAACTGGGCCGGGTGCTTGCTTTCCACACAGAATCCCTGTGGCTGGTGGTCCCTCTGCAGTGACGGACGAGCTGGAGCAAAGGCCAAGCCAGTAACACCCCATTCCTCCCTAGGCCACTCTGGTCCAGGCCCTGGGCCATGGGAAAGATCTGGAGAGCGTGCAGAGGCTGATATGGAGACATGGGGAGTTGGAGCAGGAACTGGTCCTCATCCAGGCCCGGGTGGAGGTGTGCAGCTGGGCGTGCGGGCAGGACCTCCTCTGAGGGACCCTGGGCAGGCATGCTGAGGGTGGGGGCTTAGGATCTCAAGAGCCAGCCAGGTCTGCTCTGCTGTGCACCCACAGGCTGGGGGCTTCCTACAGCTGGGGGTTCCCCTGACCCTGGCTTACCCCAGCCCCTAGAGCATGAGGTGGAGCTCCTCTGTCAGAGAAGCCCTGGGGCAGCCCCCAGCCTCGGCAGCAAGCAGCGGGAGATGATGGACAGCTGGAGGCGGCTCCAGAGCAGGGCCCAGAAGTGGTACAAAGCCCTGGCCTCTTTCCCTCACTGCCCGCACTGACCCGTCCCCTGACCTCAACCCCCACACCTCTGCTCAGCCCCTGTTTTCCCCAGAGAGTCTGCGTCCATCCTTCAAATAATCACCATCCTTACAAATAACCACAAATAACCACCCAGCCCAGGGGCCCCTCTTTGGCTGAGGGGACTCAGGGACAGAATGCACTGGTGGGCACAGGGGAGAGGGGCTCAGCGGCCCCAGACTGGCTTCTGGACCCTGTGCAGGAGGGAGTCTCTGGATGCGTGGCACCAAGCTCAGAAACTGCAGGCAGTGCTGCAGGAATTGCTGCTCTGGGCCCAGAGGCTGCAGGCTGAGATGGGGGGCCGAAGCACCCCCAGCAGCCCTGCGGAGGCCCAGCGCATGCTGAATGAGCACCAGGAGCTCAAGGTGAGTGGCAGGACTGGGGCCTTTCCTTCTCTCTGCCCTTTCCCGTACGGTGACCCCGACTTTCCCTTCAGTCCTTTTCTGCCTTTACCCTCTTCCACACCACCCCCTCAGTTGTCTTTCCACTGGGCTGCCTCCCTCCCACTGAGCCTCAGCCTCAGGATCTGAACCCAGTCCTATTACAGGCCGAGCTGGACTCCCGAATGGACAGCATCAAGCTGGCCCGAAGCAATGGACAGCGATTGCTTACAGCTGGACACCCATCTGCCCCTGACATACAACAAGCCCTGACTGGTTTAGACCAAGAGCTGAACAGCCTGGAAGCAGCCTGGCAGAAGCACCAGCTCCAGCTGCAGCAGGCATTGGAGCTGCAGGTAGGCAGCCTCCATCCTGCCCCCACCACAGAGGCCTGCACTAACCCCACTGCCCCTGGTCAAAGCCAAAGGCAGAGGGCTGGTGTGCCAGGGGCTTTTCCCAGCACCCACCGCTCAGCTGTCCACTACAAGTCTTGCCTATTGTGGAGTCAGACCTGATGTCCCTGGTCTTGCCACTGGGCCACCAAGAGGATCACTCCACCTGCAGTGACTAGACCTCTGCTCACTTTCTCTTGCCTTTTCCTTTCACAATAGCTGGTCCTGAGTTCCGTGGAACAGATGGAAAGTTGGCTATGCAGCCAGGAAGCCTGCTCAGCCAGTGAGGGTCTGGGGGTAGGTGTTCAACAGGAGTGAGAGAGGGTTTGCAAGTGTAGCATTCAGGATCAAACCAGCCAGTGCTGCCTGATCTCCCTTACCAAGTCAGTCATTAAGCAGTCCCTTACCCATCCGTCATGTCCACTCTTATGCGCTGGGCTTAGGCCCCATGGGGCATGCCATGGGAGCTCAACAGGTAAGGTGTGGCCCTTGACCCCTTCTTGCCTCCATCCCACCACCCTTCTCACCTCTGCTCTCCTCACTTCCTTACACCCGGAGGTTTGATCTCCCCACCACTGTCCCAACCTCTCTGGCAGGTGAGCCTGACTCATGGGAGAGCTCAGAGAATAACCAGATGCTGGCCTGGCCTGTGCTGGTGTAGTCTCTCTCACTGGGAGTGTGGGGGAAAGAATTACTGTTATGGGAAAAGCTCCACCTGCCCTGGAAATTCTGACATCTGACCCATACCCCCAGCACCTTCTCAGGTTGAGTCACTGTCCTCGGGCCTATACAGCCTTGAGGAATTGAAGGGGTATGTTCGGGCAGATCACTCACCATTTGGGAGAGTGTGTGGTGGAATGGCTCTAGGTGGGGAAGCAGATAGCTTGCAGTGGGGAGGGGGTGGCCCCATGAACAGCATCGGCCTCCCCACTCCCACCAGGACTCCTTGGCCAATGTGGACACCCTCTGGTGGAAGCACAAGGCACTTGAGCAGGTCCTGGAGGCACAGGCAGAAAAGATCAACATGCTGGAGGCCACAGCCCACAGCCTGCAGTCGGGTGGGCACCCCGAGGCCCAGAGCACCCTGGGCCGGTGCCAGGCCCTGCTCCTAAGGTACCTACTGTTTTGGGGCTGAGGGAAGCTGTGGGCGGGATGGTGTGGGCATTGGGCATCTGGCTCTCCCCTTCCTGCCCTTCTACCTCTTAGCCCAGGCTCACCAGCCTTTCCCAAGGACTGAGGTGAGATGCTAGTCCCCCACCACTCCCAGCCGTACAGTATGTCAGCCCGTTATAGGAGTCCCACAGCACACAGTCACCCAGCTGAGATAATGGGGAGTCTTACAAAGAAGCATACCCTGGGAAAGTAGAAGAGAAAGGACCTAAGGAAACAGCAGTAGCGGAGCACAGAAGCTAAGCGCAGGGCTAGGAGGAGAGCCCTGAGTTCCTATGCTGCGTGCTCATGGCAGAACTTGGGCAGATTCCTTGCAGAGTCTCATATCTACAAGGAGGGGACAGCAATGCTGGCTCTTAGAGGTGTGGTGAGGATTGAAAAGGTTCCCTTGATGTCCCAGCGCACTGTCTGGCACTCAGGCAGGTTGGCAGGTGTCTTATACTCACTTAACTGAAGCTGCACAGCTTACGAGACACGAGACTCTGCCTTTGGTCCTCATAGGGCCCATCTGGCTCAGCTGCCTCATCCAGCCCCTCAGACATTTGGATTGAGACAGATTTGGCCAAAAGCAGATCTCAGACCGACAGAGGCCTCTGTCCTTCCCAGACTGCCCACCAGGACCCATAAAGTTTGTGGCTTCTCGCGCTAATTGCCTGCAGGCAGGCCATGCCACCCCCTCCTCCTTGCAGGCGTGCTCCACCAAGGTCTTTGATGACAGAGGCAAATGTTGGTTTGCTGGTCACTGTTGTCTCCCTGCTCTGCCACCTTAGGTGATTCCTGCAGACCTGGCTGTACCCCAGGACAGTGCCACCCTGACTCCTCCCCTCCAGGCTTCTGGCATCCTCTAGGGGGTGTCCCCATTCTGTCAAGCCTCTCTGCATCCCCCTTGCCTCCCTCTCCCTTTGGAGGCCCCCACAGGGAGAGACAAGGGTTCACTCTCACACCAATGTGGGCACTATGCTTGTGGGATATGTGTGTGGAACCCAGGGCAGGCAGGGAGTATTTCTATTTATTTTATAAATAGAATAATTCTATTTGTAATTTCTATTTTTGTGCATATGTCAATGTAAATATATTCATACAGAGGCACACATATATAAATCAGTATATATGTATGGACATGCACACACACAAATATATATATCTGGAGGGTGCCTGCTCATAAAATTCTTACTAATAATAGACCATGATCAAAAAAGTGGTTTAGACAGAATATTAGTGTGCTAGGGCTTCTTGAACAAAATACCATAGACTCGGCAACTTAAACAACAGACTTTTAATTTCTCACAGTTCTGGAGGCTGGAAGCTTTCCATCAAGATGTCAGCAGGAATGGTTTCTGCTGAGGCCTCTCCTAGGCCTGTAGATGGTGGTCTTGCTGTTTCTACACATGGTCCTCACATGTTTGTCTGCATCCTAATCTCTTCTTATAAGGATACTAGTCATATCAGATTAGGGCCCATCCTAATAGCTCATTGTAACCTAATTACCTCTTTAAAGATCCTATCTTCAAATACAGTTGCATTCTGAGGTCCTGGAGATTAGAGCTTCAACATACGGATTTGGGAGGACACAGTTCAGCCTTTAACAGACACTAATAAAGAGGGGAAGGCAGATGTCTCCAGTTCAAAGGAAACCCCCAACTCAGGGTATATCAATACACAAGAAAGGCTGTTCTAGGCTGGAAGGGCATGGTTATGCATGGGCACCACTTCAGGTCCTGGGGAGACCTCACGAGACCCTCATTCTGACAGGAAGAAGGCCCTCCTGGAGCTGGCTGGGGCCCGCCGTCACCGGCTGGAGGAGCTCCAGCAGCTGCAGACCCTCCTGCAGGACTCCTATGAGGTTCCCCTTGGGGTGGGCAGTCACTGGGGGAGGAAGGAGTCGCCCCAGGGAGAGACCACCCTCCCTCTTGTCACCCCAGAGGCTGAGGGGAGGGGAGAGCCCTAGGCAATAGAGCTGGTCCTTGCCCTGTGCCCAGGGGGCCATGTGGTTGAGGGACAGGCACCTGGTGGCTCTGGAAGAAGACTGGCAGGACCTGGGTGCGCTGCAGGCACAGCTGTGGAAGCTGCAGAACCTCCAGGCTGAGCTGGACACCAGTGCACGCCACCGGCAGTGGCTGCAGATGGTGAGCGGGGACCCCAGGACGTGCAGGCCGGAGCACGGGGCAGCCCCACAGCCCTGGCAGCCCGCTCTGAACCCCAGATGGCCGACGGTCATCAAGTGTTTTCTGTATATAAATAAGCACCATGCTAAGCACCAAAGGCTGTGGGAAGTAGGAACTTCCCTGGGCACCTTCTCCAAATAGAGCCTTCTCACGAATGTTAGGCAGTTTTTAAAACCATCAGGTCAAGACATATCTTGGAAAGTCATTAGAGGACAGTCAGGGCACAGCAGTAATCCCGTGGGTAAAGGAGTCAACGTGTAGCACCTTTTAAATTTACCATCTCCCACAAAGGGTAGGCCTTGACCCCAGGCTGGCTTCCTCTAATATAAAGTGCCCACTAAGAATTTTAAATGTTTTTTCTCACTTAAACAAATAACCATTATTATCTCCATTATATGGATAAGGATAATGAGCTCAGAGAAGTTAAGATCACACAGCCAGCATGCAGAGACTCTGCCACTGAGGGGCCGGTGGTCAGAGCCCACCCAAGTGCCCTGGCATCAACATCCTGAGCCCATGAGGGTGGGTGTCGTGTTGTGGCTATAGGAGGGGCAGAGGCTGCTACAGGACGGCCACCCGGCCTCGGACACCATTCAGGAGCGGCTACAGGAGCTGGGAGAGCTCTGGGACAAGCTGCAGGCTGACTGCCAGAGGAAGGCAGCCAGGCTACGGGAGGCCTGCAAGGTGAGGCTTTGCAGGCTTCGGAGCAGGCGGGAGGTGGTGCTGGGGCTGTCATCCTCAGGCCCACCTCATGTTCTGCTCCAGGCCCTGTATCTACAGCGGAGTGTGGAGGAGCTGCAGTGCTGGCTGGAGCCCATTGAGATCAAGCTGAGAGTCCCCATCATGGACCAGGACCAGCCTGGGCTAGACGAGCTGCTGGAGGCACAGGGAGAGCTGGAGGCAGCAGTGGACAGGCAGGCCAGGCAGGCCCAGGCCCTGCTGGGCCAGGTGCAAGCCTTTATACAGGAAGACTGCTGCATTGCCCAAGACGTGGAAGATCAGGCCCAGCGGCTGCTTCACAGGTAGATCTGCTTGTATGAGTCCTCCTCACCCTCCTCCTCTCTGCCCCCAGCTCGTCTCCTCAGGGCACAGAGAGGGGCACAGAGGAGGCCAGCTCCAGGTCACAGTTGGCCCTAATACTGATGACCATGGTCACCACCCACCCTGGCCTGCCTCCCACTCCTGCAGGTTCGAAAGCCTACAGGAGCCCCTGTGGGAGCGCAGAGCAGCTCTGGAGGCCTGGAGCCTCCTCCTGCAGTTCCTCAGGGATGCCGATGAGGAGATGGCCTGGGTGCAGGAGAAGCTGTCCCTGGCTGCTGCCCAGGACTACGGCCAGAGCCTGAGTGCCGTGTGGCACCTGCAAAAGCAGCACCAGGTGTGGGCCTGCCCTGGGATGGGGAGGGTCTGCCCTTGGACATATGAGAGGCTCAAGCAGCCAGTGGTGCCAGGAGCCCTCTGCCCCCGGGGGGCTTTGGTGCACGCTGGATTCTTTGCTGGTCACAAGGACAGGCTGCTCCTCAGAGGCAAGTCTGTGGGAGCCCATGAGGCTTCAGGCACACCCTGGGGCCCCGCGAGGAGTGCCCAGCAGCGTCCCCATCCTGTCTTCCCCAACCCCACAGAACCTGGAGAGTGAGATGCACAGTCACGAGGCTCTCACCTGGGCAGTGGTGGACACAGGACACAAGCTCGTGCAGGCTGGGCACTTTGCTGCCTGTGACGTGGCTGCCCGGGTGCAGCAGCTAGAGGACGCCATGGGCTGCCTGCGGGCAGAGGCTGCACAGAGGTGGCAGCGGCTGCAACAGGCTCAGGAGACCCAGCAGGTCCTGACAGAGGTGAGGGGGTGATGCGAAGCACAGAAGGGCGGGCCTGGGCATAAGGACACCCAGTGTGATCACAGCCCTGGAAGGTAACCCCCTGGGGGGCTCCAGACACCCTGTGCATCTTCTGTTACCCCCACTGAGTGGTTTCCTTCCCCCAAGGTCTTCCCTCTGCATGTTTCCCAGAAAAACAGGCCACTAGGTGAGTTTTGTTCTGTTTTGCTGTTTCTTCTAAACCAGAAATTCTCAATCAATGCTCTACATCAGAGTCACCTGGAACCTTAAAGAAATGATACTCAGCCTCTGCTTTCATTAAGGAAATTAAATCATAATCTTTAGGGTTGAGAGCCAGGTACAGGGCATTTTTAAGAGTTCTCAGATGATTTTAAGGTGTAGCCAAGTTAAGAAACACTGCTCTAAATCTTGAGGCCATGCACTCAGAGCTGGGAGCCCTAGGGCATCATCTAGGGAAAACTGTCCCCATCTGTCACCCAGCTCCTGGAGGCCACGTCCTGGCTGGAAGAACAGGGCTGTGCCCTGGATATTGAGGATATGGGCCAGAGGGCCGAAGACACACAGGCCTTCCTGCGGCGGCTGGAGGCCACCAGGAGGAACCTGCAGGGGTTCAGCACGCACATCAAGAGGCTGCAGCAGACAGCAGTCCTCCTGGAGAGCAGGCAGAACCCAGAAAGGTGGGTCAGAACCAGGCCCACCTAGGGAGTAAGAGGGAGGGCACTCCCTGCAGAGGGGAGCCAGGCTGCTCCTGCCTGGAAAGGAAGGGCTCCAGTCAGGTCGTCCTTCCTGCCACAGCCCCAGGGTGCTGGCCCAGGTGCGGATGGTGAGGGAAGCCCATTCAAGGCTGCTGCAGAAAGCAGAGGACAGGGGGCAAGGCCTGCAGGAGCAGCTGCAGCTACACCGACTGGAGCGGGAGGCCCTGTTCCTCAACTCCTGGCTGGCCAGCAAGGTGGCCACTGCCGAGTCCCAGGACTACGGGCAGGACCTGGAGGCTGTCAAGGTGAGTCACTCCTGAGCGAACCTGGGGGAGACTGGATTGAGGCTGAGCAAGGGCAAAGAAAGTGTACACTGGGGAATGAGAGTGAGGCGAGGAGGTGAGCAGAAGGGACGTGGGCGATCTATGGTTCTACAGCCAGGGCTGAGGGACTTCAGAACTGGCACATCCTACCTAGCTTTGTGAGCCGTAAGAGCTGCTGGCTGTCACCTCTAGAGTGACCCTTCCCGGCCCCACACCCTTGCAGGTACTGGAAGAGAAGTTTGATGCTTTCAGAAAAGAAGTTCAGAGCCTGGGGCAGGCCAAGGTGCAGGCCCTAAAGGAGCTGGCAGACTCCCTGGAACGTGCAGCCCCCAGGTGCTATCCCCGGATTCAAGCCCAGCGGAGTCGCATTGAGGCCGCCTGGGAGAGGCTGGACAGAGCAATAAAAACTCGCAAACAGGTAGGTAACCCCAAGGCCAGGCCGGGGGCAGCCGAGGGGCAGCGACAAGTAGACTGTGTGAGTGTGTGTGGCAGGAGGTGGCTGCCTCTAACTCCCAGCGCCAAGCATATAGGTAGTCTCAAAGGCTTCCACCTGCAGCCCTCTCCACCTATCTGGCTTCCTCTTAGTGCAGCTCACCCCTCCAGGGAGAAGCAGAAAGCACGCCTGGTCAACTTCTGACCCCCTCAAAGCCTCCTCTAAACACAGGCTTCCATCTCATTCAGACGCATGCATGTTGATACACACTTAATCATACACAATTAACCAGGCGAGAGCTCGCTGTCAGAGGCTCCTGCCCTCCACTCCTTCCCTCTTCTAATCCAAACGCTCTGAGTGGCTTTGTCTGCCAAGTGCATCTTCAGTTTCTCTACCACCTTTCTTCTCAGCCTCAGTTGGTGGTTTCTAAAAAAGCAGCCCAGCTCCCTGAGCCCTGGACAGACCCCGCAGCTCACTGCTGCCATCTCTGAGGGTTCTGGCCTGGGCAGCCTCCTGAGCTGACCCTCTCTTCCTCAGCCAGCCACCCCCCCAAATCTACCTCTCCCTCAGGTGCACCCGACTCCACCCACTCCAGAGCCTCCACCTCCGCTTTCCGGCAGAGTTAACCCTGTCATCACAGAGAGCCCTCTGGGGCCCTACCTCATCATCAGTAACATCACACATCCATTGAGCAGCTGCCCCATCTAGGAATTTTCCATACCTGGTGGTAATAAACAAGGCACCAAGCCCCCCAGTCCTCCTAGTTGAAAGGAAGTGGCCCAGGAAGCCATGTCTCCAGGGGAGAAAGGAGCTCAGCCCAGAGCAGGCCCTCCCTCCTCTCCTAGAACCTGACTGCAGCCCATGAGGTCCATAACTTTGAAGAGGTGGCAGCTAAGCTCCAGGGCTGGATGAAGGAGAAAGCCACCCTGATGGCACGAGACACCCATGGCCGCAGCATGTCTTCGGTGCAGACCCTCCAGCAGCAGCACAGGTGCCTGGAGGTAAGAGCCCCTGCTCCTGTGGCCCGCCTGTCCCGAGCCCTTCCCTGGGCACAGAAGGGAGAGGGGAGGCCCCTCCCAGCCCAGGGACTGCTTGCCCAGCCTGTAGAGCAGAGCAGAGGCGGCCTGGGAGAGTCTGGGAAGCAGAGTGGGGCTACTCAAAGAGGAGCTGGTGCTCCCTGAATGAGGATCATGCATTATCAGGGTGCTAGGGGCTGAGGCCTAATTCTGTGTTCTGGCAGCAGAGGGAACTGACAGCTATCAAGAAGGAGGTGGCACAGGTGCAGACAGAGGCCTGCCGACTGGGCCAGCTATACCCTGCAGCTCAGGAGGGCCTGGCTGAGCGACTGGCTGAGGTGCAGGAGGCCTGGGTGACCCTGGAGGCAAAGGCCCAGGAGCGAGGTCAGCAGCTGGAGCAGGCTGCCAAGGGCCATGCCTTCCTCGGACGCTGTCGGGAACTGCTGTAGGTGGCATCCTGCCCTGGCTATTGGCTTAGTTGTGCCCCGCAAGATGGGGGGTCCCCACACTCTGTGCAGCTCCGGCCCTGCCCACCCCCTGACACTGCCCTCCTGGTCCTGACAGCAGCTTTCTGTCCCTGCCCTGCAGAGCATGGGCCCAGGAGAAGCAGGCACTGGTGTCCTCAGAGAAGCTGGCTGGGGATGTGGCAGGGGCTGAGTGGCTCCTCAGGCAGTATGAGGAACTGGGGCAAGAAATCAAGGAGTGCTGCCTTCAAGCCCAGGATGTACAGCAGGAAGGGCAACAGCTGGTGGGCAAAGGCCACTTCATGTCCCCAGAGGTATGAGCAGGGGTGGGCCTGGGGTTGAGCTGGGGGAGGAGCCCAACTACCGAAGGCTTCAGAGCCCCTAGCAGAAGTGGAACCAGTGGGAGAGGAAGGTCAGGCAAGGGGAGGGGAGAGAGAGGCAGACAAGGGGGTGTCCAGGCTCAGTCTTGTCCTGGCCCCAACACCTCTGCTGGCACCCCAGTCCCTCCCTACCCAGGTGGCTCTGCCTAAGCCACTCACCCACAGCTTCCCCCCACAACCAGGTGACAGAGTGTCTGCAGGAGCTGGAAAGGCAGCTACAGTCACTCAAGGAGGCCTGTGCCCTGCACCAGGAGTGCTGTGAGGAGAGCTGGGGCCTGCAGAAGCTGCGGCAGGGGCTGGACCAGGCCGAGACCTGGCTGGCCTCCCGGGAAGACCTCCTGCTGGACCCCAACTGTGGGGTGAGCTAGGCCCTGCCCTTCAGCCAGCTGCACCTTTAGTGGGCTGCACAGTCTGGCAGCTCCAGCCAAGGGCAGGTCCTGCTGCGCCTCTGCTCAATGGCCACCTAGGCCAGGCTGCAGAGGGGGAGGGGAGGCTCTCGGCACCCGGAGCTGGACCTCACCCTGGCCTGCTTCTCCCCAGAACTCAGTGTCAGATGTGGAGTTGCTGCTCCACAGACACCAGGACTTAGAAAAGCTGCTGGCAGCCCAGGAAGAGAAGTTTGCCCAACTGCAGAGGAAGACAGGGGTGAGCAGAGGGCGGGGCGGGGTCCACAGGGAGTTAGGGGCTTGAGGACTGGAGGAGGGAGCAGTCCTGGTCTTGGCCTTAGAGTTGGGGGCTCCCCAGGGCACTGAGCCCACATCTGATCCTCCAGGAAGGCCCTCTTCTTTCCTTGCCAGCTGCAGTGTCCTGTCACCCCTGTGTCCTGGTAGGCTAGGATGCCACTCCAGGCTAGGATGATAGGGAAGTCCCCTGAGCTGAAGCAGGAAAATACAGAAAACACTGCGGAGATGGGCTCTCTGGGTGGAGCAACTAGGTGAGGAGAGGTGGGGCGTGTGGCCCTGGGCCCAGACCTGATTCACCTTGCTTCTTCCCCCAGGTGGAAGGGAAGTTGCTGCAGCAGGTGAAGGGACTACAGCCCGGGAGAGCTGGCTGTGGACTGACCTCCCTCCAGCAGAGGTCCTCTGCAAGCTGGCAGCCAGGAGTACAGCAGGCCGAGGCGGAGGACCTGCAGCAAGGTGTCCCCATCAGGGCATGCCCGCCCCACACCACCGGCGCCCCCCTGGAGCACACAGCCGAGCAGCAGGAGCCCAGCGGAGCTGGGGCTGAGGGGATAAGGGCCCACACCCCGGAGCCAGACGGACAGGGCCACAAGCCAGGGGTCATGAGGAATGAGGTCAGGGAGTAGACACCCAGCCCACCTTCCAGAAGGGGTCCTTGTTCTCTGTGCTGGTCCTGATGTTTCCTTAGCCCCATCTTAATTTTTCAGGATGCAAAGGGTACCCCCACCATGGAAGGATTTTTAGAGCTTAAGCAGCAGCTCTTGCCTGGAGAGAGGCAGGTAAGAACCAGGAGATTCCTTCTCCAGGCAGCTCCCCACCACAGCCCCACACAGGGCGCCGAGGGCAGGCACCACGGCACTGTGGCAGACCCACTTCACAACTTCCACCCCCTCCCAGATCAGGGGGGGACCCTCTTTCTTCCCAACTTTTTTCCCCGAAAGTCACCCCCTGGCTCCCTCTTTGCCATGGGCACCTTGGCCCAATCCAGGACTTTTCCTGGGAGCCTCCAGAAACGCAAAGGCTTTGACAAGGCTGTAGCCTCTCCTCTGTGTGCAACTAGTGCCACCTCACTGCCCTCTCTCCACAGCCCCGCTCGAGCCCCTGGGATGGCCGACGTGGGGCCTTGGGAGGCAGTTCCCTGAGCCTGTTCCGGAGTGAGCAGACAGCAGCGGAGGTATTAGGCCATAAGGGGGGTGGGAGGCAGAGGACAGAGAGGGCCCCATCGTAAGAGCAGAGATGGCCATGGTGACCCCTGCCCATCATCTCTCCTCAGAACGTGGCTTCTGCAGCCACCCTGGACCTCGCAGGAATCCAGTGTGAGAGGGTGAGGGAGCACCATGGCATGGAGCACAGTTTCTCCTTACGGTGAGGGCCGCATTGGGGGGAGAGAGACACTGGCCCCAGGATGCGCGGCCGAGCAGGCACAGCCTTCCAAGAGCCCAGGGGGAGGGCCCCCCATGGGAGGCAAAGAGCTTGACCGACCCATGGCTGCCTGGGTGGCAGGCAGAGCAGCAGGGTGGAGATCCTGTTCACAGCACCATCTGAGAAGCAGGCTGAGAGCCGGCATGGAGCCGTCAGCAGCAGCAGCACAGCAGGTGGGCTCAGGGGAAGCCTGGGGGCTGGAGGGGGGTGCTGGGTGGGAGGCATCGATTCCTCAGCTCCAGGCTGTTGCTGTTTTATGCCTCAGAAGTTTCACATCTGATACTTCTATAGCCTGAGAGGTAAGTGGGATTATTTTTTCTGAGAATTTAAGGATCAGAGAGGGTAAGCAACTTGCCAGAAATCACATGGCTAACTAGTAGCAGGGGTGCCAAGCTTGACCCCGGGGCTGCTCCTGGTCCTATTATACCCTCTTTGGAGTCTGCTGTTTGGATTCCCTTGAGCCCTTCCTACTAGGATCCTCATGCACTATCCTGGGGCCCTCTCTCTCTGGTCCTCAAAGAGCTCTGAACGCAACTCCCTTGGGGTGTCTTGTAGACAGTGGCCAGGCCCAGTTCTTCTACCAGGAGGGACACATAGCACCCTTGGGATCTCGCATCATTGTGATCAGATAGGCTCTTCATGGAGAGGAAGGGTATGACTGGCTGTTGGGGGCTCTGGCCCAGAGTGTCCCGCCTGTTCCTCTCAGTCTCGGGGGTCCTGGCTCCATTCCTCCCACTGTCTCTCTTCCCCTGGGCTCTCCCTGAGACTGTCCTTGCAGAATCCCAAAGGGATCTTGAGTGTCTTCAGAATGCCCTCTGCCTGAGCCATCCTTAGCCTGTATGCATTCGGTCTTCTAGGAGGCAGGATGCCCTGGGGGAGTCCTGGCCCGAGTGTTCACTCTGCTGGGCACAGCTTGGTGCATATGGTGCCTCCAGAAGCAGGAGTGTCTTAGTCCGTTGGGGCTACTAAAGCAGACTGGTAGGTTATAAACACAGATGCTTATTTCTCAGTTCTGGAGGCTGGAAGTCCAAGATCAAGGTACCAGGTTGCAGACAGCTGCCCTCTCACCATATCCACACGTTAGAAGGGCGAGGTTGCTCTCTAGGGTCTCTTGTATAAAGGCTCCACACTGGGGACCTAACTGCTTCCCAGAGGCCCCTCTTCCCAACACCATTGCTTTGGGGCTAGGATTTCAGGGGATCAGGATCATTCAGGGAGTTAACCTTGCCTCTGGGCCAAGGCTAATGGTTCTTTCTTTGCTCGGCAGTTCACAGTCTGAGCCCAGAGCTCAGAGCTCAACCTATGGGTTTCCCAGCTAAGCGTGCTGCTGAGAGGGTACCCATCACAGCCACTTCGCTCAGGTAGGGCACCTGAGTATGTAGATGGGCAAAAGAGTCCTGAGCCTCCACAACTGGCACTGTGGGGCCTTGGGAGGCAGTTCCCTGAGCCTGTTCCGGAGTGAGCAGACAGCAGCGGAGGTATTAGGCCATAAGGGGGGTGGGAGGCAGAGGACATGTTCCCTGAGCCTGTTCCGGAGTGAGCAGACAGCAGCGGAGGTATTAGGCCATAAGGGGGGTGGGAGGCAGAGGACAGAGAGGGCCCCATCGTAATTGCCCTCTTAAGCCCAGGGTCCTGGGACTCAGACCTACAATGCCAGGTGTGGGGAAATCCGCACCCCCACCCCCATTCAAGAGCCTCCACTACCCCTGAGAAATAGCAAATCCTAGCATCCACCCTGTCTGATGCAAACCCCTGCTCACTCAGCACGGACAACAGCCTCTAGGCCACAAGGCTCCCTTTCCCCAGATTCCACAGCTGTCCCCCACCTTCCTGGCTGAGGGAGCCGCCTGTGTGCACTGATAGCCCCTTGCAGCCCTTGGAGTTCCTGCAGATGGCTGTCCCTGCAAAGGAAACTGCCCAAGGTTCCCACCGCCCTTCCAGCTCAGGGGAGACCCAAGGTGAGGGGTACCCCCGTTTCCCTCTGCAAATGCTAGAACACTTGCCTGGCTCCACCTGGGGCCCACACATCCCTCAGTCCTTGCTCTCCTGTTCCTCTGCAAAATGGAGCCTTCTTGCAGGACAGCCAGAACCCTCCTGCACCCTTGTTCCTGCCCTTCCTCTCCCCCTTCATCCCCTCCGCTTTCCCCAGTGCAGGGACCCCTACCTGCTCCATGGGAAAAGGGAGCCTTACCCACCCTAGAAAGGGCCAGGAGCCAGGATGTCATCCAAATACACACAGACTCCAAGACCCACACAGTCTCATTTACACACACAGACAAACCTGCACAGAGATATAACCTGCACACCCACACGGAGACACCACACCGCCTCGTGCCTGAGGAGCATTCAGTGGTCCCAGGTGGCAGCCCCAGTTATGGTCTCTGGTATAATTATGCACTCCCACTCCTGCAGGGCCCCAGAGTTCCAATTCACAATTCAGATGATGTATTGCTGAGTAAACAGCTCTCATCCTGGACGCAGTAGCTTCTAAAGTTACCATAACTTCTAGCCACATGCCCAGGGCCGACAAATGTAGTGAGATGGGTCCTGAACCCAACCGTCTCCAGCCCACCCCACACACCACAGCCACTCCTACAAGCTGCCTGTCGGCTTCCTTTTCCATACCTCCCATCAATGTTAGCAGGAGGTGGGCTAGTCCAAGGGAGGCCAGAGGCCTGGGGCACCAGTGCTTGAAGAAGATTCTGGGGCAGCTAGGCCCTAAATTCACTCTGCCTCTCTGTTCTCCCAACAGGCCTGGGCCCTGAAGTAAACTCTGAGTCAGCACCAAATCTCAGCACTACAAGCAAGGACACCCTTTAGTGACCAGAACAGGATTCAGGCCCCTCAGGACCAACCTCTGCAAAAGATGCTTCCTTGTTTGGGGACAGGCCCCACCAAAGCTGCAGCTTGCCAAAGTCACACCGTTGGCACTGGTTTCTTTCTTTGGCTCATTTGGTCACAAGTCTGGCCGCCCCTGCCATGGGACAGGAAGCAGCCCTGCCCCTTGTCCCCACCTGGGCGAGGACAGGGGTGCTGACTTACAGTGCCTAAGAATCTGCTCGCCTGGGCAGAAGCAGGGCCAGGGACACAGCAGTGGGGAGCCCAGGCCAAGCCGGCCTCCTCCCTGCCTCCCTGCTTGGAGCTAGGGTCAGGGATGGGGCCTGAGTGGGGTAGATGGCCTGCTCTTCACGGGAAGGCCCGTGCTGACTTGCTAACTCTGTAAGGTACCTGGGGAGGTACTGTATTTCTCAAACCAGTCCTTGCCATGTGTATCCAAGAGCCTGGAGTGACTATCTCAGCACCACACGTTTGTATGTGACTCTGTAATATATAAAGTAGTTACTCAAGGTAGCAAGGAAAGAAATCACTGAGCTCTGAGAGCGTACGTAAATACAGCCAACAGTGCTCTGGGCTAACCCCATCTCTGCCCCTGGCTGCCACAGAACCCCTGAATCCTCTCCTTACTCGAAGAGGAAGCCCTCCCCAGCCAGCAACACAGGCCAGGCCCCAGTAAGCCCTGCAGCTGGTAGCCAGTGAGACAGCGCCTCCCTCCTGGCCTGCGGAGGGCCTACCTGGGGGTGTCTGTAGCAGGGCTGCTGGTGGCTTCAGGGTCACATAGGGGGTGTGTACAGAGAGACTACATCCCTCAGGGCCCTACAGTTCTCCACCCCAACTCAACCAGAGCAGCCAGGCAGACTGGGAGTGAGCCTGAAAAAAGAGCCAGGGCCATGGGGGCTGGGTGGGAGCCGAGGCCAGGGCACCGTCCCCTGCTGCACCCTCACTCCGGCTGGTGCTGCCCACGCTGCCTCCGCCGCTGCACGGCCTCACGCAGGGCCACCAGCAGCTGCTCCCGGTTGTTGGAGATATTGTAATGTGTCAGGTGGAGCAGCTTGTCCACGTCCTCCTGGCTGTAGGTCATCTTCGAGTAGTGGTACGGGGAGTCGGTTGAAGACAGGTTCACCTCACCAGCCGCCGCCTCCTCAGCTGTGCGCCGGACCCCTGTTGGGGACAGTGCAGCCCAGGCATGGTGGGGTGAGGGCACTGCGGGGGGACGGAGGGTGGGTCTGCGGTTGCCTGCGGAGTGGTGATAGGGTGGAGGGGCTGGGGTGGTGGCTCACCAGGCGCTGAGTACTCCCGGAAAGTGTCACTGACCAGGGGGAAGTGCAGCACAGCAGGGGCTTCAGGGTGGTCGGGGTCCAAGAACAGATGGCACTCCTGCGGCTGGTGCCCCTCCTCAGGGCTGGGCGAGATGGGCGGGAATGGAATCCCCTGCTCCTGGCAGAACCGGCCCAGGAGCTGCAGCTGCTGCAGGGTGGACAGAGGGGGCGTCAGACAGCTGGGCTGGGCCCATGGGGCTCCCCAGTCTCCTCAGTCCTGGGCTAAGGGCAGCTTAGACACGTGGCACTTAGTGCCCAAATGCCAGTCAGACTACAGTGGACCCATCAGAACCAGGCCAGACTTGGAAAAATGCTCTAAACCTGACAGCCCTTCTGCAGCTCCTCTGGGCTCAACTGGGCTGGGCTGCTAACAAGCCCTGGGTTCTGCAACTGGGAGGCAAAAACCTTCACTGGACCAACACAGAAACTCAAAGCAAGGGGTCCCAGAGGTCTAGGACCAAACCAGCGTACAGGTGCAGAGAAGGGCACCCAACTATAAAATACATTTAAAATAATCACCAGCTCCCCATCATTACAACTTCCTGAGCAGAATCAAAGGCCCTGCTCAGAAGCCTAGGTCTTGCACTCACATGGTGACACTGTCACAGCCCCTAAGGGAAGGTGGACCAGATAACAGACTCTAAAGCAGATCTCCCCAGAGGCAGGAGCTAGGATGTCAGGCCAGCTGAGGCCAATCCAGGCCTGGGGTCACCCACCGCCTCCCATGCCTGCCCCCAGCTCACCTGAAAGGCTCCACCCAGGTTATAGTCCAGCGAAATGATGAGGTCCACATCCCGAGTGGGTCGCAGGAGGGGTGGACAGCTAGTGTTGACAAGGTAGCCAACATCCAGAAGGCAAAGGTAGGGCTCTGCAGGTGTCAGCTGGTTGGGGAGCCCATCCAGTTTGGTAGCTAGAAAGGTTGGGGGGATTGGATGGAGAGGCAGCTGTCACTGGGGCTGACGGCTCCACATGCATGGCTTAATGCCAGCAATTTGTTGCTGGTGGGATGAGACTTTGCCCTCTGGTCCCTGCTCCTTCCCACCGAAGTAGTGCCCCTGCTTCCAAGGCCCTGCACCTGCGTTCTGATCCCCAACATAAAGAGAGGAAAAAGGGCTCCTGCCCCAAGCAGCCCAGGGAATTGAACTCAAAGGGCTTAGAGCCAATGGAGAGTACAGGTGTTTAGACCAGGAGCCAAGACTCAGGTGGCCATGGAAGGACTGGAGAACCAGGACCAGTTAGGGGAAAGCAAATACCTTTCCAGGAGGAGAAATAAGGATTCTGGAAATAATCCTTATGGAACTGGAGGCCACGAAGGAAATTGTGGGTGGCCTGGGCAAGTGGGCGCTGTGTCAGAAGGTCAGTGAAAAACTCAGCTATCCTGCCAGCCACTGAGGGAGGCTCTTCTATCTTCAGAAGGGGGACTTGCTGCTTTTCTGCCCAGTCAAGAAGGGAGGAAGTAGGTCATCCTTCAGGAAATGGGAACTCCTGGACCTTTATCCCAGCCTCTGTGGACTCCCGAAGACCTGACAGCCAGCCTCTCCATCCCCCAAATATAGGCACTGGTCACCTCTCCATATCCTTATGAGGAGCCCAGGCACCTACCCAAGCCAACCCGATCCTGTGCCCAGTGGTCCCAGAACTGGCTGGGCTCTGAGGCCCAGTATAAACTGTCCTCAAGGTTGGCTGCGTATAGGTTGCTCCAGATACCTGAGAAGACACAAGGGGAGGAGAGTCCCCCACGCCATCACAACCTGACCCTTCCCCACAGCCCATCCTGGACCAGGGAACAGCCCAGTGACTAGTGGAAGCTCAAGCCCCACCCTCTCCCTCAGGCCCATTCTCCCCTCTACCCCAGCTTCTCTAGCCTTCCAGACGCACTCACCTTCCAGGAAGCAGATACGGGGCTCAGGAAGCTGCTTCATCAGCCGCCCCATGAAGAACTCGGAGCCGAAGAGCTCAGAGGGGATGAAGGCGCCGTACTTGGGAAAGCCGACCTCGTAGGGGGAGAACTCGCACCACTCTGGGACCAGGCCATACAGCCTCACTGTGCGGCCCAGCACTGAGGACCCTCAGGCACCAACGCACCCACCACGGGCTCCACATCAGGGCAGCCTGGTGACCAGGGGGCTCGCCCTTGTTGCTGGCACTCTGAGCATGTGATCTAAGGCCTGTGCCCCCTTCTAAAGCCTGAGTGACTCTGGTAGGGTGACAGTCTCTGAAAAGCATGGAACCTGGCCAGAAGAGGTGGGTGAACAGTTCTTTGGGCTACTCACCCCCAAATTCAAAGGTGGTCAGGTTCTGCCTCTTGGTGTTGAGGGCACAGTAGATGGGCAGAGGGTTCTGGCCACGACTCAGGGCCTCCCGCTGGTCTGAGAGTTTGTGGTGATGGGGCTGCAGGGACGATGATTTGAACCTAAAGCCATGGCTTCCCTGGGGCCTTTCCCACCTCCTGCTGCCCAGGACCGCTCCCCTTCCCTGGACCTCACCCTGGCTTTGACCACCCCCTCTCCCCAGACTGCACCCCTCCTCACACCTCATCATGCAGCAGTGCCTCATTGATGAGGGCCCACAGGTTGGTGAAGCAGGTCGGATAGCCCAGGCGAGCACGCTCGGCCAGCTCCTGCTGGTAGCGCCGCAGCTGCTTGGGGGCCAGCACGCCCAGCTTGCTCTTGGTCACCTGGGTCCTCAGTGACTCAGTGGGCCCTGACAGGTCCTTCTGAGACCACTCTGCGTCCTCGTAGAGGTTGGCCAAAGCCCTGGAAAAAGTCATAGCCAGGGGAATTGTCATTCAAGGGCCCCCACTGCGTGCCTTGGGCTCTATTCTAGGACAGCAGCCTTGCAGGCATCTTTCAAGGATCCCCCTAAACGTGTTTCCCTCTGGCACAAGCATTCCCCCAGCCTTTCCAATTTGGTCAGAGAGGCCTATGGGGCCTAAGAGAGTCTTCCCACCTGTAGCAACCCCTGCCTCACCCTACTAGCCGTGCTCCCCCCTACCCCAGCCATGCTTCTGAACTTAACCTCCCATGAGCTTACCAGGTAGAGCCTGAGGCCCCTGTGATGTAGGAGATGCAATCCAAGAGGCCTAGCTCCCTCAGGCCGGCCAGCTGCCCATACAAGGAAGTCATTGCCCGGATCCCACCACCAGTGGCCATGACAGCTACCACCGGGATCTGGAAGAGAGGACAGCCAGGCTCGGAGAAGCCTTAGCAGGGGGAGGCCAGGCCACAGGAAAAGGAGGTAGCAAAAGCCAGCTGGCTACTCAGCTCGCCCAAGGCCGGTTAGATCTGATCAGGGCTCTTCAGACCAGCTCCAGTTAGGCCTCCTGAGGAGGGTCTAGTCACAAATAGCCTCACCAGGATCAGGCTTGTCTGAGTTGAAGAACTCCAGGAAAAAAATGGGCCAGATAAGTCCCAGGCCTCATCTCCTCCCCTCTAATCCCTGAGGAGTCTGTGACTGATTTCTGGAAGGCGCAAGTCCACCTAAAAGGTACCCCACACAGCCACCCCTCTCCCTCTTGCAAGGAGAGCTCATTTCCCTAGCAGAGGAACCTACAGGGGCTGCCTCAGAGCAGTAGACAGCCCTCAGGCTGTATGTCTCACTACGCCCAGTGTCAAAACCTAGACCAGGCCAAGGAGCAAGAGAAAATGGAAGGAAAGCCAGCCCAGCATGGCAGTCTGCAAGCTTCAGGTGCCTTGGGCAATGCTCTGCATTCAGTGTGATCAAGCTCCTGATACCACCAAGCGAGAGGGAAGCAGGGCAGGGGCAGGCCGATGCAGGCAGGTCCCAGCCAGCTCTGGTCTGGATAGGGAACAAGCCATTCCACCATTCGGCTCTGGGCTGCAGCAAGCCCAATGATGCCCACCCAATGCAGACCAGACCCCAGACCTCGTCCTCCCGCAGGTCTCCGTCCAGCTGCAGGGCCTGCGTCAGGGCCCTGGCCACCACCTGCTTCCTCCTGCTCAGGAAGGCCTGCTCCTCGGCACAGGGCCCGCAGCCAAGCCGCACAGCCAGCTCCCTTGGTCTGGGGGGGAAGGAAGGGACCATGAGGCAGCTGCCAGCCTCGTCGGGGAGAGGGACGCTGGCTCTGTCTCCCCTAAAAAGTCCACTGCCATCCTTTCTTTCCTATCTGCTCCCCAATTCTTCCCCTGCCTGTGTCCTGACTGAAATGTGACACGTGTGGCTGTGAGGGAGAGGTGACCCCAGACCTGTGTGAGGACACACTTGGAGAATGCAGCAAAGTGGATTCACAGGACCAGGAATCCACAGGCCAGTGACTAAAGAGCTCCCTCCAGAGCCTCAGGAGCAGACAGGTCTCTTGATGGCCCCACACCATAGATCCACTTCCACCTCTCAGCTTCTCTCCCTCATCCACCCAAAAATAACCCTCAATGGAATAGGACCTGGTGCTCCCGCCTCTTGGCGGTGAGAAGCTAGCCTTCCAGGCATGTGCAGGGAGGGCGAGTGACTCCTCTCATGAAGGTTAGCTAAGGTCCACCCACAACAGCTGTCACCCAAAAGGAAGTGCTTTCTCTCCTTTCTTGGTTTCCTTGCCCTCTCTGTGCCTCAAACTCTCCTCACCTACCACCTGTTTTTCCAGCCAAACATTTATCAAGCACTTCTCAAGTTCCAGACATTGGGCTAAGCACACACCCCTCCAAATAAAGCAGAAAGACAAGTAAAAAGCTAACAAGAAGAACCTTTATCTGCTAAGGCTACCCACACTTGGTGCTCCCCCCTGGGAGAAAATCACTGAGTGTCTCGCAAGGACTGGCAGCAGCTATGCTGGGAGCCACCCGGTCTCTCCCGCTTGCTGCTCCAGGCTGAGTGCTGGCCAGTGGCCACCCACCGCGCTGCTCCCCTCATGCCCTTTTCCAGGGCCCAGCAGCTCTCACCCTTGTTCTTTATTCAGCTTCACCCTCATCAGGGGCTCCTGAAAGGCATGAATGCTCCAGTCACAACGGCTGGCCACCTGTTCCTCTCATCCCAGCCTGAGCCACACCCCATGATATCGCCATGCCCCTCAGGCCCCCAGCCATTACCACAGAGCCAGGCCTGAGGCTGGAAGGCAGGAATGGTCAGGGGGCCCCTCTCCCCACAGCCTGGCCCAGCACTTGTCCAGGGTGCAGCCTGCAGACAGAAGTGCCACAGAAGCAGGCCAGCCCTTTAAGCCTGGGGCCCAGCCCTGCCTGTGCATCTGGCTTTCCTCTTCCAGGTGACCAAGTACCTGGGACATGGGGAAGACGAGCCTCACCACTTGGCCAAAGGGCAGGGCCCTCAGGGGCACCTTCAGTTGCTCTTGGGGGGCATCCTGCAGGGAAGATTAAAGAAGACCCAAGAATTCTACCCAGCTGTTTCTGCAAGGACCACACTGATTCCCTGGGAAGGACAGAGAAAGATCAGGAAGGGGACAGGAGGTAGACATCAAGCCCACACTCCTCCTAGGGTGTCTGATTCTGCCAGGGAGTGATGAGGGGGAGGCACTCAGAGGGAGCAGAGGGGCCACTGGGAGGAAGTGCTGAGGGAGGAGAGGAGAGATTCTGCAGCCCCCCTCGGTGGGGTGGGGGGAAACGGCACACTACCTGCACGTGAACATTCAGCTCTTGCTCCCAGCAGGCCGGGCAGTGGAAGCAGAAAGAGCCAGCACCCACTGAAGCCTCCTGTGGACCCTCAAAGGACCCAGGAACCGCAAGCTGAACTCTGCCCTTTGACTCTGGAAACAGGAACCAGAGCAGAGAGGCTGGAAATGGGATCTCGGCCCATAGAGGCCCTCATCCTGCCTATGGGGCCAGAGGGGCGCTCCCTCCCCCAGCTGAGATGGAAGCTCTGGCCCAGGCTGAGGCTGGGCAATGGAACCCCCACATCCCTAGAGGACTAAGGGGAAAAGCTCCGGTCCTGGGGGACCCTAGCATGGATTCAACCCTCAACCCTTGCTCCTGCCTGGGGGAGCCAAGAGCAGCTACTGCAAGGTCCCCTCCCACCCAGGGTCCCCTTAGAAAGGAGAAGACATGGGCTGCGGGCCAGGGCTCTCCTCATATGTCAGGGACTCACCCTTCTGGTCCTCTGCCTCCTCCAGCTGAACATGCAAGCAGCAGAGCTCCCGAGCCTGAGCATTGAGAGCCCCTCAGATGCACACTCCTCCCCTCCTAGAGACCCCCACCTCCCAGTACCTGGTTCTTTCTCCTCAGCACTTTATTTCCTTGGCCCTGAGTCACCAAACATTTGCTTGAGGTTATATCATCTCAAGAAACTGAAATCCCAGGGCTCCCCAACTCAGCCCACCCCATGGTAGGCCGAGCTGCAGGCCTGAGGAGGAGGGTGGGCAGGAGGCACAAGGCAGGGCTTCCAGACTCACCACCAGGATGCCATTGCTGACAAGGTGCTCAGCACAGTCCGTCCTGGAAAGGGCCCGCGGGACCCTTAGTGGGAGTCTGGTTGCCAGGTCTCACCCACCAAGGAGGCCTGGGCCTTCCTCCTCCACCCAGGAAAGGGAAGGATGTTGGCTCTGGGTACACTGGGCTTGGTCCTTCCCAGAAGGAAGCACTCCCACCCAGGAACTGCCCCATGGCCCCTGACTCACAAGCTCTGCAGACGAAATTCAACTTCCAGCTGCTCCTCACCCTGGAGAGAGAAAGAAGCTAGTGAAGCAGGGTGAGTGGAGAGTGTGTATAGATTCAGCCCAGAATCCACTGTCCATCTCCAGGCTGCTCTGCCCACCTTCTCTGAACTGCCCTTGGCTCAGGGGCCAAGAAAGAGGGTCGGGATGGGACTGCTCCTTGGTGGACAATAGCTTCTGGCTGGCAAAGGCCTCTGGGATGCCTAGAAGCCTGCACCACTCACTAGGGAAGAGGGCCATACCCAGTGATCCTCCAAAGCACCTCCCCTCCCACCTCCCAGGGCCGAGGCCCTCCGCACCCCAGCCGTAGCCTTGCCTGAGGGTTCAGTGAGAAGCTCTCACGGCGGAACTCCCCGGCCTGCAATGTCCCCACATCGAACAGCACTGACAACATGGGGTCATCACTGGTCAGGAAGTCCTGGTCAAAGACTTGCAGCTGCACAATGTTCTGGAAGGGGAACAGAGCGAGGGGGCTGGAGGAAGGAGCTGGGCATGGGCGGGGAATGAAGGCGGGAGGGATGGTGGTGGTGGGCGGACAGGGACAGCGAGCTGGGTCTGGTGCCTGGCCCACCTTGAGCTGACTGTGGATGCGGAAGTGAAAGCTCTGGTTCCAGATGGGGTTGCTGCTGTTCTTGACTGTGCGTGTCTGCAACCTGTGGCTAGAGGCCGTGGGCAGCCACAGTGTTACATAGCAGTCAGAGGGGGTCACTGTAGAAAGGAAGGAGCACCGGTGATGGCCCAGAGCCCTTCCCAGCCCAGCTGCCCCGAGTCCACATCCTTCCATCACAGGCAACCCCAGGAGGCCTAGAGAACCATGGAAGGGGATGGGGCAGGAAGCCAGAGGCACAGAGGCTGAGGCCCGACCACAAAGTCCTACCCAGTACCTCTTCTCAGCACCCACTCCAGGACATCCTTCCATGCCCAGCCCTATTCGTGTCTCTTCCTATTGCTCCTGCCCGACCCTGAATCTAGCTGTAGAACCACTGGACTCACCTAGGTCCATGGAGGGCAACCCACGGGCCTGCAGGACACGAATGGTGAGCAGGCAGGTTCCAGGTACCTTTGCCTGCAAAGTGGGGAGACAGGGACACGCTGCTGCAGGCTAATGAGCCTAGAGGAGATAAGGGCCAAAGGGGTGGCTGGAGCAACTCCTCCAACCCTAAGCCTGAACCAAAAGAACCAGCCCTGCCCAGCCCCGGGCCTGCCCTCCACCCAGCAGTCCTGAATGGGAAGGTGGCTATGGTTAATCTCAACTCTTGCCAACACTGACACAACACTCTGAGCAGGCTCTGGCCCAAGGGCTTTATGTATATTAACTCATTTAATCATACAACCATCCTATGTGTAGAGACCATTTATTATGACCAAGCCCACAAGGAAACAGGTGCAGAAAAGCTAAGCAGTCACATGCCCGAGGTCCACAGCTCGGATTGGACCAGGCTAGCTCAATTCAGGCTCTCAACCCCCACACTTACCTGCTTCCAGTTCCTGACACATTTCCTTCTCTCTCCCCCCCCCATTCCCAGCTCATCCCTCATAAGCAGCCTTGAGACTGGTCTTGGATGATGGAGAGCCTAGGGTGGGGTGGGGTGGCAGGGTAATAAGGCTCCGGGGGTGGGGGAGGCAGGCATGCCAGGGTCTGGCCTGGCCTTGGGCCCCCTGGTTGAGCTGCTCTTGGCCAGGACCACAATCCTGGAAATGCTCTCTGCTAGGGTAGGAACAACAGTTACCAGCTCATGTCACCTACAGGCTGGCAAGCCTTCCAGGTCCTCTAAGGTCAGCCTAAAGATGGGCTGACCTATCCACTGGTCAGCTCTATCCACACTCAGGACCCTGGGTCTGGGCATATGGACCCGGGCAGGTGTGCCACAGCAGGGAAGCCTGTGCCGACCAATCCTTCCTTTTGGCCTTCGGCCCTGACTCAGAAAGGCCCTGATGGAGTCTGGGGTCACTGTCAGCCCTGAGGCCCCCATCTCCCCATGCAGCTGAGTCAGGAGCTTTAGAGCAGCCACCTCCTTCTGGGGCCCCAGGATAGTAGCTCAGAGCTTGAGTTCTCAGGCCCCAGATCCATGGTATCAGGGGGCCCTGCCTGGAACTCTCCCTTGGTCTGGGGGGGAAGGAAGGGACCATGAGGCAGCTGCCAGCCTCGTCGGGGAGAGGGACGCTGGCTCTGTCTCCCCTAAAAAGTCCACTGCCATCCTTTCTTTCCTATCTGCTCCCCAATTCTTCCCCTGCCTGTGTCCTGACTGAAATGTGACACGTGTGGCTGTGAGGGAGAGGTGACCCCAGACCTGTGTGAGGACACACTTGGAGAATGCAGCAAAGTGGATTCACAGGACCAGGAATCCACAGGCCAGTGACTAAAGAGCTCCCTCCAGAGCCTCAGGAGCAGACAGGTCTCTTGATGGCCCCACACCATAGATCCACTTCCACCTCTCAGCTTCTCTCCCTCATCCACCCAAAAATAACCCTCAATGGAATAGGACCTGGTGCTCCCGCCTCTTGGCGGTGAGAAGCTAGCCTTCCAGGCATGTGCAGGGAGGGCGAGTGACTCCTCTCATGAAGGTTAGCTAAGGTCCACCCACAACAGCTGTCACCCAAAAGGAAGTGCTTTCTCTCCTTTCTTGGTTTCCTTGCCCTCTCTGTGCCTCAAACTCTCCTCACCTACCACCTGTTTTTCCAGCCAAACATTTATCAAGCACTTCTCAAGTTCCAGACATTGGGCTAAGCACACACCCCTCCAAATAAAGCAGAAAGACAAGTAAAAAGCTAACAAGAAGAACCTTTATCTGCTAAGGCTACCCACACTTGGTGCTCCCCCCTGGGAGAAAATCACTGAGTGTCTCGCAAGGACTGGCAGCAGCTATGCTGGGAGCCACCCGGTCTCTCCCGCTTGCTGCTCCAGGCTGAGTGCTGGCCAGTGGCCACCCACCGCGCTGCTCCCCTCATGCCCTTTTCCAGGGCCCAGCAGCTCTCACCCTTGTTCTTTATTCAGCTTCACCCTCATCAGGGGCTCCTGAAAGGCATGAATGCTCCAGTCACAACGGCTGGCCACCTGTTCCTCTCATCCCAGCCTGAGCCACACCCCATGATATCGCCATGCCCCTCAGGCCCCCAGCCATTACCACAGAGCCAGGCCTGAGGCTGGAAGGCAGGAATGGTCAGGGGGCCCCTCTCCCCACAGCCTGGCCCAGCACTTGTCCAGGGTGCAGCCTGCAGACAGAAGTGCCACAGAAGCAGGCCAGCCCTTTAAGCCTGGGGCCCAGCCCTGCCTGTGCATCTGGCTTTCCTCTTCCAGGTGACCAAGTACCTGGGACATGGGGAAGACGAGCCTCACCACTTGGCCAAAGGGCAGGGCCCTCAGGGGCACCTTCAGTTGCTCTTGGGGGGCATCCTGCAGGGAAGATTAAAGAAGACCCAAGAATTCTACCCAGCTGTTTCTGCAAGGACCACACTGATTCCCTGGGAAGGACAGAGAAAGATCAGGAAGGGGACAGGAGGTAGACATCAAGCCCACACTCCTCCTAGGGTGTCTGATTCTGCCAGGGAGTGATGAGGGGGAGGCACTCAGAGGGAGCAGAGGGGCCACTGGGAGGAAGTGCTGAGGGAGGAGAGGAGAGATTCTGCAGCCCCCCTCGGTGGGGTGGGGGGAAACGGCACACTACCTGCACGTGAACATTCAGCTCTTGCTCCCAGCAGGCCGGGCAGTGGAAGCAGAAAGAGCCAGCACCCACTGAAGCCTCCTGTGGACCCTCAAAGGACCCAGGAACCGCAAGCTGAACTCTGCCCTTTGACTCTGGAAACAGGAACCAGAGCAGAGAGGCTGGAAATGGGATCTCGGCCCATAGAGGCCCTCATCCTGCCTATGGGGCCAGAGGGGCGCTCCCTCCCCCAGCTGAGATGGAAGCTCTGGCCCAGGCTGAGGCTGGGCAATGGAACCCCCACATCCCTAGAGGACTAAGGGGAAAAGCTCCGGTCCTGGGGGACCCTAGCATGGATTCAACCCTCAACCCTTGCTCCTGCCTGGGGGAGCCAAGAGCAGCTACTGCAAGGTCCCCTCCCACCCAGGGTCCCCTTAGAAAGGAGAAGACATGGGCTGCGGGCCAGGGCTCTCCTCATATGTCAGGGACTCACCCTTCTGGTCCTCTGCCTCCTCCAGCTGAACATGCAAGCAGCAGAGCTCCCGAGCCTGAGCATTGAGAGCCCCTCAGATGCACACTCCTCCCCTCCTAGAGACCCCCACCTCCCAGTACCTGGTTCTTTCTCCTCAGCACTTTATTTCCTTGGCCCTGAGTCACCAAACATTTGCTTGAGGTTATATCATCTCAAGAAACTGAAATCCCAGGGCTCCCCAACTCAGCCCACCCCATGGTAGGCCGAGCTGCAGGCCTGAGGAGGAGGGTGGGCAGGAGGCACAAGGCAGGGCTTCCAGACTCACCACCAGGATGCCATTGCTGACAAGGTGCTCAGCACAGTCCGTCCTGGAAAGGGCCCGCGGGACCCTTAGTGGGAGTCTGGTTGCCAGGTCTCACCCACCAAGGAGGCCTGGGCCTTCCTCCTCCACCCAGGAAAGGGAAGGATGTTGGCTCTGGGTACACTGGGCTTGGTCCTTCCCAGAAGGAAGCACTCCCACCCAGGAACTGCCCCATGGCCCCTGACTCACAAGCTCTGCAGACGAAATTCAACTTCCAGCTGCTCCTCACCCTGGAGAGAGAAAGAAGCTAGTGAAGCAGGGTGAGTGGAGAGTGTGTATAGATTCAGCCCAGAATCCACTGTCCATCTCCAGGCTGCTCTGCCCACCTTCTCTGAACTGCCCTTGGCTCAGGGGCCAAGAAAGAGGGTCGGGATGGGACTGCTCCTTGGTGGACAATAGCTTCTGGCTGGCAAAGGCCTCTGGGATGCCTAGAAGCCTGCACCACTCACTAGGGAAGAGGGCCATACCCAGTGATCCTCCAAAGCACCTCCCCTCCCACCTCCCAGGGCCGAGGCCCTCCGCACCCCAGCCGTAGCCTTGCCTGAGGGTTCAGTGAGAAGCTCTCACGGCGGAACTCCCCGGCCTGCAATGTCCCCACATCGAACAGCACTGACAACATGGGGTCATCACTGGTCAGGAAGTCCTGGTCAAAGACTTGCAGCTGCACAATGTTCTGGAAGGGGAACAGAGCGAGGGGGCTGGAGGAAGGAGCTGGGCATGGGCGGGGAATGAAGGCGGGAGGGATGGTGGTGGTGGGCGGACAGGGACAGCGAGCTGGGTCTGGTGCCTGGCCCACCTTGAGCTGACTGTGGATGCGGAAGTGAAAGCTCTGGTTCCAGATGGGGTTGCTGCTGTTCTTGACTGTGCGTGTCTGCAACCTGTGGCTAGAGGCCGTGGGCAGCCACAGTGTTACATAGCAGTCAGAGGGGGTCACTGTAGAAAGGAAGGAGCACCGGTGATGGCCCAGAGCCCTTCCCAGCCCAGCTGCCCCGAGTCCACATCCTTCCATCACAGGCAACCCCAGGAGGCCTAGAGAACCATGGAAGGGGATGGGGCAGGAAGCCAGAGGCACAGAGGCTGAGGCCCGACCACAAAGTCCTACCCAGTACCTCTTCTCAGCACCCACTCCAGGACATCCTTCCATGCCCAGCCCTATTCGTGTCTCTTCCTATTGCTCCTGCCCGACCCTGAATCTAGCTGTAGAACCACTGGACTCACCTAGGTCCATGGAGGGCAACCCACGGGCCTGCAGGACACGAATGGTGAGCAGGCAGGTTCCAGGTACCTTTGCCTGCAAAGTGGGGAGACAGGGACACGCTGCTGCAGGCTAATGAGCCTAGAGGAGATAAGGGCCAAAGGGGTGGCTGGAGCAACTCCTCCAACCCTAAGCCTGAACCAAAAGAACCAGCCCTGCCCAGCCCCGGGCCTGCCCTCCACCCAGCAGTCCTGAATGGGAAGGTGGCTATGGTTAATCTCAACTCTTGCCAACACTGACACAACACTCTGAGCAGGCTCTGGCCCAAGGGCTTTATGTATATTAACTCATTTAATCATACAACCATCCTATGTGTAGAGACCATTTATTATGACCAAGCCCACAAGGAAACAGGTGCAGAAAAGCTAAGCAGTCACATGCCCGAGGTCCACAGCTCGGATTGGACCAGGCTAGCTCAATTCAGGCTCTCAACCCCCACACTTACCTGCTTCCAGTTCCTGACACATTTCCTTCTCTCTCCCCCCCCCATTCCCAGCTCATCCCTCATAAGCAGCCTTGAGACTGGTCTTGGATGATGGAGAGCCTAGGGTGGGGTGGGGTGGCAGGGTAATAAGGCTCCGGGGGTGGGGGAGGCAGGCATGCCAGGGTCTGGCCTGGCCTTGGGCCCCCTGGTTGAGCTGCTCTTGGCCAGGACCACAATCCTGGAAATGCTCTCTGCTAGGGTAGGAACAACAGTTACCAGCTCATGTCACCTACAGGCTGGCAAGCCTTCCAGGTCCTCTAAGGTCAGCCTAAAGATGGGCTGACCTATCCACTGGTCAGCTCTATCCACACTCAGGACCCTGGGTCTGGGCATATGGACCCGGGCAGGTGTGCCACAGCAGGGAAGCCTGTGCCGACCAATCCTTCCTTTTGGCCTTCGGCCCTGACTCAGAAAGGCCCTGATGGAGTCTGGGGTCACTGTCAGCCCTGAGGCCCCCATCTCCCCATGCAGCTGAGTCAGGAGCTTTAGAGCAGCCACCTCCTTCTGGGGCCCCAGGATAGTAGCTCAGAGCTTGAGTTCTCAGGCCCCAGATCCATGGTATCAGGGGGCCCTGCCTGGAACTCAGCTCTCAGGCAGGAAGAACTCAGGACACTCCCTCATCCCAAGACCCTGCCTCTTCTCTGGCTTCTGCTCGCCGCTCTGGTCCGTGGCTGGGAAACCCTCCGGACACCTGAAGAAGCCTGCAGCTTCCCTGAGAAACAGCATTAACCAGGCCCTGGAGGGAGCAGGTCGGAGTGGGGGCCCAGTACCCTGCCGAGTCTTACCGGAGCCATGAGGCTGTCCTCAGAAGCCAGGAACGATGTGCAGCGCCTACAGGGGAGGACTGCCAGCTTTTTAACTGAGAGCCAAGGATGTCTCAGCTGGCTGCAAGCTCCTCCTGGTTCCTCCCAACCACCTCCGCTCCACCCAAGCCTCACCCCTACTCCGGGACAGACACCAAAGACCCATCCCCTCCATCCATCGCCACTAAGCCTACCCACGCAGCGCTGCTCTCCCTTCCTGGGCCTAGAGATGCCCACAGGACAACTTGTCATCACAGGCTGAACAGGAGACAAGAAGGAGGGCCTGCTGAGGCCTGGAAGGCAGGCAGTGGGCCCAGGGCAGCAACAAATGGGAGAGCTGTGTCCCCTGTCACAGGGCCTTTTGAAACCTCCCAGTGCCAGTACAACAGGAATGCCCAGTCTTGACTGTAGCGCTTGGCCAATCTGAGAGGAGTGCCCCAGGCCCCATCATAAGCTGGCAAGGGTGTGGTCTGCTCTGCGAACAGCCCTTCAAAGCCATGCGCAGGCTGCTCCGCCCAGCGGGGGATGAGGCCTCTGGGTTGGCTCAGAGGGAAGGCGGCTATTCCATCTCCAGGACCAGGTTGGCTGGGGAAGGGAGGGAATCTGAGTATGGAGACCCCTGGGGAAGGAGTGGGCAGGAGTTTCTGTCCCCTCCACCCTGTGCTTGCCGTGAGAGGAACAGTGGTGACCCTCAGGACCCCAGACCCCACACGCCCTGGAGCTAGAGGACAGTGCACAAGGCCGGGGCAAAGCTCTGAATGGTGTGACAAGCCCTGTGTCAATGAGCCTGTGGCAGAGTCCACATCCTTCCATCACAGGCAACCACCTCCCACCAGACTGAGGTCAGCCTGCTTGCCTGAGAGGGGCTGCGATGGCTGGCATAGATAGAGGGGTCTTGGCAGCAGAGCTCCTCAGGCCCAGGCCTGGACCCAGCCCTCACCCCGCAATCAGTCATCCCGAAAGTTGTCCCAGAACCGACCAGCCCAGGCCATGGAAGGCGACTGCAAGAGGGAGTCCAGGCACACGTGAATCATAGCTACCTTTTATTGAACGCTTCCTCTGTACCAGCCCTATGCTGTCCTTACAGACGTCACCTCCAAGCCCCACGACACCGCATGAGACAGGAACCAACATCATCTGTGTTTTACAGATAGGACACTGATACTCCGGCCAAGCTCACCATGCTGGTGAGAGGTGGTGCTGCACCTGAAGCCGCGCTCCTCCAGTGCAGGCTCCTGCCTCACCTGTGGGGCAACTTCCCGAGCCCACACCCAGACCTGCCTGGCACCGCCTGGTCCTCCTGACCACCTCCCCAAATCCTCCAAAGCTAATCCCAAGCCAAGCTGGGCCAACAGCCAAAAATCTCTGACTCCAGGTTGCTTCTAGAATTGACCTGGTCTGGGAGGGCACAACCTTTTCCATGAGCCGTCCTTGGTAATGCTCACCAGGGCTCTCAGTTGAGGCCTGAGGCCTTAGTGAGAGAGTCGAGGAGCTGGAAGTAACTGTACTTGAGGTCGTACTCCATGTCATACCAGAAATTCACTGAGGGGAGAACAGAGACCTGAGCATGAGGGTCCCCCTTCTAACCTACAGCCTCCCCAACCCATCCTCCAGATGCCCTGCTGGGCCTGCCACTAGGTGACCAGGGAAGCTCCTCACCAGCAATGCAGCCATGGGACTGCTGGACATGGTGGAACCACAGGGCTGGCAGGTAGAGCATCTCACCAGCCTGCACTGTGCAGCAAAGAGCCTGGGCCTTACTGTAGCAGGGGTACCGGGCCAGATCTGGAGCCAAGGGGTCCAGGGGGATCCACGGTACCTGGGGACACAGTGGATGCCAGGGAGCAGGCCCAAAGCCCCCGGGCCCTCCAGTCAGTCCCTTCCAAAGGAAAGCACCATGTGCCCTGCTCTGCTCCTCACTGGAAGGCCCCAGACTTAGGGGCTTTCCAGAGAAAGGCACCACCTTCCCAGCTTTTTGTGCCTCAGGGCCCAGGCTTCTACCCTTCTCCCTCCCTGGGCACAGGAACAAGGCTGAGACCTTCTCCATGGCCTCTTCATCCACCATCTTAAAGGAACCCTCTGTAGTTAACTGGTAGGTCGCCGGTGTATACAGCTCTGCAAACAGAGGGAGAAAGGTATGAGGGCCACTGAATGGCTGACCACGTGACAGCCACTCTCACTCGTTCCCTGGGTGTGGGGGTCCTACTGCAGTGGAGACACTGCGCCCACACCTCAGGCCTGGGGATCAGCCTGCCCAGGGCCAACCACTCTCCAGCCCCTGAAGGCCACGTCCCCTACCATACGGGATGAAGGGCCGGTCGCTGGGTGGGTGCAGCAGGAACTGTTTCTCCCCAGAGACCACGCAGTAGAGGTTCTCATAGTGGTCCTTATGCACTGCCAACAAAAAGAAAGTCCAGTGGGCAGGGCTGAGGAGCAGGGCACTGATCTAGGAAACAGCACTTGAGCACACAGCTAGCTGTCCTTCAGAGCACTCTGTAGGGGCTTGTGAGAAACCCTCTAGTCCCAGGGCCATGGAAGGTTCCCCAACCTGACCTGTCAGTGGAGGCCCCCTGTTGTGTCCAAGCTCCAGAATCCCAGAGGAAATCTTAGAGCACAAACTTCCATCCAGGCCCAACCTTCTACTCTGAGCTTCCTCTTCTCGCACCCGTGCCTCCTCCCCAACCTTTGTATTCCCAACACCTACGAGCGGTCACTGCAGCTGCCTCCCCCAGCCAGAAGTTCACAGCGTCAGGCAGCTTTCCTGTGGGTCCGAGGGAAGAGGGCCAGTGAGGAGAGGGAGTCCCCAGAGGCCAAGCTGGGAACCACCACCATGCAGGAGGGCTGGGCCAGAGTCTGGGAGGAGGGGCAGAGGTGGCAAGCTCAGAAAGGGGCCTCCCGCCCCTGGGGCGGAAGGAAGGGAGGGCAGCTATCTCCAGTGGTTCACTGACTTGAAGTAAGGCCTGGGGATGGAGGCTGTACACAACACCTGACGCTGTGGGGCCAGGAGTGTGGGCCAAGCCATCACAGAAGGGAGGGAAGCAGCAGGCAGGGTTGACCCCTTCCTTCCCCATTCTTTTCTGCCCAGCCCAGCCTGCTCACCCAGGGCCCAGCCCACTCACCCAGTGCCTCAGAGGCCCAGGGCACGTGGGGCTCCAGATCAGGCAGCAGCTGGGGCAGCTCGCCAGGCAGGTTGGAGCACTGTTTCTGCACGTAGAGGACTCCTGGGTGTTGGGCTTGACCCTCCAGCACATCCAGCACGCAGCTCAGGGGCAGGCGGCGCTCGGCAGGCATCACAAAGCGGTCCCCTCGCACTGCATCCGCGTAACCATCCGGGGTCACAGCCACACTCACCTCCGTGGAGCCTGCTGTGGCTCTGGAGGAATGGACATTCAGCCCACAGCTAGCTGCCACAGCACACCACCCACATCCCATCCAGGCAGCTCCCACCTGAGGTAGGGAAAGGACCACTTCTGGAGTGCCGGCCAGTGCTTCAGAGCATTGCGGATGACACAGGGCCTGCTGGGGCAGACCCAGTCCCGGTAGAACTGGAGTGGAGTTGGGGGCTCACTCAGGTAGGGCACAGCAAGAGGCATGCTGAGCTCTGAGAGAGAAGGGGTGGGGAGCTGAAGCCAACAGCACCCAGCTGCTGCCCACTGCCTGAGTAAGAGATGCCCACCCTGGATCAGCCACACTGTCACTGGGAATGCCCTCTGGGACAAAGGAACAACCAGGAATTGAACACAGAGGGAAGTTTCAAGGAGAAAGCAAAAAGCACTCATAAACACACTAGGATAGGCCACAAGAACCACAGGGCCAGAAGCTGCTGCCCAGCCCATAACCCAAGCCCTCCACGGGATCGTGCCGGCCCTGCACAGCAGGCACCCAGCTTCCCCACTCTGTAGAGTGGCCAGCCACCTGGCATCCACTAGGAAAGGCAGCCAGTGAGGCAGTGCTAGGAGCTCCAAGACGAGGAGAGCTGAGGCCCCAAGGCTACAGGCTGGTGTAGGCAGCCAAGGCTCTGGGAAACACCCTCCAACAGGGATAGGCACTGAGCACCTGGAGTGTATTCAGCACTTGGTCTAGCCAATGTGGTGGCATCAAGGAGAAGCTTACAACCTAACTGGGGAGACAGACTGCCACACAAAACCACAGGAGGAAAAGCAAGGGCTGAACTGTGTTTGGAAGAGCATCACCTGTGCTGATGTCTATAGTGGCCTTTTGTCAATGCTAAATAAAAATCTCTTCTTTTTGATTCTTCCTTCTCCCTCACTTGTTATCCTATTGATCATAGTGGCCTTTATGTACTGCCAACAAAAAGAAAGCCCAGTGGGCAGTCCCGTTGATTCTGCTTCCTATGTCTCTTGAACCACCCTTTCTCCATCTTTCCTCCACAAGCTACTTCCTCTGGGTTCTCAAATACCGCTTTGATGAGGCTTCCTTCCTTGGCCACCCTTTTAAAATAACCTGCCCCCAACAATCCTTATACCTCTTCCCTTCTGTTCCCTCTGCCTATTATTTATCACCACCTAACATAATGNCGTGAATCATAGCTACCTTTTATTGAACGCTTCCTCTGTACCAGCCCTATGCTGTCCTTACAGACGTCACCTCCAAGCCCCACGACACCGCATGAGACAGGAACCAACATCATCTGTGTTTTACAGATAGGACACTGATACTCCGGCCAAGCTCACCATGCTGGTGAGAGGTGGTGCTGCACCTGAAGCCGCGCTCCTCCAGTGCAGGCTCCTGCCTCACCTGTGGGGCAACTTCCCGAGCCCACACCCAGACCTGCCTGGCACCGCCTGGTCCTCCTGACCACCTCCCCAAATCCTCCAAAGCTAATCCCAAGCCAAGCTGGGCCAACAGCCAAAAATCTCTGACTCCAGGTTGCTTCTAGAATTGACCTGGTCTGGGAGGGCACAACCTTTTCCATGAGCCGTCCTTGGTAATGCTCACCAGGGCTCTCAGTTGAGGCCTGAGGCCTTAGTGAGAGAGTCGAGGAGCTGGAAGTAACTGTACTTGAGGTCGTACTCCATGTCATACCAGAAATTCACTGAGGGGAGAACAGAGACCTGAGCATGAGGGTCCCCCTTCTAACCTACAGCCTCCCCAACCCATCCTCCAGATGCCCTGCTGGGCCTGCCACTAGGTGACCAGGGAAGCTCCTCACCAGCAATGCAGCCATGGGACTGCTGGACATGGTGGAACCACAGGGCTGGCAGGTAGAGCATCTCACCAGCCTGCACTGTGCAGCAAAGAGCCTGGGCCTTACTGTAGCAGGGGTACCGGGCCAGATCTGGAGCCAAGGGGTCCAGGGGGATCCACGGTACCTGGGGACACAGTGGATGCCAGGGAGCAGGCCCAAAGCCCCCGGGCCCTCCAGTCAGTCCCTTCCAAAGGAAAGCACCATGTGCCCTGCTCTGCTCCTCACTGGAAGGCCCCAGACTTAGGGGCTTTCCAGAGAAAGGCACCACCTTCCCAGCTTTTTGTGCCTCAGGGCCCAGGCTTCTACCCTTCTCCCTCCCTGGGCACAGGAACAAGGCTGAGACCTTCTCCATGGCCTCTTCATCCACCATCTTAAAGGAACCCTCTGTAGTTAACTGGTAGGTCGCCGGTGTATACAGCTCTGCAAACAGAGGGAGAAAGGTATGAGGGCCACTGAATGGCTGACCACGTGACAGCCACTCTCACTCGTTCCCTGGGTGTGGGGGTCCTACTGCAGTGGAGACACTGCGCCCACACCTCAGGCCTGGGGATCAGCCTGCCCAGGGCCAACCACTCTCCAGCCCCTGAAGGCCACGTCCCCTACCATACGGGATGAAGGGCCGGTCGCTGGGTGGGTGCAGCAGGAACTGTTTCTCCCCAGAGACCACGCAGTAGAGGTTCTCATAGTGGTCCTTATGCACTGCCAACAAAAAGAAAGTCCAGTGGGCAGGGCTGAGGAGCAGGGCACTGATCTAGGAAACAGCACTTGAGCACACAGCTAGCTGTCCTTCAGAGCACTCTGTAGGGGCTTGTGAGAAACCCTCTAGTCCCAGGGCCATGGAAGGTTCCCCAACCTGACCTGTCAGTGGAGGCCCCCTGTTGTGTCCAAGCTCCAGAATCCCAGAGGAAATCTTAGAGCACAAACTTCCATCCAGGCCCAACCTTCTACTCTGAGCTTCCTCTTCTCGCACCCGTGCCTCCTCCCCAACCTTTGTATTCCCAACACCTACGAGCGGTCACTGCAGCTGCCTCCCCCAGCCAGAAGTTCACAGCGTCAGGCAGCTTTCCTGTGGGTCCGAGGGAAGAGGGCCAGTGAGGAGAGGGAGTCCCCAGAGGCCAAGCTGGGAACCACCACCATGCAGGAGGGCTGGGCCAGAGTCTGGGAGGAGGGGCAGAGGTGGCAAGCTCAGAAAGGGGCCTCCCGCCCCTGGGGCGGAAGGAAGGGAGGGCAGCTATCTCCAGTGGTTCACTGACTTGAAGTAAGGCCTGGGGATGGAGGCTGTACACAACACCTGACGCTGTGGGGCCAGGAGTGTGGGCCAAGCCATCACAGAAGGGAGGGAAGCAGCAGGCAGGGTTGACCCCTTCCTTCCCCATTCTTTTCTGCCCAGCCCAGCCTGCTCACCCAGGGCCCAGCCCACTCACCCAGTGCCTCAGAGGCCCAGGGCACGTGGGGCTCCAGATCAGGCAGCAGCTGGGGCAGCTCGCCAGGCAGGTTGGAGCACTGTTTCTGCACGTAGAGGACTCCTGGGTGTTGGGCTTGACCCTCCAGCACATCCAGCACGCAGCTCAGGGGCAGGCGGCGCTCGGCAGGCATCACAAAGCGGTCCCCTCGCACTGCATCCGCGTAACCATCCGGGGTCACAGCCACACTCACCTCCGTGGAGCCTGCTGTGGCTCTGGAGGAATGGACATTCAGCCCACAGCTAGCTGCCACAGCACACCACCCACATCCCATCCAGGCAGCTCCCACCTGAGGTAGGGAAAGGACCACTTCTGGAGTGCCGGCCAGTGCTTCAGAGCATTGCGGATGACACAGGGCCTGCTGGGGCAGACCCAGTCCCGGTAGAACTGGAGTGGAGTTGGGGGCTCACTCAGGTAGGGCACAGCAAGAGGCATGCTGAGCTCTGAGAGAGAAGGGGTGGGGAGCTGAAGCCAACAGCACCCAGCTGCTGCCCACTGCCTGAGTAAGAGATGCCCACCCTGGATCAGCCACACTGTCACTGGGAATGCCCTCTGGGACAAAGGAACAACCAGGAATTGAACACAGAGGGAAGTTTCAAGGAGAAAGCAAAAAGCACTCATAAACACACTAGGATAGGCCACAAGAACCACAGGGCCAGAAGCTGCTGCCCAGCCCATAACCCAAGCCCTCCACGGGATCGTGCCGGCCCTGCACAGCAGGCACCCAGCTTCCCCACTCTGTAGAGTGGCCAGCCACCTGGCATCCACTAGGAAAGGCAGCCAGTGAGGCAGTGCTAGGAGCTCCAAGACGAGGAGAGCTGAGGCCCCAAGGCTACAGGCTGGTGTAGGCAGCCAAGGCTCTGGGAAACACCCTCCAACAGGGATAGGCACTGAGCACCTGGAGTGTATTCAGCACTTGGTCTAGCCAATGTGGTGGCATCAAGGAGAAGCTTACAACCTAACTGGGGAGACAGACTGCCACACAAAACCACAGGAGGAAAAGCAAGGGCTGAACTGTGTTTGGAAGAGCATCACCTGTGCTGATGTCTATAGTGGCCTTTTGTCAATGCTAAATAAAAATCTCTTCTTTTTGATTCTTCCTTCTCCCTCACTTGTTATCCTATTGATCATAGTGGCCTTTATGTACTGCCAACAAAAAGAAAGCCCAGTGGGCAGTCCCGTTGATTCTGCTTCCTATGTCTCTTGAACCACCCTTTCTCCATCTTTCCTCCACAAGCTACTTCCTCTGGGTTCTCAAATACCGCTTTGATGAGGCTTCCTTCCTTGGCCACCCTTTTAAAATAACCTGCCCCCAACAATCCTTATACCTCTTCCCTTCTGTTCCCTCTGCCTATTATTTATCACCACCTAACATAATGCATGTCTCACTTTCTCATTCACCCAAACTGCATATCAGTCTACCTCTCTTGCTAAAATGTAAACTCCATGAGGGCAGGGAGGCTTGTTCACTGGTATATTGCCAGGACCTATATGGCACCTAGCACACAGCAGGTGTTTGGTATATTTCTTAGTGGTGAGATGAAAAGTTTCCAACACCTCCTAGCTGGATGGTTCCTGCAGTGAACTAGCTGGTTTCTCTGACTAAATCCACTCCCTCTCAAAGCATCCCTTACCCTGGCCCCAGACATCTTCTTAACATACAATCTCACGGTGTCATACCCCTCATTAAAAAATCCTTTGACGGCTCAACCCTACTCCTTACAAATACAGTCTGTCTTCTTAGCATGCATCCAAGGTACTCCGTGATCAGGCCCAACCTACTTTTCCAGCCTGGTTTCCTCCTGTCTGGTGCCTGCCCCTTATCACACACTCTCTACTCAGGTGGTGCTAAACTTTGATCCTGCTGGTCAGTCAGACTGCAATGCCTTTTCCCTGGCTTGTTACAAAGTGTATGGGGCTTCACTTTGTTGGCTTCATCCTTGTACAGCCCGAATGTCCTGATGGCCAGTAACCAGTTATTGTATCCTGCTCCAAGCAGCCACCACACTCATTTTCACCTCTGAGTTCATGATGTCTCTCTCTCACAGCCGTCTCCACACTGGTCATCTCTGCCTTGCAGTCGGCTGGAAAGTGAATTGAATGTCTTTACATCAAAAATTGGAACTGAGTGGGAAGACCCTGGTGGGCCCAGGAAAACTGCAAAGAGCTGGCATAGGTGCTCACTTCACTGGCTAGAGAGAGATGTAATCTGCCCCACAGATAAGGCAGCAAAGGGGAGGAAACTGGCAAAGGGCCTGCTGAGTCGTGCCAGCCCATCAAAGCAGTTGTGTTGTACGGGACAGTGGGTGGCATTCAAGGCTCCAAATCTTCTAGAACTGTCACTGGGATGCTTAAAATACCTGGAAACTGCCAATTCTTTCTTTGGTTCCTCCCTCCCTCCCTCCCTCCCTTCCCTTCCTTTCTTTTTTACCCCTCAGATTTTCTGCAACTCGTCCAGTTTCACTTTCTCACCATTTAATAGCTTTCCTTTAAGGAAAGGCCACTGTTCCCTCCTGAGGCTTCAAAGTGAGAGAATTTCAAAAGGGAGGCAAACAATTGTTTTGGCCCAACAATTCTTCTGCTAGGAATTTAACGAAAAAAACAAACATGTGCCCAATGATTCTGCCTCAGGCACACAGGCCTCTTCACAGTTCCCTGAACACAGACACACTCCACCTTAGGGCATTTGTCCATCTGGAATTCTCTTCTCTCAGATGTCTGCACGCTCACCCTCTCCTTCTTCAAGCCTGTGCTCAAATGTTACCTTATCAAGGAGGCGCACCTACTCTGACCATCTTATTGAACCTCGTTGCCTGTCCCCCACTCCCACATCCTAAGGCTCTTCATTCTGCTTTACTTTTTTCCCATAGCACTTATCTTCTAACCCATTTCTTCTACTATATAGTTTACTCACTTAGTGTGACTATAGCTGTCTGTCCCCTCACTTAGAACATAAGCTCTTATTGGGCAGAGATTTGTTTTATTCAGTGGTGTATCCTAAACACATTGAACAGAGACTGGAACACTGAAGTGCTTAATAACTATTTGTTAAATGAATACTTGAAATACTCGCAGCATTATCTAAAAAATTGATTGGAAATGGCCTAAATGCCTATCAACAGTGGGACGATTAAGTAAATTAAGCACTAGTATACAGGTGCGATAAAGCCTGAGGTAAAAGGGATATGGAACAGTCTTCATGATACATGCTGCAGAAAAATGTTTAGCAAACTATCATTTGTATAAAAAGGAAGTACAGAGTCATACGTGTGTGTGAACATAAATAGTGTGTTTGGTAGGATGCAAACTGGAGCCTTGAACTGGAAGCTTACTTTATATATAAATGCATTGTTTTCTAAACCATGGGCCTGTGCTAATTCAGTGGTAAAATAGACAGAAAAAAGGAGGGGAGGTAGGGAGGAAGGGATAGAAGGGGAAAAAATAAAGGCCAAGCAGAGGAAAAGTCAAGAATCACTTAGAGTTACCTACAGTTCTCCCAAAGCTCCACACCACTCCCAGCTTGGAGGAGTCTATTCCCTGAATAACAAATTCCAGCAGGGGTTCAGAAAGGGAGAATCCGACCACCTGAAGAGTAAAGCTTCGCCACAGGAAAGGCTGGGAAGGGCAACGACTGCGCGGGGCTGATGATGGGAACACCAGGACAGCAGCAGGGAAAAGACGGGACCGGCCTTGGGAATAGATGCGAACAGTCACGCCCAGGAAGAACGAGGGCCTGCGAACACCGGCGGAGGGAGAGTGGGGCCAGCCCCGGGCGGGGGAAGGGGGCTGTGACGGAAGTGAGCAGAGGGGGCCTGTCGGTCAGTCACGTGCACCAGGTTCTGCGCTCCTGGAGAACAGGAACTAGGGTGCGAGGCGGTGTCGGCGACCCAGGAGGGACCGGGACGCTCCCGCCTCGGAGCCAAGGCCTCTCCCGCGTCCTGAGGGAACCCACTCACCCCTGGCCGCAACCGGGAATTCTCGTAACTCCTTCCGGACGGCTTCCAACACCGCCTCCGCCATGACGCCGCCGCCGCCGCGAAAAGCCCCGCCCTCCTGGGACGCCCCGCCCCTCCCCCCCCCCCCCCCCCCCCCGCCCCCCCCCCCCCCCCCCCCCCCCCCCCCCCCCCCCCCCCCCCGGCTGGGACGCTGCGCCTAGTCCAGCCTGCGAGACTCGATGGCATCCCAGAGTTAAGAAATGATTGTTTATTGACGAGTTCATACATCAATACAAATGGACATGTTAAAAACAGCCCTCTGCCCTGTGAGACCTGGAACAGGACAAATCTGACGGGGAACGGCAGTTGCCGGTGGCCTCAGACATGCAGAAGGGGATGGGGCCGGCCTGGCTACGAAGCCCCCTCAAGCTGGACAAGGGGTAGGGAAAGGGGAGCCACCTTCTCACAAACCTTGGCTGGAGTGTACCTCCCCACTCCTGAGGGGCAGGCTGGCTGAGGATCGCGAAGAACCCAGCCCAGAGGGCCAGGCCCGAGCCCTCTTTGGTCTGGGCTGTGGCTGGTGTGCTGGTTGGGGGAATGGGAGGGGATTTCTAACCCTCACAAGGGCAGCTGCAGCCCCGCCAGGGGGCCACCCTCAGCTTCAAGACTCCTGAGACAGGATTTCTTTGCAGTTTGGCCATGCCGGTGACAGTAGAGAAGTTAGGGTGAAACAGGGCTCATCTATCCAGGTGCATGCAGGCTGTTATGTAGCTGGCCACTCTTCAGAACCCAATTTCTTGCTAAGCCTCTGCTTAGAACTAGCACGGCCACCGGCCTGTCCTGGGAGAATGGGCCTTTGTGGCCTGGAGCTTTGGTAAAACCACCCTGACAGACCTGAGGCAGAAAGCAGCAGGGCCCAGAGACATGAGTTCTTCACCCTAACTCAACAACGGTTTCACTATTTGGTCCTACTCTACCTGCCCCATGCCCTGTCCTTACCCTCACCCCTAACAACTGCCCTTCCAATTCTACTCTATCTCCTCACCTCCAACACTTACCTGTCCAACCTACCACTTTTCCAGCATGTCTTGACCCCTGCTGCAGTTCCACGTGCCTCCCTCCCCTCAACCTCCAGTATTCAGAGCATCTGGGGTGCCCAGAACTGCCTTTGAGGAGGTTCCTTCTACCCCAACCAGGTAACCTATAGGCCATCTTGTATCAACTAGCTTCTGGACACCAGGAATCGAGAATTATGTGTAGTATGTTCCTTTTCATGCTCCTTGACAGGAGTTCCACACAAGCCAGGGTGGTGAAGTTCCAAGTCAGCCAGCCAAGTACTCTATCAATGAACACTCAAGAGTGTGTGTGTGTGTGTGTGTGTGTAGACTTCATCTATGGTCATGGTCAAGATCCTTACAGGGTGTGTGTGTGTGTGTGTGTGTGTGTGTGTAGACTTCATCTATGGTCAAGATCCTTACAGGGTGGGCCAGCACCCTGTAAACATCTGCGCTCCAGCAGCCTGCTGGGGACCAGGGTAGGCAGATAGGGAAAGTCAAGGGGCTGAGGAGAGCAGGCCAGGCCTTCGTGTCTGCCCAGCAGAGGGCTTACTGTCCTGCAGCAACATCCCATAGCTGTCTCCACACATTAGGCCAAGAGCGAAAGGGGGTACAGGGAAAGAAACAATGCTAGGGCTCTCTTAGGGGGGAATGCGAGTGGAATGTAGGGCCTTGATACCAACTCAAGCCTTCTGATGGCTGGGAACGCCCTGGAGGGTCAGAAGGCTCTGCCTTTCTGAACTGTGAGGAATTAGGGAGCATGGTAACCCTTGCTCTGGCAGCCAGGGGAGTGCAGCTGGTGTGGGAGGGGAAGTGGAGGTAGAGGTGAAGCTCTTCTGTCGGCTGAAGGGCACTGATTACATCGCATCTCGCCTCTACCCCACTGAATACCCTGTGTGTGCTCCATCCCAGGGAGCTGATCCCTGCAGTAATTTCAAATGGCTTCTAAGAAGAGAGGGCCAGCCCTCCCCCCATCTCCCCCAGATGAGGCAGACTGCCCTCCTACTCCTCACGGCACCAAGATGACAAATACCCAAGACCCACCCCTGCATGAGCCACTGGCAGGGCCATGGAGGCAGGGGTTCCAAGAAAGTGAGGCAATAGTCAGGGAAATAAATTAATAAATACAGGGGCCCCATGAGGAGCAGCTGGGCAAGCCCTTCCCCTCTGAACATTGATCCCTGCTATCCACTCAGCATCCCCACAGGTTTTGGAAGAGTGGAAGAAGGACTACAGTTTGGAATAAAGGGAGCATTCACTTAGGACAGGCTTCTGGAACTCAGAGTCTGCGTTCCATGCGCTGCTCCACGGCTCGAAGCAGCAGCTCTGAGTATTGCTCCAGTAGGGCCTGCGTTTGCTCAGCCCCCACGGCCCCAGGGCTCCCTCCTGGGCTGCACATTACTGCCCCAGCCAGGGCTTCTAGCTCCTGCCGCACTGAAGAGAAGGTGTTTCTGAGGAGCTGGGTGATGCGATTTTGCTCTGCTGAGGGTGTCTTGCAGCTGGCCACCTGCAACAGGATCCGGAAAGTGAGTCAGAGAAACAGTGGGGAGACCAGTCAATGGATGTATAAGAAGGTCTAGCCCAAAGAAAGGACTGCACACCCAGCTGGGTGTGGCTGGGAGTTCCACACTCCAAGATCAGCAAGTAAGACCAGAGGATATGGGATGGAGGCCGACTTGGGGCGTGAACTCCAAGAGCCCATTAGGTGGCACCATCCACACCTTGTTACCAACTCCTCTTTTAGAGCTTGGGCCCTGCTGGTCTGTCCTCTATGTCTAGGGTGGCCAAAGAGTTTTTAAATATGAAAGGGGATACTGGGACAACAGGTATAAACTGGGATGGTCCTGAGCAAACTAGGACATGTGACCCCCTACCCTTCTTGTCTAAGGACATCTTCAGCTCTTAGCCATAATTGACTGACAGGTGCTCAGTTCAAGAGGCCTAACCTGACCTCTAACCTCACCTACTCTGCCCAGGATGATCTTGATTGCTCCACCCACCCAACAGTGGAGGGAAGAGCCTTATCATGATTGTTCTGGATCTTCAGTTAGCACTCTTGATGTGCTCTATCTCCCCACTGGTGGGTGCCCAACACGTACCAAGTGGTAAAGCCCCACAGCCTGGCGCACACTGGCCTGGAGCTCTGCCACAAGTTGTTCACACTGCTCCAGGTTCACCACTGGCTCTGAGTGGGGGTGGGGGTGGGGAGGAAACAGCTCAGTAAGGCCCAGCAAAGCTGCCCTTTCAGGCCTCCCCACCCAGGGACCTACCCCCTCAGAGCAGGAGAGGTTCACTCCCCAACAACACACCCCCTCCATGTGCCCTCAGTCCCTTCTTGCATCCTTCCCTCCCAATACCACACAGAAAACCAAGTCCAGAAGAAAGGGCCAGCCCAAGCTCCAGGGCCCAGAGGCACTGAAGGGGCAGGTGGGTCACAGGGAGATCACCAAGGTTGGCACTAAGAGTGTCTCACCATTGGGGTGTGATTTATGGACCAAGACAGGAACAGATAGGATAAAAATGCCAGAGGCTGGACACACAGAAATGGGATGGAGACAGAGAATGGCCAATGAAGACGGGAAGGAGGACAGGGCATGAGATTAAGTGGGGGGAGTTGTGCACACCTGAGTCCTGGCTCAGGGCTGCCCCTGGCCTGGTGCAGCCCATGGGGCTGGGAGTCTTCTCAGGAAGTGGGGGTTGCAAGTTCTCAGGGCCTTGGAGGAGGCTGTTGACTGGCAGTTGCTGGGCACTGGGTCCATTGGGCCCAGGCTGAGGCTGGCATTCTGTCCTTGGCCTGAGAGGGATACCCTCCCCCAAACAAGCCTGCCTTTCCGGTGTACTATGAGTCTTTCCTAGGCCTGCCAGGGTGCCAGGTTGTTCTGCCTCACCAGGGGCCCGGCCTTTGGTTACAGGTGAGAATGTGGCTAGAGAAGGACGATCAGGCAGTGGCTTTGGGATGTCCAGGACCAGGTGAGCCCGGCTGGGCAGGGCCAGCTTGCTGAGTGGTGAGACTCGAATGGGGGTAGGAGCCTGAGGTTCAGCCACCAGGCCCAAGTTCTCCCCAACAGAGATGCTGCGGGATATCTTGGCCATGGAACTAGCGGTGGGATTCTGGTAGGAGTGGGGCCGAGACAGACGGCCATCAGCCTGAGACAGGGAGCGCAGACACTCCTGGGCCTCCATTTCCCGTAAGAGCAATGGGCCTGATGGAGGGGCCTCGTCTGCAGAGGAGACAGATGTATGCAGGTCAGGTGGTGAGGAAGGCATCCCAAGTGCAAAAGCTCAGTTCCCTGGGAGTCGCTGTCCCCTGCACATACCCACTAAGGGACACCCGGTGGCAAGCACAGTGACACATCCGGGTTACAGACCCTCCTTCCTCTAATGCTCATGTGCTCCACAGTCCCCACACCCTAGAACTGAGCCCACCAGCCTCCTCACCCTGCGGCACCAGACTCTGTGTAGACTGGGCTTTCTGGAGTCCACCTAAGGGGCTGGCTGTGGCCACTCTCTTGGGGGCCCAGCTGCTATCCGGGCTGAGACGGTGGCGTGGCAACAGCACAGGGGCTGCCTGCTGGGGGCCAGGGTTTCCAGGGGAGGGTGCCGCCTCTGGGGGTGCTCCTGGAGGACTAGCACCATTGCCTCCCAGGTCCTCACCAGATGCCTGCAGCATCTGGGCTGGTCTCGACGTCAGTGGCAGGCTTGAGGAAGATGGGGACAGTTCCCTATGGGAAGGAAATGTGGAGGAAGGCCCGGAGAAGGGTCAGGGCTCCTCCCTGGCAAGATGGGAGAGAATTTCTCATAGGACTACAAACGTGCTAGGAGAGAAGGGCAGACACAAAGCCAGCCAGGCCAGCTGTTCCAAAACTTGGGGTGCAAAATACTGTTGGGCACAGGAAGGCAGAAGCCTTGGAGAAAGGAAGACTGTAGGCTGCCCCAGGGGCAGGACTGGCCCTTTCTGGGAGCACTGGAAGGTCAGGAGAGCAGGAGCTCCTCAGGGAAGAGAGAGCTGCTACGAGGAGAGGTACCTGAGTCGGGGGGTCTGCACTTGTAATAGGAATCGTGAAGAAATGCTCCGAGACTCTGTCCTCTCTGGCACCCGCACTGGGCCCCCTGCCAGGGTGATAGAAATCATGATTCAAAGCAAGCCCTCCTTGAAGCCAGCCCCAGGGCATGGCCTGCCCTTGGACCCTCCCTCTCACCCAGGCAAGTAGCAGGGGAGGGCAGACTGCAGTGACCAAGTGCTGGCCCTCAGACCACACCTGGAGCAGCCCCATTGGCCAGAGTCTCAAAGTGTTGTTTCAGAAACTGCTCCTGGTCCGGGGTATGAGGGCTGCCATCCTGCAGCCCATAGTGGGCAGTGCCTGCCTCCTCTTCCTCTTCCTCATCACCCTCAGCTGGCTCTTCAAGGTCTGAGGAAATGCCATCCACACTCAGGGGCTCCGTGCTCTCAGAGTCTGGATGTGGGGAGAGGGAGAAGCATCATGCCGCACCCATGTTGCCAGAGCCTCAGCTCCCACCTCAGAGTGCTGACCTGCCTCAGTGCGGCAGCCTCACCTTCATTGGGATGCTCAGGGCTGGAAAGGCGGCTGCTGCTGTAATCCACAGAGCAGGCACTATCAGGACTGTGCTTCTCTGAGCCCCTGCCACCTGGGTACACTCTTCCCAGGGTCCCTCGGGCTGGAGCCTGTACCTGGAAGCCACTGCCAGAAAGGCCAGCAGGGAGGAGAGGCTGTGAACAGGGCAAGCAGCAGTCCTGGTGGACTCCTGCCTTCCTTCCCTGCCCCCTCCCCGGAAGCAGGACAGGGGATGAGGCAATGGCAAGGTGGTGCGCAAGCCCCAAGAACCCTGGGCCAGTCCTCCCCTAACTGAAGAATGCCTGAAGGTAAGGGAAGATGGGAGCTGTCTGGCCCCTGAGGTCTAGTGAGGAAAGGACCCTTGCCTGGTATCCAGGGTGGGGCTGTCACTTGGCTCTGGGTAGACAATACCATCTTCAATAGGTGCAGCCTCCAGGTCTTGGGCAAAGACCCCTTCCTCTTGGGACAACAGTTGGATAATGTGGGGACAGGAACAGGGTTGGGAAGCCTGAGGCTGAGGGGGCTTTTCATTCTGGGAACACACAAAGGGGCATTACTAGGATTGCTGATATGAGAGGGTCTTGGAAAAGAGGTAAAGGTGGGGAAAGATTTGGTAGGCACCAATTCCGGGGAAAGCTGAATATTCCAATTATGAGGACAGACACCAAGATGCCAGGATATCCTAGCACTCAGGGCTGCAACCTCCAGCCACCACTGGGTGTCATGAGCCCTCCAAGGAATCCAGCCCAGGACAAAAGCTACCTTTTGCTCCCCGCCCCGCCCCCCTGCCCTCACCATACCGTACAGCCTAGCCAGCCCCAGCCCCAGTGACTTTGCAGTTTGGGTTACCCATGTGCCTCAGGAACAGAGCAAGCATAGTTGGATCAGGGCTCAGGCCCCAGCCGTTGGCACAAGGCTGGCTAAAGCTGCTTGGAGATCTCTAGGGACCTGGGAGAAGGCTGGCTCACCTGGCTAGCATGTGAGGTCTCAGAGGCCTGCTGACCATGCCTCCCAGGGCCAGATGGGGACACGGCCAGCGAGTTCCGGCTAGGGCCGCGAAGGCTCGGAGCCAGTGTCTCCAGCTGCCGCAAGTCCAGCATGGAGCGAACACTCAGCTCTGCACCTGGCTGAGCCCAGCGCCCCCTTCTTCTGGGTCCTTGGTTGCCCACAGGAGTGTGGTCCAGGAACTCCATCATCTGCTGTGCCTGGTGAAGGTGGGGTGGGGGAGGAATAACCACAACCACACAATAGTATTAGCAAACACTCATATGTCACTTACTGTATGCCAGGCACTTTACATGTATTAGCTCATTTAATCCTCACAACCACCTTAAATAAGTAGGTACTAGTATTAGCCCCATTTTCACAGATGGGAAAACTGAAGCACAGAGGGTTTAAATGACTTGTCCCAAGTCCCATAAGTTACAACTCAGGTAGTCTGCCCCCAGAGTTCAAGCTCTTAGCTTCACTCTATGCTTCTAGTCTCAGCCTTCACCTGGTGTCATGAGGCCTCAGAGCTGAAAGTCTCTTAAATCCCTTAGTCTGAGGATAGCCCCAACAGAGCCCCCACGCCCACTCACAGCACCAAGGACAGACCACCAGCCCAGCCTTTGGGACTCCTGGCCCAGTCAGAACACACCACGGACCCTCACCCCCACCCCCACGCCCAAGAAACTGCTGCTGACCGCAGAAGGTACCTGTGCTTGAAACCCTGGCATCTGATGAAGGAGGGCCCGGCGCCTCAGGCCCTGCTCTGAGAGCCCTTATCCTGCTCTGGCCAGTCTGAAGCAGCTGCTCAGTTACTGATCCTCTTATGGCCTTTTCCCTCTAACTGTTCTGGAACTTATGAGCTTATCTCCTAACCTGGGGCCTGTAGAACCACAGTTGTTCAATTTCTGCTCTTTGGACCTTTGATTTTCTTGAACTTTAGTTTTGTTTGGCTCAGACCCCCCTTATGTATTCCCCACCTCAACCTGTTCTCCATTCACATTTACTCCCAGGCTCCCAGGCAGCTAAATAAGTGGAGTACATCCTCTAGCGGCAACTAACGATTGTAGACCACCTCACTGGTCCCAGGAAGGAAATACCTGGTCTTTGTCTCTTCATCATCCCTAACCTGGGATGGACACAGCTGCTTGAACTGCCCCCACAAGGCCCTTCCTTGAATACAACAGGTGGAGCATGTAGGCCAGATCAGAGAGTCTGGCTTTCACCTTCCTTCACCTCTCATAACCTTGAAGGGCATTTTTTTTTTTAACAATCAAGACTTACCTGGCTCATCTCCCAGTGAGACAGGCTTCGGGGCAGGGCAGGGCTGGGCATTAAGGCTAGATAGAGACAGGCAGTCAGAGAGAGTGTCTTCCTGCCCACCCACCCAGAGCCTGGCCCCACAGCAGCCCATAGCCCATGTGGCCACAGGGATGCTCTGGTTTCCTCAGCTCACACTGCTTCCACTCCAACAGTCCCAGAAAGGTCCTATCTAGCCACTATACCGGCTGGTGCTGGTCTGGCCCTACACCAGACTTCCACAGACCTGACCCTTTCTTGGTTCCCTTGGCAAGAATGGGTAGAGCTGGAAGTTCTTCTTCAGTGCCCTCATCCTCTCCCTCCTTGTCACTGTCTGATGAGAGAGCTGGTCCAGGAGACAGCATCGACGGAGCCTCATGCCTGAGTCCAGGACAAGGAGGTCATGTGGAGAGGAGACTTAATGGGGGAAGAGGTCAACCTCATGGATCTTTGTGTGAGAAGCAAGTGTTGAGAGACACAGAGCCGTGGAATAGCAGGTCCAGAGCAAGGAGGAGGTGCAGGGAGATCACAAGGAGCCATCTGTACATCCACCACCACTTGCCCATATCCCATACTCTGTTCTCACCAGTTGGGTCCAGCAGACCTTTGAGGAGAAGGTGGTCCTTGTTGCTTGCCCCCTCGCTGATGCTGGCGCAACTCAGCCAGACGCTGTCTCATGCTGATGGTCATCTCAGAGCTCAGGCGCCACACAAATATGCAGCTGCACAGAGTCATAGAGTTGGGTGAGGAGGGGAAGGGCAGGACCCTGCAGGTGGCAACAGCATTAGTTCCCTTTCTCCACTGGCAAGGAGACCAGAGGCATCCTCTAGTGCCAGGTCTGGCCTGGTCAAGAAATACCACTCTACTGCCCAGAGACTTTAAGGTGTGAAGAGAGGCAAGGGGGCAGGGTGCGTCTGCAGCCCCGAGAAAGAATTTGTATCTCAGGGAAGCTGGCTTCTGCTCACCTGTCCCCTGATACGGAGATAAGATGTTTGCAGTCATTACTGAATTTCATGCCAGTGACAATCTCTGTGAAGAATAAAGAATTTGGCCTATGAGCCACCCTGAAGCCCCAGCCAGGCTTCTGTCCCAACAATGAAGGTCGGGGGCTGGTTGGAGGGGAGGAGCAGGCAGCTCTGTAGGGTCCCAAGAAATAAAAGGAAAAAAGAGTCAAGGCCCAGGGGTAGCATACTAGTGCTACACTCACCTGAGTGGCCAAACATGGTGGCCACACACTCGCCTGAGGAGAAGTCAAAAATGGAGAGGTTCTTGTCAGAACAGCTGGTGGCAATGTAGATTCCTGAGGGGTCTGTCTGCACCTGAAGGAGAGGGACACAGCTGGAAGAGGACGGGAAGCACCAGTTCCTCTCCACCTAAGACAACTGTCCTCCCATTCTGTGGCCCAGTGCCCATCCCCCTGGGCCCTTACCTTAATCAGAGTGCCATCATCACCCTGTGACCCTTTAAACAGCTTTTTCTGCTTTCCACTGCTGATGTTAAAGATCCTGTAAGAAACACACTGTCATTCACATGAGGAGAAGGCCAGGATCGAGCACACCTGGGGAAAGGAAACACCAGCATCTACTCCCAGCCCTGTTCTCTCTGGGAGCCACTCCCCAACACCAAAGGGACTATCACCTTTTAGGTGAGACAAGTACTCATTCTGTAGGCTCAAGGGGATGCAAAGTCCTGGACAGATAGAGGAGGGGACTGAGCTGCCTACAGCTGACCCCCTGAGGCAAAAAGGAATGTGGTCAGATGGTCTGAGAAGGGGATGCCCACCGAATATTTCGGTCCTGGCAGCCAATGGCCGTGTACTTCCAGCTGGGCTCCACATCCATGTCATAAAGGGTTGTCTTCCGTACCACGTGGTGTGTCCGTGTAAACTGTACTCCATCTCCAGACTGTAGGAGTGCAGCATGTGGGCAGACCCAATGCCCAAATGCCACACCAGGCCCAGAGAGACCTGCATTCACCTCTTGCAACCTCAGGTAGGGGAATGGTAGAGAACCCAGCCCCCCACTGCCCCCTTCAGGGAAGCCCCATTCCCTCACCTTCTGTGCAGTGCGGAAGTAGATGCTCTTGTCTGCTCCACAGCTGATCATGCGGACTTGCCCATCACTGGCTACGGAGGAGGGGGACCTCGCTGTTCCCACTGCCTCTCACCAGGAAGCCAGACTTTCCTCTGCCCTCCCTCCATACTGCCCGCCTATAGAGCTACTCTGCGTGGCTGGGACAACCAATTAAATCAGGATATTTCCCTTCAAACCTAAAACTTTCCTTTGTCTCTATCCTCAGCCAACCTGGTTGGGTCAGGCTCCCCTGGACTGAGAGTCTATATCCCACCTGTCTTCCCATCCAGCCCCAGGCCTCCCAGCTGCTGCACAAACTCCCCCGTGACTGGGACACTGTTCTCGTGGAGGCAGGAGGCAGGTGGCAGTGGGGCAGGGGATGGTGGTGGCAGGTGGTAGAATAGGCCTGGACTGCCCTGGCCCACCTGCAAATTTGACAGCAGTGATGGAGGATGAGTGCTCATCCAATGTCTGCTGGAGACTATACTCCCGTCCGGCGTCCAGCACATGGATCAGCCGGTCCCGGCTCGCCGATGCCAGCAGCTTCAGACCTAAGGTTGGAAGAACTTCAGCAGCCCACAAGCACCCAGCACAGCCCCTTATTTAGGCCCAACTAAGAGGGCCTCAAGAACTGAGCCCCATCCCTAAGCCAACGGAACCACGGAGCAGGGATGGAGCAGTCCTCCTCTAAACCGACAAAGACACCAAATGATTCAAAGGATTTTCGGTCCCACATCCAAGAGCCAGATTAAATATATGTGGCAGTAGCAGGACTGGAGGAGCCCTGTGCCATTCTGGGCTAGACACCGCATCCTCTTTACCTGTGTCTGGCTTCGAGTATTCCAGGCATAGAATTTCCGAGTCATGGGCCTCCACCTTGAGCATCTCACTCAGGGACCGCAGCTCATGCACCCTGCAAAATGAGGAGAGGAGGAAGGAGACCATTGTCAGGCTGTAGGAGGAGAGACTCACCCTCCTTCCTCTGCTGTATCTTTTCCCCCAACCTTTTCAAAAATGTATTTTTATTACTTTTTGACTTTAGGCTTGGAGAAAAGTTTCAGTGAGTACAGACAACTTTTAAATTTCCCTCACCCAGCTTTCCCTAATGTTAACACCTTAGGTAACAACAGTTTAATTATCAGAGCCAGGATTTTTACATTGGTACAATACTGTTAATTGAAGATTTTATTTGAATTTCACCAGTTTACCACAATGTCATTTTTCTGAATTCAAGATCCTTTCCTGAGTTCAAATTTCATTTAGCTCTTTCTACTTAGTCCCCTGTAGTCTGTAACAGTTCTTCAGCCTTTCTCTATCTTTCATGACCTTTATACTTTCAGAGAGCATTGGTCAGTTACTCTGTCATATGGGCCTTAATCTGAGTTCATCTGATGTTATGTCAGATGATTGGACAGGGTTCATATATCTTTGGCAAGAATACCCCAGAAACACTGCTACGTCTTCTGTATTATATACACCATATTATGGGCTTCATGATGTTGATATGGGAATGTTAAGCTTGATCACTTGGTTAAGACGGTTTCTGCTGGGTTTCTTCATGGTAAAGTTATCTTTCCCTTGTATATAAATATCTTGTTCTCTACTCTGTTCTTGGGGACCTAACTCGGCCAGCCTCTATCATGGGAGGCAGTCAGTACCCACTCCAGGCCTAGCATTACCTGAGTGTGCCCATACGGTCCCCTGAGGCTAGGTGCTGTCCATTGGGGCTGATACACACAGAGCGGATGCCCACACGGGGATCCATCAGAGACCCATCGGCTTTGTCTCCTCCAGGAAGCTCAGTGTCTAGCAGGGCCTGAGTGTTTCCATCCACATAGATGATTTTAATGAGGTCCTGGTGGAGCAGGTCAGGAGAAGAGCTGAATAAGGCAGGTCTGACCACACATAGCTGCAAGGGGAGAGGAATGCTGGACAAGATAAAACCTTGGCTCACAGAGCCCGGCCAAATAAGAGCTGGAAGATCAAGTTCTGGGTCCCCAGTTCCTTTGAGGAGGTGTGAAGGCTGAAGGGATGGGGTAAGTGGGGAGTTGGGGCCTTCAGGCCTCGGGGCTCACATTGCTGAGGATGTTACGGTGCAAGGTGGAAACATATATGCCGGAGTTCTCTGTGTTCCACAGGCGGATGGTATTGTCTGAAGAACAGGTGATAAACGAACTAGGGGGCAGGCAAGCCTGGTTACTGTCCTTCACTTCAGGGTAGACCTGAAGGGGCATAGGGAACAAAGTCAGATCTCTAGTTAGAGAGCAGTCCCTGCCTCCCCGAGAAGATGGGAGTGAGATTAAAGAGATAATGCTGGCCAAGATTTAGCCCAGTGTCTGTCACACAGAAGCATGCCATAAAGTCTAGATACTCTGCATACTCACTAAGGGAAAACACACTAACAAGCACCTACCAAGTACCAGGCACTCTTCTGCTCCCACTTAGTTTATTTCATTTAATTCTTAGAACGGTTAGATGAATCAGGTACATCATTTTATAGTTGAGGAAACTGAGACTCAGTCAAGTTCAGTAACTTGTCCAAGATCACCCAGCCCAGGACGAGGCAAAGCTAAGCATGGACAGGGCACACTGGAAGAAGCTTGAGATAGATATGCACTAAAATTCAAGCTCAGTCCTCAGGACCCATCTGAGGATATGTGGACACACAGGGGTGCTGCTGGAGAAACAAGGAGGCAGCAGGAACATAACATTATACATGGGATGGGGCTCCCCACTTTCTGGCCTCACAGGAGAACCCCAGCAAACCTGGTCAGTCTCAAGCCAGTCCAGCTCACATACCTCAACACTCCAGACGCAGGAGGAATGATACAGGGCTGAGTACACCTTGCCCACTTTCTTGGGGTCCCTCACATCCCAAACATAAATGCTGTGGTCGTTGTATACACAAGACAGCCAATGATTAGTAGGATCAAAGGTCAAGGCAATGGTGTCTGGATACCTGGCATTGGCCATTCCAGAGAAGAGGTGACTGTGGGGAAGAGGACAGGGCAAATCAGTGAGTGAGAAGCTAATGAAATGAGGGAATTGAAGAGAATGAAAACAGAACCCAACCCACAAAGGAAGGAGCAGAGCAAGGGGAGCACTCTCCAAACCTGCAGGTTTAGAAGGAGCTGCTTGAGAAAGAAAAAAGCAGCTTCTGACAGCTGTCAGCTGGGAGCTGACCTGGCACTAGCTGCTGGGCCATGTGTTCTCCTGATTAACACGGTGCCACGGGACACCAGCCTCAGGCAAGGTAAAGGGAACTCTGGCCATGATGAGTGAAATAGAAACAAGACTAATCTGAAATCATGTCTGAGCACAGATAAACACAAGATCACTGTACAAACCACAAAAATGACTGACTGTCCCCCCTTTCCCATCTATTATGACTGACTGCTGCTTCTTTACCAATTTTAGCCCCATACCTTTCCTTCTACCTTTTAGATAAAAATTATCCAATTGGCAGAATTGCCCCCACTTCCTGGCAGCATCTAACCAGAGCAAAACTTCAATCCCTTGAACCACTCTAAAATCATCAAGCAAGCCCAATCTTACGATAAGCCCCACCTAACACCCACTCTGAGACACCTAACTGAGACACTCCTCAGCAACCCAAAGTGTGCAGTCTCCTTGGTCACAAGTTACCAATAACCCCAAATTAATTTGTTTACAGAGGTGTTCCTGGTAACCACTGGGGTGCTGATTCGCTCTTCCCCTTGTTCCCGGAAGCATGGCCAGGGAAGGCCAGACACAGGGTGATGCTCTGAATGGAGGCAGAGGGCTCACATAGCTCACCCGGCCTCAGTTACGCTGGCAATGTCTGTCCCCAGGGCGTGGGGCCGGGGCAGGGTGCTGAGGAAGTGCAGGTTAGAGGGATTGAAGAGGCGCACAGTGCCATCAGCACAGCCACAGAAGATGTAGTCTTGGCTCACAGAGATGCAGTGGGCCACAGTGGTCTGCAGGCAGAGGAGCTCAGGTCAGCAAGGGCCACCTGCCACCTCCTCCTCACAGTCCCCTGCCCAGAGGAAAGATCAGTCAAGGGAGGGGTAAGGGAAAAGCAGCCAGGTGCTCTGGCCTGAGCCCCTCAGCTGTTATATAGAGATGCCTCTCCCTCCAGCAGCAGGGGGCCAAGGGCCCACAGCCACATTCAGCTGGGGGATGGCGGTCAGGGACCCTTCTAAGGGACTAGAGATTTTGGCAAAGAGGATGAAGTAAGAAAAGCCAGCAAAGAGGAAGAAGCAGCACGTGAAAAACAGGAGGGTCTAGGCACCAGTTACTGTGAAGCTGTCTGCATTCTGAGCAGAAGAGGAAAGCAGGGGAAGGAAGACAGAGAGAGAGCAGAGAGGAAGCAGTTGTACAGATCTCCATGGGCTGGAACTGGCCCAGGCTTCCTTCTCCTGGGCCCCTCCTCCATGCACCAGGGCCTGGCCTCTAGTGTGGAGCTGGAGGCACCAGCTCTCCCCTGAGCGCAGACATGCACAGCCCCTATCCACTGGGACCAAGGGACTTACTCTCAGCTCCACCCACTTATCCAGAAGCCTCCGCTCACTGAACTCGCACAGCAGCCCCGAGGACGTGATGCAGAAGGTACTGGTGGCCTTCTTCCCACGGCCACAGGCCACATCAGTGAACAGGTTGTTCCGAAGCTCCCCCAACAGCCCTGAACGGCCCAGCAGGGGCACAGTGGCATTCACCTGTGGAGACACACCACTGCTGCCCATCCATCCACCCCAGAGGCTGCCCCTGGGAACTAGGCCCTGGGAAGAGGGAGGAGAAGCAGAAATACCCTTGTTCTTTGAGACGGCTCCTCCACCCAGACAGCATGGGGCTCATCCCTGAGCAAGCCCTGGCCCTAGCGGCTGCTTCCAGCCTCAGCACCTCACCTTTGAGGTCTTACTGTCATCGAGGTACCAGAATTTAATGTGCCGGTTGCCCGCAGTGACAAAGTAGCTGCAATCTTCAGAGAAGGACACTGCTGTCACCCGACTGGACACCTTATTGGAAGCCACCACAATGTTTTTCTGGAGGGAAAACCAAAGAAGAATGAAGGATCTGCCTCTTGGGACTAAGAAGAGAGGCTGAGAGGATGGAGGAGGGTTATATAGAATTTGTACTTGAAAAAATGTTTCTTTCCAGGCTTTTCTGATCAGAAATGGAGGGAAAGGAGGAGAATCTCTTTCTAGAGTTGAAGAGATTAATTTCCTCTGGAGGTCCTCAAAGGCAGAAAGCTAGCAACATGCTTGGCTACACAGTTGCTCTTTTCTGCTTCATATTATTTTCTAGAATGAGACGGAGCTCAGCAGAATGGAATGGAGGGGACCAGGTCAGCAGCTCCCAAGCTCCCAACTGGCCTTTGGAACCTGAGGCTGCCAGGCCAGCCCACCCATCCCACTCACCTTCCAGGCCCAGACGCTGATGATCATGTCATGCTGGTAGCCCACAGAGACAATGTACTTGGCACTAGGGGAGAAGGCCACACAAGCCACACCATACTTGTGCTCCTGCAGCTCTGCCACCTGGCTATGCTCAGCCACATCATAAACCCGCACGGCAGGCATGTGCCCACTCTGCAGGAGGCAAGAACTGGAAGTGAGGGTCAGAGGCACACAGCCTCCCCTAGCCTTCCAGAATGGGGGCCCTCGCCTTCCCAGCTATTGAATACAATCTCTCTAATGACCCCTAGCCAAGAGTCAAGAGGAGAGTGCTACACAGGGCAAAGGCAGAATGGAAACTTGAAAAAGATGTCAGGACAGGTAGAAAATGACCCCAGATTTTTTTCAATACCGCTGTTTTGTTCAAAGTTCCCTGAGTGATTCTGATGGGCCGCCAGGGTGAGAACTGCCACTCAGGCCTATTTCTGCCACCAGTGGCTCCCTGAAGACTGAAAAGGCAGAGGAATTCCTAGTGTGCCCAGCAGGGGGCCTCCGGGGATAAGTATATTTTAAGGCAATGGTTTTCAAAGTGCTTGCTTCCCAAACTAGCAGACCCAGCATGATGGGGGACTTGTTGAAAATGCAGGTTTTCCATCCCAGATCTCTAGAATCAGAAACTCTGGGAGCATACCCAGCAATGTGCACTTTAACAAGCCTTCCCACACACAAGCTTAAGAACCACTGTCTTTCAGGTTCTGGAAGTCAAAGCAGCAGGAGCCCTAACCAGACCTAGACTGGGGCTGAGCCAGGCCACCCGCCTCTTCAGAGTACTGCAGCCCCCTTGCTCGCTCACCTCACCGGTGACCAAGTACTTGCCATCAGGGGAGAAGGCAAGGGCAGTGATGGTTTTCCTGCAAAAGACAAGGCAGGCTCAGAGAGGCACTGGCAGCCTGGCCTAAGCCTGGCTCTCACACAATCCCCTCAAAAGGCAAGACCAGCAGACACTGATGGCACATGTGGCATTTCCTCTCTCCCAGAGACCCAACCAGGTCCCAGTCCCCAGCACCACAGTGACCCCCAGACAGTGTCCTTCTCACAGCCTCCCAGAGAAGGAGGTGTTCCCTAAGGGCCTAGGTCTACTCACCTGGAACTATTGAGGATGTGGTGCTGTTTGTGTTTCCGGGGATTGAACAACACGACCACACACCTGGAGATGAGTGAGACAACAGACTGAGCACCAAACCAGAGCTTTTTCCTGGCAACCTGTTCTTGCTGCTCCCTTTCCCTGCCACAAGGGCCCATCTCTGCAGCCCATGGCATGAAAGAGCTCCCTGGAAGCCTATCCCCATCAGGTCCCTATGCAGCAGCACATCTCTAGTCATACCCACAATGGGCAACAAGGGCACACGGCCTTCCCACAGCCCTCACATGCACATGCCCAGGAAGGGGAGCAGGAGGGAAGAATACACAGGATTTGAACAAAGTAGGCCACAGGTATTCAGCCAGTTCGCAAGCTTACAGTCACACAGGTCAGGCATTTGTGCTCCAAAGAGGAGTGAGGCCTCTCACATGTGCGTCCACGTGTGTACTTGGCAGGAGCCGGCTCACCACCCCTCTTTGTATCAGATGAGGAAAGGGGTTGGGGAGGCATGGGGCCAGCACTGCAGGGAGGCTCAGCAGGAGTAGGGAAAGGGGCAGAGAGCACCGGAGAGGGCCTGGGGTAGCTTCAGTGCCTTGGAGCTCGTAGGCCCAGTCATGAGAATCCCTGGCCCCAAGGAGCCTGAGAAGGACCCTTCAATCCGCTATAAGACAATCAGGGTCTCCGGCTGCCATGCAGAGAAGGGTTGAAGTACCCTCTCCCTCTTTGTCCAGACAAGGCTGGATGGGATCATGTTCAGACTGACTTTCCAGAGAGCGCTAAAGAGGAGGCCAGGTGGTAGGAGGCAGGGACAAGCAGCTGGAAGCCAAAGGTAGGCAGTGTTCTCCTTTAGCTCCTTGGCTTAGCAGACCTGGGCCCAGTGCCCCTTCTGCCTCACTGCTTCATCAGCACCGTAACTAGCTGACAAGAGCAAGCATAGAGGCTGCTACACCATGTAAGGGGATAGAGAGAGAATGAGCAAAGGGCAACATCTTCCAGATCCAGCCTTGTTTAGTGGGAAACCCACTGCAGCCCCTATATCTGAACCCCATTACTTGTTAGAAACTTGAAGTGAAGGTGAGTACAAACTGCTAGTGAGTGTGTAGGACCTTAGGCTCTAATAAACTGCTTCAATATGTAAATACCACAGGTAACTGCTGGATACTGGGATCTCTGAGGTATACCAGATACGCCCCAAACTGCCAGACTGACCACCAGCCTCACAATTCCTGAGCTACATCACCACCTTCTCTAACCCTCTCCCCTAAATCCTTCCTCACTGTTGTCTGCTCCTTCTGCCCCCCACCCTCACTGTTGCCTAACCTTTCCTTGTTCCCCTTTCCTTTTTCCTTTCTCCTTTCTCTGTAATAACTCCCAGTCTCCTTCTTCCCTTTTAGACGCCAGGTCAGAAGGGTTTGAAAACATACAACAAAAATCAGATGGCTTTGGTAACTCTGTGCCCCATTACTGTCCCTCCCCACTCCCAACACACACACATACATACACACACACACACACACACACACACACACACACACACATGCACACACTTGCCCAGCTTCTGTTAGGGGCAGTCTGGGACACAGGGAGCCTAATTCCTCCAAAACAGACAGACTCACAGAACCTTAAAGCTGGAAGGAAGGATGGAAAGAATTAAATGCACTGTACAAGGTGACTTAAGGATCACCTCATCCAACCCACCAAATTTTTGAGATGAGGCAACCTAGGTCTTATAAGAGCAGAACCAGGTCCCACAGGCTTCCAGTGCTCTTTACATCAAATGCACCCATGTGTCCAATCTGACTGTGCCACCCTTTGCTGATAATCCCCAGGGAACTTCTAAGACCAAAGTACTTAAAGTGCCCAAAAAAGCCCTGGGTGGTATGACCCCTTGCCCACCCACTAGCCTCACCCCAAACTATGCTTCAATCACATTCTTTCACTCTCTTTAACTCGCTATAACTCTCTTTAACTCCCACTACAGGGCCTTTGCAGGAACAGTTTCCTTTGTCTGAAACATTCTTCTCTCCCTTTTCTAACTAGTCAACAACCTCAGTCCTCTTTAAGATCTCAGGTCAAATGGCCTCAGTATATGCTCTCAGAGCACAGTGTGTCAGTCTTTTGTAACATTTATCACAGCTGCACATTTATACTTATTTGAGATCATCTCTCCTACTAGACTGCATTCCTTGAGGATGGGAAGTGGGTCTGGTTTTGCTCACTACTGTCTCCTCTGCTTAGCAGCGTTTGGCCCAGTGCAATTGTTCAAGACCATTCACTGAATGGATGAATGCCTCTGTCAGTCTACTAGCCTGGTGCCATGAGGCATAGGTAGGCCCCAGCTCTCCCTACACCGTGCTCCAACTGTCTTCTATGGAAGGAGGGACTGAGGGCCTGTGGGGCATCAGAGGCAGTGTGGGCCACTGGGGACATTGTGGGCTTTGAAGTCAGAGACCAGGGTTTGATCGTGGTTCTGCTGCAGATAGCTTTGTGACCCTGGGTTAAGTCACAAGCCTGTTTCCTTATCTATAAAAAAGGAGACAGACCTAGCTCATAGGACCTCTGTGAATTTAAAAGATCTTTTTTGGACACATAGGAGCAGCTGAACAAATGGCACATCTTAATATTACTACTTCTGGAGCATGGAAAGGAAGCTGAAAGGGGACTCCTGGCAGTGGGAATGAGGGGCTAAGTAACTGTGTCAAGTTTTTTTCCTTTGGAAGAATGGAGGAGAGTCCTGTTAGGATCTGAGTAATGATAAAAATTTTGAAAGAGGTTTATTTTTTGTTCTGGGAAGACAGCCAAGAAAGGAGAGCTGAGTTAAACTTGGGGAAAAAAATCTCTGCCTCTTCATTTACTGAGGAGATGATAAGCGTGGAAGGTAGCAAGGAAGGGACGGGGAAGTGCTAAGGGAGAAACTGCCTCAAGTGCCCAGGACAGCAGCACAGAGAGATAACGGAAGTGACGTCTCCTGGCCAAGTTTAAAATCACCACACAACAGTTTCAATGAACTCTAAACATGAAGACTTTCACTTCCTTTAGTAACTGGTCTACCCCTCACACAGTGCAGCCCAAGTAAGAATCACCATTTATCCATCAAGTACTTTCTGTGCAGCAAGCAGTCTGCTAAGCACCTTAAATGCCTGGTTTTAGTTAATCCTTACAACAACCTTGTGATGCTGGCACACTTATTCCTGCTTTACAGATGGAGAGACAAGTGCAGAGCAGTGAAGTGATTTGCTTAAGGCAACTCATCTAAAGCAAAACACAGTCAGGTTCCAGAAGCAGTGCTCTAAGAAATACAAAGTGGATAGAGTGGAGGAAAGAAGAAGAAATTGAAAGAGACTTGAAACACAGGACCCACATCGACCTAATGTGCAGGATGCTAAGGCAGGAGCCTCTAAGAAAAGGGAAGGAAGACTGAGTAGTTTAAGGCAGAAAAGATTTAGCTACAGAATTTTTGGAAATCAGAACAGGGCACCTGAAAATTCTAGCAGTTATAGTTCAAAGTTCATAGACTTAGGTATTTCTATTTTAATACTTAATTCAGTGTGTTAAAAGTGATACCCCTCCCCCAGGCCTGCCACCATCATGAAGAACCCAAGTGTGGGGACTAGCTTTTGTTTTCTGAACCTTCTTACTATCTGTGCTGACCTGTTGAGGAGGCCCCTTGCAGGCTCATCTTGCCAGCAACTGCTCCTGTTCTGAGTGGTTACAGGTTACCTACCTTTCTCATCAGCTACAGATAAACATGGCAAAGGGCTTCAACTGGGAGCTGATCTGACTTGAACTGACTTGGCATACTCTGGCCACATTCCAAATCCAGAAAAAGTAGGTGATGAGGGCTCTGTGGGTACGCTTTTGAGTTTTTCTTTAACCCATCATCCCAAAGCAGTATCATGACCTTTCAAGGGCAGTGCATCAGACTGCTTAAAACACCTTCCAAGTCACCTACAAACTGAGTTCTGCTGGGCCACAACATCTTTTGTTTGCTCCTTCCCCTAAATTCAACTCCATAGAGGAAGGAGGGGGGAGGGCAGTGTGTGTGTGTGTGTGTGTGTGTGTGTGTGTGTGTGTGTGTGTGTGTGTGTGTGTGTGTGTGTGTAAAATACAAGGTAGATGTGTGTGTGTGTGTGTGTGTGTGTGTGTGTGTGTGTGTGTGTGTGTGTGTGTAAAATACAAGGTAGATAGAAAGATGACTGGCTATCAGGCAACCCTTCCCTTCTCTAACACCCGCCCACAGTTACACACCTCCCGCACCAGTACAGCCTGGAAAAGTCTTAGGTGTGACATGGAAGAGTTAAGCAAAGGAGGGAAACACATGGAGGCAGACCTTTAAGCTGAAACTGTTAATTCTAATCAAATCTGTAAGCCTTCCAACACAGAAGGAGGAAGAAGAAACCATGTCATGGTCACAGCTCCACTTGTGGGGACAATAATGCAGATGTTGAAGTGAGAGCAGAACTTGGCAATGGTATCTAAGGTTTCCACTCTGCCCAGCTTATTGAGGTCCTCCCAAGAGAACAGACCTCAAAAACACTGATGTGGGTGCCTCCCCAGGCTTCTCTGACCTTTGAGCAAGCTCCTTAGTCTGCTAGGGAGGGAAGAGTAGGGCACAGTTTACATCAATCATTGGTCCTCAGCCTCCACATCCCTTGACCCTGCCCAGCACAGCAGGCAGTCATCCTCACGTGGGCCCTTGCGGCAGTGCTGCCTGAAATCTTCAACATGACAAGGGCTGGGTTGGGCTGGGCAGGACTGGCCCAACCACCTGAGTCCCTTAACTCAGAACCCCAGGGTACAGATGTAGGGAGACCGAGGCCTTAGTCCCTCAGGGCCTGAGCCCTGGCGCCACGTGTGGAGCACCAGTACTAGGTCCTGGGCCCACTGCCCAGGCACATCACTGAACCAGGAAAGGCCAAGCCCTTGACAGCCCCCTTCCCTGGACAGGTCCAGGCCTGCTGCCACCATGCAGAGCCTGGCATTTCCATAGGTTCCAGCTCCTACCAGTCTCTATCCTCCAGAAGGCAGAAACAAATGAACCCTGGGATGAGCAATGAACGCAGCAGCACATACAGGATACAGAAGCTCGAGGTGAGGCCTCTATACCTTAGAATTTTATCTTTTAGCCCAGGTAAAATCTGGTGACTCAGAGGTCCTTCAAGCCTTGCTCAAATGTCACTACCTAGCCCCATTTAACATTTAACTCCAGCCCCACCCCCATTCCCTATTCCCTTTCATTGCTTATGGCTCAGACATTTACCAAAGTACACATCACTTGGTAGTATTCTATATAAAATATTTACTTTTGGTGGGGGAGGGGATCTGTCTTCAATAGATTGCCAGCTCTGTGAAGGTGTTTTCTGTCAGTTTTGTTTACTGTTCTGTTCACTGTTACATCTTCAGGGCCTATAAGATAGGCACTTAATAAATATTTGTGAAAGAGTGAATACACCTTTAAGTCACCAGCTACCAGATCTCAAAGCCAAGGAACCCCTGAGTAGCGGAGCTGTGAATTAGGGCCATAGGGCAGGTCCTTAGTTCTTCTGACCGCTCTGACACTCAAGGGCAATGTGATAGTGAAAAGAAAGAGAAACCTAGGGTCAGGCTGACTATCTGTTAATATACTATGTGATCTTGGGCATATTTCTTAACTTCTCCAAACCTCATCTGTAAACAGGAATGAATAATGTCTTCCTTGCAGAACTGCTATGAAAACTGAAGATAATGTGCAAAGTAACCAGCATGGTGCTCCTAACCATCTTGAATGGTACTCTGCTACCCCATAACAAGGAAGGGCTATCCTGGGGGTTAGCAGCTGCAACAGAAATCCAACTACAGCACTCATACAGGACTTGCTGGATACTAGTGACTCATTAGGATCCCCGTCTGGGTGTGGAGTTACAAACTGTCCCTCCAGGTTCATTCCCAAAAGGGCAATCTTACAGCTGGTTGTGGCCCTCTTTAGAAACCTGGAATTCAACACCTTCCAAATAAGTAACCCTCAGCCCAGGCCATGAGCCCCACTGGCATGCTCATTTCTGGGACAGTTATGAGCCCCCCTCAAAGGCACAGCCACCCAGTCTCTCCACAGCCCTACATGCTCCCTGGCAAACCCCCACACAGGGCTTGCCACAGAGAGTAAGAAGGTAGCTCTGGGCTCCTTCAGCTCAGATGTCACTGAGTTCAGGAGAGTCTGTGGCTTCACATCTGATCTAATGTTTTAGAGTGGGATCTCAGTATTCTATTCCAATATGGGCTAAGGAAATGGAGGGCCTTCTCAGGAGAGCTAGGTTTCCCCTCCTTCTCCTTAGCTAAAGCAAACAAGAGGTTTCCTCTTAGCTGCTGGAAAGGACAGTCACCTTTCCAGGACACCCCCATTCCATCAACTGCTCTTCCAAGAGCATTCGCCCAGGCCAAGCCCTGCACTCTGGCACTGGGAGCCATGAGAAACCCATCCTCAGAACTGACTGGCTCCACAGTGGCAATAGCGACTGTGCAGGCTTTAAAGCCCCTGAACCCTCTAACCAAGCCAGCTGGGGAAGGGATGCAAGTCAATTACGGGTGTTCAACTAAACTGAGTCCCTTAAAGAGGCTATCTGGGGACCAGCCTGCCTCCCCAGGGCAGGCGGACTCAGTGTGACAGGAAAGGGGTAGGGTTCCTGTGGGAAAACCACAGCAAACGAAGCACTGGAGAAGAGATGCAGGAGCCACTAAAACTGTGGGGTGGCTGCCTGGAGACTTCCACCGACCTAGGCCTGACACACATCCCCCTCTACTCCACCCTCCCTGAGCTGTTTCATTTCCTTTCAGAAAACTATGTTTTGGTTTGACATTTGCCTCTAGGCCTCTGGGAGAATTTTTTGAGCTTTGTTTCTCTTCTCGTTTCTAGGATACCTGAGCTGCTCCTAGTGTAACAGCGCAGTAGGAACAAGAGAGTTGATGGCTATGGGGGTGGGGTTAGGATCACCTGATAGGAAGAAAAGGAGGACAGGGAGGGAGGAAAAGCGCCTGCTTGGCTCACTGACTTTGGTGGCCCCCAGACACCCCAGAGGCATCACAGGGAGCTCTAGCACAGAGCAAACTAAACACCCAAAAGGGGCCATCTGCAAAGAGAAAACATGAAGTTCTAGGAAATGAAAAGGTCAGGGAGTAGAGGGGGCATGGCCCAGAGCTAGCCCAAGCCAACCACACTGAGGAGACGTATGAGAGGTCACAGCAGGGAAGCTTTCATACACTACCTGGGAGGATAATGACTCCCAGGCACATGCCAGGCTAGGACCTGCCCATAAACAGAAGCACACACCCTTAAAGACGCCAGGCCTGATGTCTGGGGGCATGTGGGGAAGAGCGGGAAAGCAGGGCTCCAGAATCCTCAGGGCAAGCCCTCACGACTTGGCAGGCACTGAGCAGCAGCCAAGGCCTTTCCTGCCCATCCCACACCCAGCCTCAGCCCCACCTCCAACAAGAAGGAACTTAGCTTTCTCAGGCAGAGGCAGGCAAGGGTGAATTCCCCTGAGGCAGGCTGTACACGGTATACAACAACAAAAATCATTCAACTTGCTTCTGGATGGGAGAAGGAAGCCAGCTCAGCCTCTGCTCTAGCACAGAGTAAACCTAAAACACCCAGAAAGGGGCCATGTGCAAAGTAAAGCCAGTACAGCTTCCACAGTGCCCCTACGACAGACATCAAATGCCAGAGGGCCCCTCAGGAGAGACACTGATCCCAGAACCCAGGGGCAGAAATCTCCCTGGCATAGACTGAAATGTCCATAAATTGGGCTCCTGTTGTTTGAATGGCAGGTAGACAGCTTAGGGGAAAAGCAACTTCTAAAAATAAGTCTGGTCTTCTCACTCATATGTGGAGTATAAGAACAAAGAAAAACTGAAGGAACAAAACAGCAGCACAATCATAGAACCCAAGAATGGACTGACAGTTACCAAAGGGAAAGGGACTGAGGAGGATGGATGGGAAGGGAGGGATAAGGGCGGGGAAAAAGAAAGGGGGCATTACGGATTAGCATGTGTAATGTGTGTGTGGGGCAAGGGGAGGGCTGTGCAACACAGAGAAGACAAGATGGACAGTGACTGTAATGGGGTTTGTGGGGGGACTTGGTGAAGGGGGGAGCCTAGTAAACATAATGTTTCTCATGTAATTGTAGATTAATGATACAAAAAAAAAAGTCTGGTCTTCCCCCACCCTGTGCCATTTTAAGAGTAAGAGTTCTACAGTCAGACCACTTGGGTTAGAATCCTAATACAGACACTAGTTGTGTCACCTGCAACAAACTGCTTAGCCTCTTTGAATTTTAGTTTCCTCTCCTAAAACATGGGATCATAATAGTACCAACTACACAAGGTTGCTATGAGTATTATGTAAAATAATTCCTGTAAAGTCCTTGGTACAGAGTAAGTTCTTGATAAAAGTAGCTTTTTTGATGGGATGATAAAACTAAGAAAATCATATGTCTGGTGAAAAAACTACAAGAGTTGCTGTGGAAATCACATTGGGAAATCAGCATTCCCAAGATGATGGTGGGGGAAGAAAGACAGGGCAGAGTGGCCTTCCCATTTTCATATTCCTGTGCCCAGCAGCAGGGAACAGAGGTTGACAGAGAAAACCAGGAGCAGGAGGGGCTCCAAGCCTCTAAAAGAAACACTCTGCAGAAGCCTAACAAAACTATGGCAGGGGGGTTCTTGTCTATAGGAGCAAGAGGAGTGAAGAGGCAGCAAGAGAAAGAACACCAGCCCCAGAGCCCTACTTCCCTTCCACAGCTCTGACATCTCTCAAAGTGACTAGAGTAGACAAATGTTCAGAACAGCATTTTTCATAATACCCAAAAAGCAGAAACAACTCAAATGCCCATCAACTGACAGACAGATAAAATGTGATACATCTACAGAGCGGCACATTAGAGGAATGAAGATGGATACTTGCTATGACATGTATGGACATACAAAACATTATGCTAAGTGAAAAATGCCAAGCACAGAAAGCCAAATACTATATAATTCTATTTATATGAAATGTCCAGAATAGGCACATCTATAGAGACAGCAAGTAGATTAGTGGTTGCCCAGGACTGGAGGTCTTGAGGAGAAATGGACAGTGACTGCTAATGGCTGTGGGGTTTCTTTTTTGGGTGATGAAAATGTTCTAAAGCTGATTGTGATGATGGCTGCACAGCTCTGTGGATATACACTCCAATGGACTGTACACTTTAAATGGGCAAATTGTGTGGGATGTGAGTTACCTCTCAATAAAACAGTTTTTAAAAAGACTAGAAGATGGATATTGAAGATGGTATTGCAAGCTGTGTGTTATATAAAGTGTGGATTTGTATGTGTGGGTGGGGACGGATGGCCAAAAAGCAGGATAGGATAGCCACAAGAACATCCGGCAAGGAGCCTCTACCTGGCCCTGTATCTCCTTTACAAAATGATGCCAAAATATTAACCTGCATATATCTCCCAGATGGTACCAGAAAACCCCTGCCCATCCCAACTGGTTTAGCATGGCTATAAACGCCCATGCAATAAGACCTCTTCCAAGGCACTTACCCAGCTGGGTACGCAACTAAACCTGATCGGGGGTCACAGGCAAGTCCTCTGCCTCCAGACACTGTTATTCCAAGCACCTTCTCCAAGGTCACCTGTTAGAGCAAGACAGAGAAGTGACATGTTATGGACAGTGTGGTTGGGAAGGAGGTGCTTGAAGGTACCTGGGTCTACCCTGCGGTGCTGACTACTTTCCTGATGGCTCTATCTTTAGGAGAATGAGGTTACTGACTTCAAGTTCTATCCTAGCCACATGTGCACTGATGGCTTTTAACAGGGCTCAATCTGCTGGTACCATAGGAAAGAAAATGAGTGGTTAAAGTGAGCTCGTGGCCACAAGGAATAAGCACTATAATAAGCCAGGAAAGCTTCATTTACAAGATAAAGCTTTGGGTCCCCAGACTGGCTTCTTGGGTCTATGAGACTCAGGGGTGGTTACTGATCTTCATGCCTTGGAAGGCATGAAAGAAATGCCACTCTGATCATCCTAGAGCCAGAAGAATGTTAGGTATCAATCAGGTGCCTCATAATATCCCTGATCCTTGTATTCCATCATGTTCTTCTCCTCCACAAGTACTCCCCCAACCACCCAAATGTCTGCCAGTTCATACAGACTATGAGCCTAGGAGGCAGAAACATGGCTTACTGATGTGTTTTGCAAAGCACAGATGCTCAGAGTACTCTTAATTATTAAGCCACAACTTCCACAGAGATGAAAGGGAAACGTGTAAAGTACTCAGAGATTCTGAGAGGACATGGCCACTGAGACATTCACCATGACTCTCATTATGCTATTGTTACCCCACACTGTCTGCAGCCTCCAGGGTGCACACTGGACTGACCTCTAATTAGCTCACTGGTCTTTCTGCTGGATGACCCAGTGGGAAATCCAGACTGCCCTGTAACAAGCTAGTCTGTACTTTGCTAAGAGTCTTGGGGGCCCAAGGAAGGTGATGTGAACCAGAAACATTGCAGAGGTGTCCTATCTGTGGCAGAGGGGTCTACTCCTAGTCCAGGCCAGCTTCTAGAGAGCAGAAGCCCAGAATCAACTAGTGTAGTTTTAGAGTTTCTCCTTCTCTCTTACTGTCCCAACTGGAGAATTAAAAGTGCTGTCAGAAGGCCAGTTCAGATCCTTATCTCCAAGGACCATTTTAGTTTGAATTAGGTTGGCAAGAAATGCCCTGTGGTAGCCAAAGACCAAAATAAGTCTCCGGGGACATTACAGTTAAAACTTATTCCCCAGAAAGGTCCCCAAGAGTCTTCTGTGCTTCCTGGGAATGGGGACCAGTAATTCCAACATGTGTCTACTCACTGACAGAGGCGATGAGCAGCATACGAATCCACAGCCTCCAGGCAAGCACTAAACTTGCCAGTTATCCTTGGACCTATCTGAGGAGCTAAACCTGGTGTGGGATAAACTAACTTTAGCCTACTCTATACATTCTTTATAGTTTGCCTAACTGATGCCTCATTCCACGCTGCTGCTCAGCTTAATGATCTCCCGGTACCCAGTTGCCTTTCTGAAAGGCCTGAGCACCAGGCACTGAACAGAAGACACAAAATAACCCTGGGGAAGCCCAGGAGATACTGAGCTCAGGGCACCACTCCCTATCCTGGCACTGGGCCTCTGGCTATCCCCAAGGGAAGGGTACTCAGAAACATTTTTGCTGCACCAGCTGCCTACTGCAGAGAAGTGAGAGAGGAGCCCAAGGCCAGCACTTCCCCGCAGATAGGAAAGGTCACAAAATCAAGTGCAAGGAGCTAAAAGGCTGCTTAACTCCTATTCTCTCCAAACGAATCTGATTTCAGACAAATCCTCTGGATTCAAATTTGAGTCAATCCCTCCCTCATGCTTCAGCTTTGGTCTCAAAGAATCGGACCAGTCTGTTGGTTCTCAGCTTCCCTTCCTTCTGCCAGGAATTTTAGCAGGTGTTTTGTGTGTAGATGATCCAGTTCCACTGTGGATAAAATGAAGTTCCTGTGACCAGGATTCTCACGTGGCCCTAGTTGGCTAGCTAACTACACAGGTATGGGCAATACACTGCTATTGACTCTATGTAAAGAGCTCTGCCCAGTAGCCTGGGTAACAAGGTGGCACAGCTGCAAGGCTCCAGGAGAGCAAAGCAGAGGCTGGAGTGGTGGCAGCGCCGAGAACAGAGGCCCAGAGGACAGCTGTGCAGGATGACTGTGTGGGGAGAGAGGCCCAGTGGCAGAGACCGGCTTGCTGCATGCAGACTCGTTCTGCATGAATGGGATTTTAGGGATTGACCTGCCACCATGGAAATAAAGCTGGGTATAACCATTTCATCCCAAGAACGTTTTACTGTCATTTTCTTTGGTCACATTAAATCCATAGTGAACTTGCCTGGGGCTGAAACCCACTGGCAAGACATCCACAGAGAATTATTCCTGAAACTAGCTTGGACTTTTCAACAGCAATCTAAAGCAGGAAGGAAATATGAGTTATTCAGACCTTAAGGACCAGTGTTTATCAAGTGTTTTTGACCATGACCCACAGTAAGAGACATATTTTATATTATGACCCAGTATTTGCCACATGTGCATGTGTGCATGTGCATCAAATTGAAAAATTCCACAAAACAATACATACTCCGGTTGCATATGATATAGTTTGTCCTCTATTAAGTTCTATTCCACTAAAAAGTAATTCTGATCATGGCCTTTACAGATTTCATGACCTAAAAAAAGGGCTGGAAGCCCAGCTAGCTCAGTGGGTAAAGCATGAGACTCTTAAAATAAGGGCTGGAAGCTCCAGTTTGAGAAACCCTTCCACTGAGCATCTTTTTCTGCCAGGCCTGGGTTTCAGGCTCCGATCTCTGGCACTTGTATTCCTCAGGCACTCTCCTCCTGGGCTCTCAGCGATAGAACAGGCATCCAGGCTAGGAAACCCCAAGAGCAGGAGTTTGCCTAGGCTCAAAACTTGGCTTATTTTCAAAGGATTTATGGTTCGGGCTTTTCCTACTTTCTAAGCAGCTATCCAAGGAAAAAGCAGTTTCCTTTGGCTCTGTGGTGGGGGAGGAGCAGGGGGAAAACATTCAGGGGCATCAGCTGGTTTTTATTTTATGTTCTAACTCATACCAGATTCCTGTTTGCAGGGAGGTTTTGGGCTGAGCTCCACTTTTAAAGGATCTGAGAGTCTAGAGCTCCTGCAAGGCCTCCACTATCTAGGCTTATTCTTATTTTGCAAGGTACTAGAACAAAGGGCTTTATAAACTGACTCTCCCCTCTCATAACCTTCTCTATATTGTCTCTTTTCGAAAAGGTGTCACAGCTTCCGTCTAGAAAATGGAGACAAACCTGGACACTCCCTGCAAACACACCATAGGCCAAATACACCCAAGTTCAAGCAGAGGTGTGCTGGAGCCAACCTGCACTGGCTCATGAGAGCTAATTGTGCACATCTGTTCCCACCTCCAATTTAGCGATAGCTCGTGGTAGCTTGAAATCACTACTATAGGAGTACTTACACCATAGACATCAGTGAACGCTACTACAAATTCAGGCCTCTTTTTTGTCCCCTCAGAGAGCCTATAAACATTTCTCTACAGTACTGGGTTCAAGCTGCTCTTATCTCTCACTTGGACTATGGCTGTAACTCTCAGGTGTCACCTCTGTTTCAGGCCTTGCCCCCTAAAGTTTATTCAACATGGCAGGCCACAGTGATTCTTTAAAAATATACATGAGATCATGCCATTACTCTGCTCAAACCCTCCAATAGCTTCCCAAATTCAAATCAAAATACTTTACCCCTGCCCCCTCATTTATAAAGCCCTAAATCATCCTTTAACTCCCTCTCCACTTCAACCCTGGCTGACTTAAGCACCTGAAGCAGAGTCTAGCCTCAGGTCCTTTGCATATGCTATTTCTTCAACCACATGTGCTTCCCTCAGCTATTCACACAGCTAATTCACTCAGGTCTTTGCTCAAAGGACTCAGAGGCGGCTTTCCAGACTAGCTTTACTGCTATCTCTCTTGCGGAGAAAATGAAAGTTCCTATGGCCAGGATTCTCACCTGACCCTGGTCAGCTTGCTCACTGAACACTGCACACCCAAGTGGGCAATATGTTATTCCTGACTCTATATAAAGAGTTCCTCCCAGTGCTCTGGGCTGCACGTATGCAGGGTACAGAGGCTGGAGTGGTGGCAGTGCTGAGGACAGAGACCGAGATGGCTGCAGGAGCAGAGAGACCCAGAGGCAGAGACCGGCTTGCTGCAGGCAGACTTGCCCTGAAGCGGATGCACCTCTAGCACTTGACTTGCTACCATGAGAATAATGCTGAGTATAAAACCTTCCCAAGAACTTCGGGCTGTCATTTTTCTCTCACCGAAACAAGAGTGAACTTGCCTGGGGCTGAAACTCATTGACAAAACAACTCTATATCCAACTTACCTTGCTTTGTTTTTCTTCATAGCAGTAGTGACCCGACATTATGTCTCTGTCCACATACTTACTGTCTGTCTTTTCCATCAGAATATGAGTTCCTTAAGGGCAAGACTTAAGTCACTATCCCTCACTAATGCATCTGCAGTACTTTAAACAATGCCTGGCACACAATGGGCACTTGATAAATATTTGATGATTAAGTGAAAGCATGGCAGAGGCTTCAGGAACAGTGAAAGACCAAACCTGAGAAGCCCAAAAAAACTGAGGAATTTCAGGCTAAAAAAGTTGCTCTCCATGAAGCATCTAAAACTGGTTGTGACAGAAAGACACATCCAGATGAACGTAAGCACAAGGGAGCTTAGCAGTACAGGTAACATTTTGTTTCTTAAGCTGATGGTGATCACAATTGTTCATCCTATTACTCCACATGTCTTTACTGTACATCTTAAATACTGCATAGTAAATGTTAAAGAGAGAAAAGAGATGGTCCAAGATGTAATGTGGGATTGGTACCTCATGAGCAACATCTTCTATAATTCACAACCCTAACTTATTTTTACCCTCAAGTCTTTTTGTTGACATTCTCTAACCTAGCAATGTTAGGAGAAGCATATAAAGAACTCAAGAACATGTGTTTTTATTTGGTTTAGTTTTCTCACTTATGCGCTTATAAGGCCACACATTTTTATT